TGTCGGACCGCTCTGAATCACTCGGCCATTGTTGGGGAGAAGCGGCGTGGCACCGGGGACAGGGCCCGCAGCGGCACCATTCGAGATAGGGTAGCCTTGAGCACCGAAGTTGGGGCGGGGCTAGAAATCAGAAGGAAGTGATCATATTAGCCAAGCTCTCAGAAATCTTAAGGTATGGTATTAATCGCGATTAGAAGCTGGGGTGCGCAAATGCGAGGGGAGGTAAGGTTAAGGAGCCACCTACAGAAGCCATGGGGTTGTCGAAATTAGATAGACGTGGATGGGAGGATATGAAGTGACTGGTGAAGATGAAGGAGGGGAGAAAGAAGGGAAATAAAGGAAGGAAAAGGATGAAGGTGGTGTCGAGGGAAAAAGATGTCGAAGATTCACTTTCTCATCGATGAAGCAGCAGGCGTGACATGAAGATTAGGTAAGCTGCCCCTGGGCAGTACAACATACAAACAACTGTTGATATTCATGCATGGGGCCTTTGAACTAATTAAATGATTTAAATCGATTGATTTGACTGATTTGACTACATTGTATTACTCTTGGCTGCTACTGGGATATTGTTTCTTTTTGTTTTTTCCTTCATATTGGCCCGAGACAAAGCACAATCTCGCCCTGAGCTTGTTATAGTCTAACATTGGAAGTGAGACAGGCTCTCCTTGCCCGATCATCTGGAGCAAGTACTCTCATATATCCGTGCAAAACAGACTGAAGAAGCTTAAATTCAATCTCAAGGTATCTTGACTATCAGGTATGTAGCTATCCTATGTCCTCTATAGCGCAGATGGTGATAGTTATAACACGATAACATGTATCAAAGTTCTTCGATATGATTTCCAAACAGATATTGCTGCCGATCCAGCTTCTTTTCCACAGGCTCCAGCACTGCTCCATGCTGACACGATAAAGATTGAATGGATCGAGGGCCCTTCAGTGCTAACAACGCAAAATGTCCCCCCAACAGTCGGACGGGCGCGACACAAGATAGGAACTCCTGGCTCATGTCCGTGCGCAGAAGTCGCAATATACCGATCAGAGAAAGGCCAGTTATGTTTTCCGTTGGTCATGAATGACCACAAGTCGTCGACAAACTCGTCCCTGGTGCTCGCCTCAAAGGTACCAGCCAGCCACATATTCCAATCTGATTTGGCCCAGTCCTGGCGATTATCGAGAGGGACACCATATTCACCGCGAACAGATTTGAAAAAGTTACTTCCCATTTGATAGGCAGCGTTGGAGAATGTCTCCAGGCCCAGCAATACATCTGGGAAGAGATTGTATGGAGTTTTCCAAGTATCTGGCCAGTCAGGGTATTCCAGAACGAAATGTGTCTGGTATTTGTCTGTTCCTAGGCCTTGCTGGAAGAAAATTTTTGCATGCTGCTCACCAATACGGGAGTAGAACCCATCTCCACTTATCTCCCCAAACGCCTTGAGGCCAACTGCAGCCTTGATTGCCAAATTCGTCTCGTTGGCGAGAGGTCCAGCTGCATCATTCGACGATAGCTGATTGGCAATATCGACACTATGGTCCACCAAGTAATCTGCATACTTCTGGAAAACCGCCATGTACTGCGAAGTCCAGTCGGTATCGCCAGTGGCTCGAACATACGCAGTAGCTAAGATAAGCAAATTTCCACACTCCTCGATGGGCATTGGCTCTGCTTCCTGATCGTCGTGGCCAATGGCATTGGGATAATGAGTGCCAAGGTCATGGATCATGTATGGCAAATGCCAGCGACCAGCAGCAAGGTATTTCATCACGGGCTCTAGCAACAGCCGGATGTAATCCGGATCCATGACGTAATAAATTGGGAAGGCAGGCATGATCACATCGATTGTGTTGAGATTTCCATCACTCGAAAGCTCCTTGATGAAAGCCAAAACCTGGCTGGTGTCGAGAGAGCCATTGGGAATGGCCAAGTCGATGCCTCCGTACGCTTGTCGGGTTGAAAGAGCCAGGATATCCGCATACTTGGGACCCGCAGCGGCAGCAGATAATGTGAGCAGCTCCTGGTCAAGCTTCAAGGACTCTAGCAATGCGCTGCTGTAGTCATTGAAGAAGAATGAGAGGGCACTCGATGTGGTCGGGTACTCAGCACGGTAAAAGCCTGTGTACGCTTCTCCCAGATAGTTGATGGCAGCTTCTCTCTCGTACCCGACTACGAAGTTCACAGAAAGCCCACCAGTGACTTTACCGAGATTGTGAGCCAGCGCGACAATACTTCCCGCGCCCCAGGCTTCATCCTCGCCATATAGTTCACCGTCCTTGACGAACAGACCTCGTACGTTCTTGGGACTTCCGGAGAGGGCGGACAATCGAGTGAAGTTAGAAGGCCGAGAGGCGAGAATTGCTGAGCCCCAAAGAGCCATGTCATCCGCCTCAGCATACACCGGTGCGTCTTCGACTGTGAGCGAGTAAATGGCCAGGCCGTCTTGCTCTTCGAAGCTGCGTTGTGAGTGGCTTTCTTGGCCAGTCCACCTGGCATCTATATCCGAATAAATATGGATATCGTGACCGTGCGATCCAGATATCTGTACAGTTAAATAACCTGCCATTGTTAGCCAATAAATCCACTGTAATATATTGCGCATAACCCACTAAAAGGAAGTGACTGCCGAACATAGTTTGACGGCGACACCGGCGACAAGAAATCGAGCGTGACTGCCACTGGGCCGGCCGCGAGTTCAAATATTGAATGCGTAGCAGTAAACTCAGCCCGCCGCACCGTCGCAGGGCGGATATTGCTTGCGTCCGCGTCTGGCACGCCCATCAGACTATATGCCTGGCCATTTACCCGGACAATTACGGACCAGCCTAGCTCCTGGCCAGCCCAGAATTGGGGTTCGGCATTGGGCAATTGCTGTACTCGGTCGCTGGGCATCCATGCTGACAGATACGGGTTGCGCACTGCTAGCGGGTACGATGGTGGGAGAACAGGATGATGCGTTATAAAACTCGACTCCTGGCCCGAGTAAAAAGAGATCACTGATGCATAGAGGGAGCCTAACCCCAGTGAACTTAGGTTAAATCGCATGTTGGGAATGGTGACCACCCGTGCATGTGTTGGAGGTTGAAGTGTTACGCACAGCGCACCGGGCGCATGTATTGTAGGTGGCAATATGAACAACTCAGTAGATATACCTGAACAATATCCAAGCCCTGGAGGGTAGTAAATTGTAGATGTGAGAAGCTGAACGTTTCAAGGACTCCTTGCTGATCTTCCTGCGTCATATTTGGAGAACCCCCGCAGTACTTACCTAGGTAGGTTCTAACTATTGGCATAGGTGCAATTTGTTCGGGGATTTGATGCAAAGAGCACTCGATGGATGGTTTTCGAAAGAACTAGCTCTTGGACAAGTCAATGACCAAAAAGAAAAAGAAACCCTCTCGTATCCATAGAACATCATAAAATTCATCTACTCCCATTTCTATATAGTATCTACAATTGAGCCTTTTCAATTCGTCGCCCAATTTCATCGAAATGAATCTGCTTCCCAGACACCAGTGCCTCCTGCAGGTAAGAACCAATCTCAACAGCCTTGACAGCATTGGTCAACTTCATAGGAAGCGGCGTGTTGTCCAAGCAGGCCGCGGTGAAGTCATTAGCCTCCTGAACAAAGGCAGGGCTGAACCGACCCATGAAATTGTGAGGAATTTCACGAGTAATGCCACCGTTGTGGTACAAGTTGACAAAGTTTCGCTGGGGGTTTCCATTTACCGTCAACTTGCCCTCGGTGCCAATGATCTCAGTGGTGTCCTCCTGGCCGGCGGCCATCATGCGCGAGCAGTAATAGTAGGCAATCTTGCCATTCCAGAACTCCACGATCCCCACGGCATTGTCATAGTCGTTGTACTTCTTCAGCTCCGGTTGGACTGCAGTGATACCGTGGGCAGAGATGCTCTTCGGAAGGACTTCGTCCCCAAAGAACCACAGACTGAGATCAATGTCGTGAACGGACATATCCACAAACACGCCACCAGACCAGGCTGCATACTCGACATAGAAGCCCGAGGGATCAAACTTGTCACAAGTCTGGCTACGGATAATGGCAGGCCGTCCGATGAGACCTTGCTCCATCTTGGCGTAGGCATCACGGTACGAATCATCAAAGCGTCTGGAGAAGCCACACATCACCTTCAGATGGGGCTTCTTCTTAGCGGCCTGGACCACCGCTCTGCACTTTGAAGGGATTTTTATCAGCATTCGTCATAATTTTAAACAGAGAGAAGCTCGTACCACTTCGACGTCGGTAGACAAGGGCTTCTCGCAAAGAACGTGCAAGTCTTGCTCAATAGCCTTGATTGTCTCCTCTGCATGCACCGAGGTAGCCGTGCCAATAGCAACAGCCTGCAGACCGGGATGCTTGAGCATCTCATCGTAGTTGGTGTACAGAGTCACACCGTGGGGTTCCAAGTTCACTCTCCCCCATGCAATCTCAGCAGGGTCTGGGGTGAATGCCGCAACAAGCTGTGCACGGGGTGTTTTCTGCAGAAAGTTGACAGCATGGAGCTTGCCGACTCGACCAAGGCCGGCCATGCCAACTTGTAGTTTCTGAACCGTCATGTTTTTGGAGGGATTGAACAGGAGAGTTGAGAATGATTGATGTCTTTCTGAATCCTCAGTTCCCTGGGTCTCCGAGAGGGTTTAAATAGTTGAGAAAGAAGCTGCTCGATCTGCATGTTGAACAGTATATTGCTTTTAGTCTCAATTCAAGGTAATAGTCCCCGTCACGAAAGAGTATAAATTAAGGTGAACGGAAAGAATTGCTGGAAGAAACGAAAGGGGAAGGTTTTTGGTTTTCCCGCATCTCCCGGTTAAACGATTTCCCTTCCTCTGCGATTTGTTCTGCTGGGGGTTTTGCCCGGTTATGTTATGCCAAGGGATTCCATTTACCCAATATCTCATTACCATGATAGGTGGGTCATGCATACAAGCCCCCGCGGGGGGACGGGAAAGAATTTCCTCCTTGCAAATCCCCCCAAGCTGCATGTCTCCAAGAAGAAATCGCCTGGTAGCTGGCTGGTGGGTTAGCCAATATTCAAAAGTGGATATATGAAGACCCATGCTAATTGACCTGCACAGCCAACGATGTCGTGGTAAGTCACCGGCAAGGATCGACATTGACGTACAGAGTTGCTAAATCACAATTGCACAGTCCGACACCTAAAATGTAAGGATTGCCAATTTCTAACTGGGAACCCCCATAGTCCACTGATCAAGCATAGGCGATATCAATGACCTTGGTTGTGAGCACTGCCAACAAGCTGGCGTGAATTGTGACAGGACCAATGTCCGGTTTCGCAATGGTCTCTCATTGCCCAAGGAGACTGAACTTGCCTTCTCAGAGAGCTGCTGGCCCCAACTACATGGCAAAGGTAGACGAACTAAGGATCTACTATTATCTAAATTTAACCATGTATTCTAGTGCGCTTCCATGACGAAACGCCGGAGATCGCTAGTCTATACTCCACCATTCAGGATGGCCAGCCGGCTTTTACCAACGACCCTAGTTATCTGTTACAAGTAGGGCCGAGAGAGGAGCCCGATAGCCCAAGTGGTCTACTGGCAGAACATCCATATGCGGCTAATGGAGCCGATGAAGGCAATGCCTTGGCCCAATTCCCAGCTCTCACTGCAGAAAATGTGTCACCATCCATTCTATCATTGTCTTCTCCAAGATCAATCCAATCAAAAACATCCTCCAGTCCTTTGCAACCGCTAAGCGAAAGGGAAGCCATATTGTTGAGGAACTTCGTTGAAAATATGGCGCTCTGGGTGCGTGTATCTCCAACATACCCATCTGCAGCCGCTGATTAGAACAGGCTGATATCACGGACCCTCAACGTCATTTTGAAACAGAGGTTTCAGCCCGGGCATTGAAAGAGCCTGTTTTACGATATGCAATTTTTGCATTTTCCTCGCGCCATCTGGACCGGCAGGACAACACCGATGTAACAGAGGCACTGCAGTACCATAATTGTTGTGTTCAACTGCTTATTCCAGCGCTTTCTGGGCCTCGCGAGCACATCACCGAGGATATACTAGCCGCAGTCGCTATACTCCGTCAACATGAGGAAATGGATGGTCAGTCATTGCGGACAAATAGCATCAAATAAATGCTCACACATTCCAGGGGAGGACAATCAATTCCATCTGACTGGCACAACTCATATTCTGAATACGGTGTCAACCTTTGGCTCCTCTGGTGGCTTGGGCGAAGCTGCTGCTTGGCTTTGTTTGCGACAAGATATTTATATCTCGCTAACCAGCCAACGGCCTTTGCGGACCAACCTACAGAGCTTCTACCACTCAGATGTCTTTCAAAGAGATGACGACTTTGCCTGGTCAAGCAGAATGGTCTTCCTACTTGCTAATGTTCTCCAGGGTGCTTTCACGGACTCTAGTATAGCACGTGGTATTGGCCAGATCGAAGAGTGGTATTCCACTAAACCGCACACCTTCGACCCAGTCCGATCAGTCCCCCGAGGCCCGGGGCCAGATCAACGACTCCCTACCATTTGGATGTTGCTACCCGTGCATGGTGAATGGCCCCCGTAACATGTGTGTATAGACAGCATGAGACTGACTTCGGCTCAAATGCCTGGCAGTTATTGGCATTCAATACTACCATATCGCCAAGATTGTTTTGGCGCTTTCTGAGTCTCCACGGGCATCTTCCACCTATGAAAGCTTGCGGCATTCTCGAGCAGTGGAGGTTTGTTGACTACCAACATCTTTCGGTCTGTGCTCACAAAAAAGATTTAGAAGAATGTACGCCACCATCTGCTCATGGTTCTCGGATTGGCACAGTCCAACGCAAAGGCCGAGAACACGTTATTTACTGCACGTCATAGTCTAGTCGCCTGTGAGTTGCCAATATTAATTTCTGATGGGGGTATTGAACATTAAACTGACTAACTGACTTGGCAGGGGGTTGGATCCTTCGACATCCCCTCGACCAAAGGGCTGCGGAGTTACTATTGCAAGCCATGCATGCAAGGACTGGTTGGAATATGGATTCGTTGATCCAGACATTACGCGCCCAATGGCAAGAGGTTGACGAGAATATGGAGTAAAGAAAAAGGGTTGAAGACCAGTCTATTCAATAAAAAATACCCAGAATTTCCTCCAAGACTGGTTGTATACCAAAGGGTGTGTCAAGGGGAAGATCTCAATCTCAGGGGGACTCATCGTACGTAGTCGCACCCCACCCCTTTCTCCGAATCCATTTAAATTGCTCTTTTCCTTCGATCAATTCTGTATACTATTCTCAAATCATTTCAAATTCACACAAAGTACTGGAAGAAGGACTCGATATCCTCTGAAACACCCCCGATTTCACCCCAAGTTCCCGGTGTCTCACCCCGCAAATTCAACGCGCTAGTGGCCGATCGTCATTGCCTCGGACATTCGAATCGACGCGCGTGACACAGGCACTTCGTATTGGCCTCCAGTTCTCTTCCTCCTCATAAACCATGAACGCAATCATCGGACTATTCCTCGGGCTGGTCCCAGGAAGTCTACTGAGCTCCGATCTCCCAAATTCCGACGGATCGAGGAAACACTACTATATACCCATCATGCAAAGCTCAAGTTCCCCGACCAAAGAGCACGCGAACACACCATTTCCACATTCAAGCGCATCTCCTCCTTCTTACAACGACGTAAGCGGGCCCGTTATCATAAATGAATATGGCAAACCTCAATTCCTATCACCAGAGGAAGAAGTAGAGCGACAACATCGACTGCAGCAAGCAGTGCGCGAGAAGATGTTAGGGTTACCACGAACGACACACTTCGAATGGCACCAGGGAACATCAGGGACTACGGGAACTGTGAACGAGGAACTACCATTACCGCTGTATACACCCCGAGAAGATGAGAAGAAATGATGTCATGGCAAGTGCTGCTTGGATATGCAGTATTGACAGAGCCTTGCATTCCCTTGCACACGGGCTGAGCCTCTACATGTGAGCAGGGTACAAACTGCAGCACGCTTTCTAGACTGCAGGAAGGGGTTTTTGTATGATAATGCACCGAGGGTTCGCCTTTTAATTTTATGGCCGTGGCCACTATTTGTACAAGTATGCGATTGTAAATGTATGGCGAGGCTAGTTCCGGAACAGTCTCAAGCCACCTTCCTCCCGATCAACATCTTCATCTTCATCACTGGCATCCTCATCGCCCTCACCGAGCAAACCACTAGCCGTTTTGCCGAGCAGAGAAGCAAAGAACTCATCTCGTGCGCGCGTAGACCAGGAACCACGGTCCTCGGGGGCCATGAAGTTCTGAAGCTTTTCATGCACATTGTACTTCATCTTGCGGCCCTTAGAAGCACGGGTATCAACGTCTCGCTTGACCTTATCGTTGCGCATACCAGTGATGGGGTGAATGGGCAGACGTGAGGGAAGCTGGTGCAGGTTGTCAAAGCCACCGGTTATAGAATCGGCTGACATCCGCTGCTCAACGAGATCGCGCAAGAGGGACTGGTAGAATGCTCCATCATCGTAGAGAGGTTCTTGTTGATCAGATGTGCGCGAACGCTTGGAGGATCGTTCTCCAATCTCTGTGGCGACTTGAGCATCGAGGACGGCTGTGATGGTCTGTTGGCGACCGGAGGCAGAACCGAGCAGTTTGCCTCTGGCATTATGGATAGATGCAGAGGTGCCACGGACTTTCGAGGACCACTTGTCGAGAATGGAACGGCGGTGCGAAATGGACTCAGACTCCAATTCAGCCATGCGTTCCCATAGCGAGGCAGAGCTGGTAGTAGGGGAGGCGGGAGAGGGTCGCTTGCGCTTTTTGCTGCCTTCTTTGGCGGTAGCATCGGCCAGGGCAGTACGTAGACCTTCGAGAGTCGACCATAATGCCAGCGCAGCTGACTCCGCCGACTTGATTGCTTCCTCATCGACAACTTCCTCCTCATCCTTCATCATGTCCTCTCCATCTGCTTCATTCTTCGAGCCCAAGACAGCAGCAATACCGTTGATAGACGTCAACCCACCCTGAAGCTTCATTCGCGCGTTAAGGAGCGCATCAAAAGTGGTACGTTGTTGCTTGACAGCCTTTCCCTTCGTAGCATCGGCCTTGGCTGCCGAGGAGATTGTCGCAGCAATAGTCTTCTGATCCGTCGCCATTAGTTTGCGAATCTCGTCGCGGTCACCGGACGGTCCGTTTGTGTCGCCATGTCGGACATCGTTGCGGGGCTTCTTGGAGTGCTGGTGCACTACCTCGTCGTCATCCTCACTTTCATCCTCATCCTCCTCCTCGCTCTCTTCATCATCTTCATCCTCGCCTCCCTCTGTGTCCTCATCGGAACTCTCCTGGGCCAGGGCATCATCGCTGCTGGCAAATTCTTCGGAGCCGGACGAGATGTCTGAATCCTCATCATCATCATCACTCTCAGCGCCTAGCGCTGCCCGGCTGACTCGGGCACCATCATATTGTTTCCCCAGGGGGAGGGGATCATCTTTGCGGAGCTTTGCTTTCCTGTTTGATTATTAGCGAGTTGTTGATACCAAATACACCTATTTCTACACACCCGACAGTCTCATAATGCTCTCTGCCTGTAGTCACTTCTCCTTCATTTCCACTTTCGTCATCACTCGATTGTTGGCCATTATCGATATCCTCGGGATCAAAATCTAAACGTGAAGTAAGCATTGAATGTCCGGTACTCAAGAGAATCTGCTGCATGATTCATACCTTTAGGAGTGGGATCTTCAAAATCAGCAAGCTGATCAGCTAGGGAACGAGCTGCGCGTGGTTTGCCCATAGTGTTTGGTATGGGAGAGAAGAGTTGACGAGCAACTTTTTTTATTGGTTTTTCCGGATAACGGACTATTACTCCTTTCTAGGTTTAGCGTCTGCGGGCGGTATATTTTCACGTGGGCGGTATACACCATGGAAGCTTTAACTACTAAAGGCGGTCGGCCCTTTTACTGGCAGTATCGCAGTGGCTCTGCATCTTGGAACGACTTTCTATTACTCACAGATTGTCTGGTCTTACATTCTTCATTCTTGTCTGCCTTATTTGGCCTGTCAGAATGTTGGTTTCTCCATCTGTGGCCATTACCAGAGGCACGAGGCTTTTTTCCACATGTCGAGCTCTTCAGCATGAGAATCCTTTGGTTAGTTGTCACTCTACATTTTGGAGCTCCTCTCGGCTCACTGATTGTTTCAAATAAACATTTCTATTGCGAGGCTGTCTATTTGGCTTACATTGGCTGACTATAAGCAGGGGCTTCCACGCTCTGGTACCCCGCCAACTTTCCGTTCGCGCCGAGGGCTGCCCGAAAAGCGCAAGATTCGAGATGTCAAGAAAGTTGTTGCGGTCTCGTCAGCAAAGGGAGGCGTTGGAAAGTCTACAATAGCGGGTATGTTAACATTCTTCGTTCCTATCGATGTCTCAAGCCTGCCATAGCGCAAGACCTGTGGACCAAGTGGAACGAACTATCGCTAAAGAGATCTTGCCAGTCAATCTCGCACTATCATTTGCACGCCGTGGTATTAAGACTGGGATTCTTGACACCGATATCTTCGGTCCTTCTATACCTACCCTCCTAAATCTCTCCGGCGAACCTCGCCTCGACGAAAGTGGGTCTCCCTTTTAAGCTTATCAGCAACGAAGCCATGATCAACATGCTTATGAAAGTTGCCAGACAACTGCCTCGTCCCTTTAACAAACTATGGCCTCAAATCGATGTCGATGGGCTACCTTCTCCCCAAACACAAGCTGACAGCACAACCGGAGAACTACCGATGGACACCACACCAATCTCATGGCGCGGACTAATGGTAACCAAAGCCATGCATCAGCTCCTCCACTCAGTATCATGGGGTCCACTGGATGTCTTAATCCTCGACCTACCGCCAGGAACCGGCGACGTGCAACTCACAATCAACCAAGAAGTCATCATCGACGGGGCAGTGATTGTATCAACGCCGCAGGACATCGCACTCCGCGACGCCGTGCGCGGCATCGGGATGTTCCAGCGGATGGAAGTGCCCGTGCTCGGAATGGTGCGCAACATGGCATATTTCGCCTGTCCACAGTGCGGGACTCAGACTCGCATATTCTCGCATGGTGATAGCCACCACCACGTGCACGGTGAGAACCACGGTGTCGTGGCTGAGTGCAAGCGACTCGGGGTGGACTTCCTTGGTGACATCCCTCTCGATGCCCAGGTGTGCGAGGATGCTGATCGTGGAATGCCGACGGTCGTTGCGGAGGAGAGTGTTGAGCGCAGTGCGAGGCGAGAGGCTTTCCTTGGTGTTGCTGAGCAGGTGGCTCGGAAGATTGGTCTTGATTGGCACTGAAGGGTCAATTTGACTTACCTATACGTAGAGTTGTGGACGTTGTATATTATTATATTAGACTTTCATCATCCGGTGGCTGACTACTGGCTAATTATGCTCGCGGCATTCGTGGTTCCTTCACATTTGGGATATAGACAATAACCCCGACCTAGGCTGGAATGGCAGCCATGGGATACAGCTTTCCCCTCAATACAACTCAGAACCAGAACACTCCTTACTAGTCCCGTACCATCCTGCATGCCCCCGCCAAGTCTGAATGTTGCATTGGATACATCCAATCTAAAATTTCCGCTACAGGACGGCCCCGCTTGCCGGATGATCAACAAGAGACAAAGACACGCTCGAACAGCGCACGCATGAGCCCAAGGATTCAGATATCGACGACTACTCCGTAGACTATCAGCCCTATCAAACCCTTCTCCACGAGGCAGTCCTCCTTTCGCCACATCAGAAGCTTGTCGGATGGACCAGGAGAGCACATGTGAGTCCATCGCTCGGGGAGAACTCAAGGAGATTCGGGCCGCGGCCTTCAGTAACCGAACCTGGACCGTCACCTCCCGACCACGAGGGTCTTATCCTCGACATAGTCCGGATCCAAGGAATAGGACCGCTGACTCGGCGCGTGCAAGGAAATTACGGCGTTGATATTGCACGAACTGCCGAAGGTAGCACGCTATGGAATGATCTACCCTTCTTGGTCACCGATATGACTGATTTTTGGAATAGCGACTTCCCGACGATGTCGGGAACTCACCGACTCAATTTGGCAACATTCCTTGCTAAACTAGCATCAACTCGCGTCGGCAATGATAGGCTGTGCCAGATTGCCCTTATTTTCTTCCGCAATCTGTTTGAGGAGAGACAAGCACTTCGCAGCGGGGAGGAGTCGGATGATGAAGATCCAAAGCGACGCATACATCAGCTTGAAATTTTCCACTTGTTGCCAGCTGCCGTGGCTTGGCTCCGTCATGCTGGCCACAATCTTATTCTGCTCTCAGAGGTCTATTGGGGCGATTGCCCTAGTACCGTCAGCCAGGGTGGCACGAAGTTCATCGAGTCGGAGCTTTGGCAACGATCACCCACTGGATTCTCGCCATGGAGATACATGTACTGGCTCAAGCGCCTCCATGAAATCCAGGAGGAGGCCAAAGAGGCCAAAGAGGAACTCTTGGAAGAGTACGCCACCGATGCCATTGATTACATGGTCGGCATAGTCGAGGAACGAAACTCCGGAGTTTTGAGGGCATACCAGAACGGTGGAGATGCCTTGCATCAGGGAAAAAATCTGCGTTGCCTAAAGGATCTTCTGAAGAGTGAAGCTGCCGAGAATGAAGAGTCGAAGGATAGCGCAGAATAAGTAAGACGCGAGGGAAGAACAATATGGGTATTGATGTGATGTAACTACATGTAGGCATCAACCTTGGAAGGCACATATGCGCGGTGATATGTATACCATTTAAACTGAGTCGTTGTGCAGTGAGCTATCCACCGAAACGCGAAAACACCGAAATGAAACGCGAAGTCGCTAAATAGAGCTTCAACAAAAAAGCCCAAAAAAATCCAAAGAAATAGGAAAGACCTGAAGAGACTGTCCAAGAAGACACAGATAGCGGGATATGTTCATAAATGGCAATTATACAAGGCTTACTCGGCGGTTTTGGACACCTCTCGGTGCGACATCGAATCCCGACCAGCCGCAGACAAGACAGATAGAGTATCTGTAGAGCGACGGCCATTCTCGCCAGCCATAACTGGGGCAATAACACCCCGTGCATCCGTCACAGCGCGGGTGCTAGCGGTATCAGGTGCCATGCTCATATAGGCGACGGAGTCCTTGTCGCCGCCAACGGTACTGGCAGTGTCTGACAGCATCTCGCTTCGGCCCGCGGCTGATCCTGCAGCGGATGATGGCCGGTACCTGCTATGAGCTAAGGAGAGATCGGATTTCATCGGGGAGACTTCCTGCTGCATGAAATAGAGCCCTCGTGCTGGCGTTCTCGTCGGTGAATTTGTTGTTGTTCACCCCGGGCAATATAAGGATTGGGCCAGCACTTTTCTGCGAGAGAGTCTGAGAGATGGTCTCGGGGTCTGTGGACATGCGTGCAGTAGAAGAACCACCGCTACTGAGGTTTTCCTTTTTATCCCGGCGTACTGCCGTGTAGCCGTTAGGTTGCGATTGGTTGGCAAGATCTTTGTCTGTGACTTTTTCAGTTCGAGGATTCGTCGCCGGAGTGCTAGACCATGCTCCAGCCTGCCCAGTATCAGTGCTGACGCGGGTGGAACGTCGGCCTGACTGCTCGGCCCGCTTCTCCATTTCCACTCTGCGCTCGTCGTGCTTGCTTCCCCATCCGCTCCACATCATCATGCCGTAGTTCTTCTTGGCATGTCGCTTGGGTAGTACGCCAGGCGCAGCTCGTCGGGCGGCCAAAGAGCTCGGGGGAGGACATTCGCCGTCGAAATCTTGGAAGCCATGCGCCAGCTCTTTCAAGCGTCGGCTCTGAACCCGAAGTTTCTCCTTTGCAAATCTGATATCCCATTCCTTCTTTGCGTCCAACCACATTCGGATGAGCGAGGGGTTGATTGCCCCGATTTGGGCAGGGGGTATCTGTAGCACTGGGTAGGAAGAGGGAGGATCTAGTAGTGGAAGACATGCCCTCGTTTATCGATTCGCTGGCGTATCATATATTGATGGAACGCTGGAAGAGGATCCCCGGCCTTGCCGACAGAGGAAGGCCCTGGTGCGCCAGGCGGGCTGTTTAATGCGGTTTGGGGCCCCGGCACATCTTCATCTTTTAAGCTATTTGACGAAACGGCTGAAAGAGCACTATCATCCACGATCTCGACCTCGCCATTCTGTGCACGTGCTAATGCCCAAGAGCCAAACTGGGAAATGGAACGGAACATGTACTTGGCTGGTCGCGTAAAACTCAGGGTGGGAGCGACATGGCATAGGTTGTCCCAGACCTGAAATTGTACATAAGTTGGTTCGTACTTGTTCAAGGTTTCCCGGGTAGGATCGTTCTCATCGAGATATACGTCACTGGGTGGGTATGCTGTCGGGTTGGCTGCTTTGTGGGCGATGTAGAATTGCTCGTCACGAAGCGTCTCACCACCGCCGCTCAATATTTGCAGAGGAGGCAGGCCACCTAGAGAGGGTTGGAGGGCTGGCGAAACCAGAGGGTGGGACATTAGTTGGTTCGTCGTGTACAACTGGATTTGGTCCTTGAGTTCGACCGTCTTCCCATCCAGGACAACGTGAATATTATCAGGTTCGGCTTGCAAACTAGCAGGATTCGGGGCTTGCTGCTGGCCAGGATAGGCATGTTCGGCTGGGGGCGGGGAGTCCTCGTGGACAGTATAACCACGGATGGCAGTCTCCTCAGCATTGCTGTTCGGTTGGGGAATAGCTTTTTTTAACATCCTCGGCAGTCACTATTGGTTGGCGCGACATTCTTTTCATTTCCAGGATATCATCGGCATTGGGAGGAGGCCAGGCAGGTGAGGGTTTATGGCGGAAGCCATAGGGAGGGATATAATCGCCTGGGTTATCCTCAACAATACTCGGGAAAGAGTGTGTCAAATCAACCCAAGGCGAAATCAAGATGGCGCCTGCGGGTAAGGGAATACCCTGATCTCTCATGATGACCAGCATCGATAGAGCCAGGCCTCCACCCGCAGAGTCACCAGCCAGAATTATTTCTTTTGGTTCATAGAACTTGAGTAGCCAGAGGTAAGCCGCCATGCAATCATGCAGGCCACAAGGGAAAGGGAACTGCGGCGACAGTCGATACTCCGGTGCAAATACACGTCCCTTCAATTTGCGCGCATGGCGCTGCAGCATGTACCGATGTGTGTCGACACTTCCGAAGAAGTAAGCCCCACCATGGATATATAGCATCACACGGTTACAATGCCCACCGGCCCCCTCCGTTTGATTGTAGTGATTCCGCATCTCAATCCACTCCCCCTTCAGCTCTTCGGACGGCCCGCGCCATTGCCACCATTTCTCTCCCCCCACTCTTATGACCCCCTTGGGGCCCAGCTGCTTTGTGACAGCGTCCGCAGCAGAGTACAGGAACTTGTCGGGGATTGTAATGGTCTCGGTTCTCACCCAATGTGGGCTTGGGGCCCATTGGCGCGTGAATGCCTGGAGGTCTTCGACAGGGTGCTTGGATGCATAGAATAGGAATTGACGAACAATCTGGATGCCCTCATCGTAGGTAATGTGAACACTGGGTTTGTTATGTAGCGATTTGCGATTCAGGTACTATAGATGATGCGCCGTCAGCCAGACTATCTCAGCCTTGTCAGGACATTCCACGGGGACATACGTGACTGATTAGAGTGTGAAGGACAGTGGGAGTCAATGCCACACTTAGTGCGACTGTATGTAATGGCATAATGGATCTGTTCGGGGGGAGTAGTATGCCAGGTGCCGCGAAATCCGAGGAAACCAAGAAAACCAAAGAAACCAAAACCAATAATGATATTTAAAAGAAAGGTAAGAGTGGTCCGATCGCGAAATTGGCCGACGTCATTTAAGGAGTGAAAAGGGGATTGGAAGAAGAATATCTCCAGTAAATTTGACTTGAAAAACCACAAAAGCGACGAAAATAAGACAGGGGGGAAGATGATGTCATCGGGGGAAATGGATCTGCGGGAACGCGAACCTCCGATCTTCTTTACCCCAGACTATCTAGGTACCTAGGTACCTCAGGTAGGTACCTGGGTAGCCCTGGAGGTAATCTCCATGTCATTACAAATCGCGTCTCCTCGGTCTTCCAGTCCAACTGATAATCACAACATAAACCATCGCAACAACACCAGCAACAACACTAGTTGCAATGATCGCCCCACGCGGTGCCTTCGCAAGCTTAAACCCAAGCCCAACATTGATGATACCCAGGATGATCATCAACCGTCCAAACCAGCGATGCATATAAGCGAAAGGTCCTTTACCACCCGTCTTCCGGAAGAATCGGTGCTGTAACAGGCCCATAGCAGGCTGAAAAAGAATAAGACATGGTACAATGATCATCCCAATGATGGTATGGTAAGAATCGATCAATTCAATCTGCCGTGCTAGAGAAATACCAACTCCAAAGCCTGCAGTTACCACGGCCAGGGTGAAGACTTGGAACGTCCCGTGAATGTTCACCGTCCATTTCGATGGAAAAATATGAAGTCCGAGCGCGAAGGAAGGGAACATGACCACAAAAGCCACAATCATGAGCACAGCATGAGCTGTCTTTTTCCTCTTGACTGTGCTTCGGAAAGCCGCGAAGCCCGGATCCTCTTCACTGGAGGAGACGGGTGCTCGGGCCATTTGGGCGAAAGGATCCGCTGAGCTGCCGCCCGTCGCTTCTTTCAGGTCGATGGTCATGACCCCGTGATCATCATGTTGGGTGATGCTCTCAGACAAACTGACCGAATTCAGGGAGTCTCCATATTTAACGGCCCAAATCCACGGACTTGAGGAGCTGTTCACATTTTCTGTTCCTCCATTCCATTTTAGGCAGGTATCGCATCGGACATTGGCAGTGATGACTCCATCGTGCACACCACTGCCATTCAGAATTGTGATTTGGGCGTCCTTGTTATACAACGGTTCGATTTCCCCGATGCCCGACCGCGGAGAAACGGTGACATTGTTGCCAGACGTGTACACGACGAACATGTTGGCGCCTGCCATTTGCATTCCTTGACCCAAGGCAAACCACTGCACTTGGCGAGTAGAGTGTATCTGGAAGTATATGGGACCCGAGCCCGACTGAGAAGTATTATCAGGGACATTGAAACTATAGGTGATCTCGTCGTGTCCTTGAGGATGAACGCTGTGAAGTTGAACTTGGGCCAGGGCAGGAATGGCCCAAAGCCAAGAAAGAATATGCCGAACCATTGAAAAAGAAAGGTTGAGACTGATTATTTGGATCTAACAAGGGACACATCCCTATAAATACCTCCCAGCTCTTTGTTGCACGGTTGACATGCCAATTGGGCTACGTCAGGCCAAGTCTTTGTGGCCGTGACTTTCGAATTTCCACGAACATTTGGAAAAACTGTCAAAGGATGCGATACTATTTTCCTATTTTCCTATTGGAGTAGCTTAAACTGACGATCTCATTTTGTGTCTCAAGTTTGGAAGTTACCTTAAGTCGAAGGAATACGACTTTGCTGCGCCTCGTGTCAAACCTTGATCAATGCTCAGCCTCATCAAATAAGGCCATTGTAAATCCCGATGAGTTCTTATTGGGGGAAATATGAGTGGTCAATCGACACCGCTGGAACCTATCCCGAGGCCAAGATCTATACAATTTCGGTGTGTTTAAGCTTTTGATTAAATTGATGCAGACTATGGGGGAAATAGGGTTATGCATAGTTTCAAGGTTATATCTGTGTGTATATGAGAGGATATCGTAGCGAAAGGAAAAGAACACAGTTCTATGTTATTCCTTTGAATCCCAAGGTATCTGTCGATTACAGACATCTCAGCCATGTAGAACGAAGTTGCTTTTAGCTACTGGAGCTTCCCTTCATCAACGTCTAGTGTGGAAATCTGTACGATAACCTACCAGTGAAGACGGCATGGCCTTTGTGTCCCGGAATAAAAAGTCGAGGTTCATCTTGACCTGTAGAATACGAAACACAATCAAAACCCGGGGTTACTCTCATCAATGACACGAATCTAATTTGGTACTACTCGTGATCAGGTTGGCCATTGCCAGACCGGCATGGCTAGTATTATCAATCCGCCGTAGGCAGGGGCTTCCTAGGTTGGCCAGGTGGCTTATTCATTTTTTGTCAGCTTCAATGGCCGGGAACCCTTGGGCTCTTCCAAGCAAATGGATAAGTCCTATATCTGCAATGGTTCGGGGTTTCCCGGGGAGTCCAACGAATCATCGAGCAGCACCAGTGATGGAGAGGAACAAAGCTCTGTCTCAAAGCAAACTCGATAAAGATCTCTAAGGCTAATAATATGACCATGGCCACGTGTATGGGTATGGGTATGGGTATGGGTATGGGATTCTCTCACTTTGCTCTATGTCTCCGATGTAGGGGTAGGGTTCTCAGCTGGTGCTGCAACAACTGTGCACGTATGTCTCTACGAGCTTAGGAAAATTGGTTGGAACAGATATCTCGACTTCAACCATGTGTCAATAGTCGTAATGCAAAGTCCTTACTGGTTCTCGGGAAGGTAGGAAAATTCACGTAGGGTAATGACCCCGTATATTCGGGAATGGCGCTCTGGCGCAGTCGCACGCATGTACAATGCCCTTGGTCTTCTTGACCCTAGTCGCCAGCAGAAAATCGCCCGTCTAAGTTATTTTCGATGTCATTATAGCGTAACTGGTTGAATAAGCGCCTCTATTCATCTGGGTGTATAGATGTCATCAATTCAATGTAGATCTGTGAAAAGCATTCCTGTAACACGCCCTTTTCACAGATCTACAGGACACTTAAAAGAACACCTAAGACACATAAAAAGACATGTAAAAAGATATATGGATGTACCTAAAGAGGTAGAAAGGCCAGGGTCTGCTCCTTCTCATTCTTGTTTAGGAAGTCACCTTGTCTTCGGCTCTTCTCTTCTTCCCTATCTTTTCTTCTATACTTCCATCACAACTCCAGATCAACCATCTCCAGATCAACCACCTCCAGCACAAGGCCACTACCATCACCTCCTTCTCTTAGGGTGGGCACATATTCTACCTAGGTGCTCTCCATCAATGAGGTAAGAATGACTACCTAAAAGCTTATGTGAAACCTACACACTACCCAAGTCTGACTTTGAAGGTCAGAGATTTCATTTCTCTTTCGACTCTTTATCAGGGAATATCGTACTATTGGGGACTTTCAGACATGTTGGATAATTCAGGCTCAGACCTCGAGTGTTTCGAGACATTACCTGACACCTTCAAGGCGGCCGGTCCAACAGCTGACGTTATTCGCACTTGTATGGCACAACACATCAAAACTATTCGAGTGGTCAAATACTTGCGGTTCACAAACGTCCCACCCAGCGTGGTAGAACGAGACTTCTCCAAATCCACGAAGATGATGTACAACTACGAGACACGGTCGCTAATTTTAAAGCTGGTGGATGGGGCCCATGAAACGATGAAGGCGACTATCCAGTTGGCACTGCCTCATGCGCTGTACAATATGGGATTAGAGCAGTCGATCATGTTGACAGGGTCTGCACGCGTTAGAGGGGGGTCTTGTTTTAAAGAGCCCGACGGGTCATGGGTCCCTTGGTCACATTTGCCAGGGCGTGATAGAAAGTGGCCAACTGTTGTGATGGAAGTTGGAGTGTCAGAGTCGATCGAGAAACTAAAAGCCGATGCGGCATGGTGGCTCGCAAACTCCGTAGGCCAAGTCAAGCTTGTGATTATTGTGTCGATCAATCAGACTTCTCCAGAAGTCACCTTCCAGACGATTGTCCTAGACACAGCTACTGCTATACCAACTGTGCGGCAGTCAGTTAGCACATCTCGCGCGCCGAAACAACCCGACGCTCCGATCATTACTAGTCCCGCAGAACCTTTGATCATCAGGTTCGAGGAGATGTTATGTCGCCAACCAGTTCCCCCGGAGCAAGACCTCCAGATTCCTCTTGATTGGTTGGAAAGAGCCTCACGCTACGCCTGGATGGAGCAACAGCTATAATGCTACGTGTCCTGGGCCGCAATATTTGGGTCTTCTTTTTATGTATTTTTAGCTCGACCTTATACCTTCACAGCATAGCTTTAGCTTCTTCAAAGAATGACACCATCTTTAGCAGGTTCAAAGTCACACAAATCATCGAGAAAGGCAGAATTCCCATATGAATCTTAGCCACCTAACAGGGGCTTCTAAAAGCTTATCTAGCTAATAAATATATAGGACCTCATAAAGAAATGCAGGTAACTCCGGTGATTCTTCTCCACAGCTCAGCCATTTCTTCACTGATTCCATACTCGGAGCTTGACGTTAGCATATGCTAGTAGGGATCTGCCTTACAAAATGAGTTTGATTTGGGCGATCTCTGCAAAAGTCTTTTGCAGTCAAGGTCGATCTGTGAAATTGCTGATCAGCCACAAGGTCCCCCTTCCACGCGGTACTCTCCAGAAATGAGATACGGAAATTTATTCCCACTTTTTCGGAGAAATAGCCATAATGGGCTCGAATTATTGTAGCAAATATAGTCGATCGCATCCTCATTGCCTTTCTTGGCGCCGCAGAAGGTCCCCAGGAGCATCGAAGCGTGAGATGCGCTAACGAGTGTGCAAATATAAAAGCTCCAAGCCAAGCCAGTTGCTGAGCTTAATCACAGTCACAATGCTTGGCAAATCATCTCTTGCAGTGGCGACGCTGGTCGCCCAGGCGTTGCCGGGGCTCGGAGCGATCATTGAACGAGAAACGGTCAAAGTGACAACTTCCGAGACAGTTCGAGGTGGTGAACTGGCCAATATTCATCTCGACTGGTCTGGTCAACCGCCAAATTTGATCAAATCAGTCTATGCACCCTGTGACGATGATTCGGCGACAAAAGGGCAAACCATCGGACAGTTTTCAGTTCACGGTCATCCTCCCCAGCGACTGGCTTGGGTGGTTCCAGATGAGGCTCCAACGCACCATTGTGTTTACATTTATGGACATGACGGCCTGAATGCGACACAAAAGGTGTTGGGCAAAAGCAACCCTGTCTCCTTGCAGAAGAAGTCCAAGAAACGATCCATGGCTGACACCAACATCCCGTTGCTGAAGGACTTTGATGCGCAGGGAGCATGGTTCGACGGAGTGGCCAAAATCAAAGACAAAGTGGAAAGCAACGGAGGATTTGCTTCAAAAAACTCAGCAAAGAACACCTCAATTGCAATTATTGGAGGCGGAATCTCCGGGCTTGCGACGGGGTTAATGCTGGACAGCGTCGGTGTACACAACTGGGAGATCATCGAAGCCAGCGATCGCGTCGGTGGCAGATTCCGGACGAAATATGTCGCCGACACTCAAGAATGGGCTGAGATGGGACCAATGCGACTTCCACACTCTGTCACTTACAAAGACGACAATGAGACACTCCTCTACACTGATCATCAGTTGACCTTCCAAATGGCCAACATCTTGAACAACATGAACAAGAATGACTCGCAGTGGAAGATTGACTTCATCCCCTGGATTCAACACAGTCCCAATGAGTTGTATGCTCGAGACACTCGTCGTCATCCAGATGGAAGAATTCCTACTCGCGCTGAAATCGATGAGGATCCAAGCCTAGAGGATCCTCCAGAGATGACAAGCGCCGAATACACCAACACTGAGAACAAGATGAACAAAATTCTGAAAGACGAAAATACCCTCAAATCCCTTCAGAAGGATGTCTGGAGAGCCCACAAGACCGCCATGGACCAGGGGCTTGATGACTGGAGCGAACAGGCGATGATGCGACATGTCTTCAAAGCCAGTCAGAACATCACCGACGAGATCTGGACCTCATCCGACTACGATGTGTTCTGGGATGAGCTGCATCATAACTCCAATCTCGGCCTGGATGGAAGCAGGGACAGTATAGGTGAAACAGAATGGCTCTGTATCGATGGAGGATTCAACCGGCTGTCCGACGCTTTTCTTCCTCACGTCCGCGACAGGCTTACTCTCAATCGAAAAATCCGGAAATTGGAGTCAGTCAAGGGAAGTGATGGCCACACTCGCACTCGACTGTCATGGTACCCCAATGTCTCGAATCGCACCTTCGAGTCTAAAGAGTATGACTACACAATCATGGCAGCACCATTCACCATGACCCGCTTCATGGACCTGCCCAAATTCTCCTCCGTGCTAGACCGCGCGATCAGCGAAGCAGGTCTGCGATTCAAGTCCGCATGCAAAGTAGCCCTACTATTCTCCGAGCGATTCTGGGAAAAGGGCGACCGACCAATTTTCGGCGGCTACTCCAAGCCAGCAAGCGACTCAGTCGGTGCACTTTACTACCCCGTCTACGGACTCAACGAGTCCCGCCCTGGTCTGATCATGCACTACCGAGGTGGCGACTGGAGCGACCGGTTTGTGAGTTTCTCCGACGAAGAACACGTCCAGACGGTCCTGGATTCGATTGTCAGTTTGCATGGTGAACAAGCGCGCGACCTTTACACGGGAGATTATGAGCGTCTCTGTTGGCTGCAGGATGAACATACTGCGACTTCTTGGTGTCGGCCGGATGTTGCACAGCATGAACTGTACATTCCGGCTTATCACCAGACGGAGCATAACACGATTTTCATTGGAGAGCACACAGCGCCAACCCAGGCTTGGGTTAGCTCTTCGCTGCATTCTTCTGTTCGTGGGTCGGTTCAGCTGCTGTTGGAGTTGGGTTTGGTGGATGAGGCGAAGGAACTTAACCAGCGGTGGATGGGGAGATGGATCAAGCTATGATTTCTCGGTCCTGCTCCTTGGTCTGGGGGATAAGGGGGGGGAAAGAAAGTCAGATACTCATAGTATAATATATAGTATACCTAGGTAAGATTACAAAAGATTCTGTGCTGTGTACTGTGTTATTTCCCTCCTGTGGTTATTCAAATACCCTCTCTACCACGACAAAATATCTCCAGTGAACGATACGAACTTTCCCGATACATTTTCCCTTGTAGCACTGTCAATAACACCAAGCATCCCCTTGACACTATCCTCAACAGTCACCGGCGGGCTACCAGGATATCCCCACTCCTTCGCAGCGAAATCTCCCGCGCGCGTCTGCACCCAGCCAGGATGCAGAGCAAACGCAACCAATCCATCTGCCTCGTTTTGAAGATGAAGGGCCTTGGTAAGCCAGTTCGAGGCTGCTTTGCTAGGACCATATGCGCCACCGGGGAAAGGCTCCTGGCCGGCAATCGAACCGACAGAGGAGGAGATGACGACGAGCTTGGGGGGGAGAAGCCGATCTTTGCATAAGTGGCCAGAAGGCCTGGAACACGAGGAGCGGGGCGATGGTGTTGACTTCGAACGATTTACGGAGATCTTCCGCCGAAGTCACTAGAGCCGGAGTCATGGGCGTTGGGAATCCGGCATTGCAGATGACCACATCGATATGCGTCACTGTACTGACTGCTGCGGCGAAGGCCATTGTAATCTCATCTGGGGGATAATGCAGTTGAAAAGTCTAGTTCGATGATGTGGAGGATACTATTTTCCCCCACAGCGACATTCTCAATGTCTGACCTAAGGCTCGTGGCTGCGTCGTGGCTTCGCACTGAGGCCACGACAGTGGTTGCAGGGCGTTCTAGCAGCCGTTTGGTCAGTGCCAGACCGAGGCCTCTGTTTGCACCTGTCACAACATATACAGTGTTTGTAGTGGAGGCCATTATCATGAGTGGTTTTGATATAGGATATTCGTTCAAGAAGTAAGAGAGGAAAGGAAAGAAAGTAATGCGCCCCCTCCTTTTATAATTAGGGCTTATGTGAAACGGGCCAATCAGGGCTGAACTCGTCAGGCCATCACGCCAACAGTTGTCATTGTCATCTTTAATTCAAGCTGAGCATCATTCTGTTTATTCCAAGTCCATCACTAAACCCTAGTCTATATGCAGCTAAGGCATTAATATATTCAACCAACGCCAAGATCTCCCAAGGTTCTCCAATCTCCAAATTCCCCTCCACGGAGAAATTCCGAAATCATTGCCAAGAGTGGTTGGAGAACAAATCTTATCTATTTCGAATATTAACAGAAGAGGAGCCAATGGCTGCGAGTTACATCCGTTATCTCTTCACTTGGGGTATATAGGGCTAATGGGAACTATCATTCCGGCGCCCTCGGAAGGTCCCCAGCTGCATGTGCGCGAAAGCATCCGATTGTGAGTTAGGCTGGCATATTTAACCCTCCTATCTGCTTTCAAACGACATGGCTGCAAGAAAAGCACACCATGGCTCCTGGTGGTCTTGGGTCCAGCCTTTGGCGTGGTTATACCTCTGTTCTTCTCTTCTTGGCTGTCTCGACTATCTCTGCCACTTCAACTATTGATAACGGCAAACTGTTTACGGTCAATGGAATCAACTACTATAGCGGTGATGCGGTCTCGAAAATAGTCACCTCGGATCTTGATTCGACTCGGTTCGATGCAATCGTTCCCATGACGATCATCCGGACAGAGGAAGCTCTGCTTACTGCGGACATCATCAAAGAGACCATTTCAAACTACTCTGCTACCGATGATGTTTTTCAGACTGGATTCATTGAAGGTGGGTGTTAAACAAGCCAATCTGTCTACCGAAGGACTTCCGTTGACCTCAAGATAGCGGTTCTCCTTGTCTACGATGGGGATGGGCGAGGCCAAGTCGAGTCTACTGTTCAACAAGCTCTGCGGGGACTTGGAAATAAACTTGTGATGGCTTCTTCCAGTTACCAATCTGGAAGCAATATCACATCCGCCGGACTACGCCATGACATACCAAAGGGGCCCTATTTCTACTCCCCGCGCACTGGAGAGATCTATCAGGCCTTCCGTCTTTATCCTGATCATCAGCTAGCATTTACTGAAGCTGCCCTTAGCGATGGAACCGGAGGATTCAAGCCCTTGCCAGCAACCTCATTGGTGAGTAAAATTGTGACCTGTCCTCAGAAACCTTTGCTGATCGATTCCAGGGTGCCATGACGAAGAGTGTTGCTGTGCCATCTAGGTTATACTATACGCCAACATCAACAAAGCCGCTTGCAGGGGTACATTTAACAAAACAATCGCTACCTTTCAAGATTGACTAACAACATGTAGTTACGTTTGGGAGTGAAAGACATCTTTGATTTGAAGGGACTACGGACTAGCGGCGGCAATCGGGCCTTTTACGATTTATATCCTCCGCGAAACACCACTGGCCCCGCACTCCAAAGGCTGATAGATGCGGGGGTCATTATTGTAGGGAAAATGGGCACTGTTCAATTTGCGAATGGAGATAATCCCACCGCTGACTGGGTCGACTTTCACTGTCCTTTCAACCCTCGAGTAAGTCCAACCATTAAAATCAATGGGATTGTACTAACTGTTGTCCCAGGGCGAAGGCTATCAAAGCCCCGGTGGTTCATCGTCAGGACCTGGTGCCGGTATCGCATCTTACGACTGGCTAGACATTACCGTTGGAAGTGACACGGGTGGCTCTATGCGCAACCCAGGGGGGGCTGCAGGGAGTCTTTGCCAATCGCCCTTCTACGGGAGCTGTATCTCTTGATAATGTTCTTCCACTCTGTCACGAACTCGATACAGCTGGCGTTTTTGCTCGCGATGCTGCAACCTGGTCAAGGGTTATGCATGCGTGGTACCAGAACTTTACTAACTATAGAGACTATCCGAAAAGGTTGTTCTACCCGAACTCTTCGTTTCCCAGATCCAACACAGCATCTGGTGCACTTCTTGAGGAATTTGTTACAAAGGTGGAAGACTTCCTGGGCACAAAGAGGGAGTTTGTTGATATCGCTTCGCATTGGGAGAAAAGTCACCCTTCTGATACACCCTGGAATATAACTGACTTACTGAATACAGTGAGTTCCAGCAAGATTGAAATACATATTCAGAGACTAATATCCTATAGACATATGCAGTGTTGGTATCGGTCGATCAATATCGCTCTCTTTCTTTGCCGTTTTACGCAGACTACGCAGCCAAGCACGACGGTCGCCGACCATTTGTGAACCCAGGTCCATTGTTGCGATGGGCCTGGGGCCAGAATAATGGTGGCGATGCCGCATACGGCGAAGCTCTCAAGAACAAAACGATCTTCAAAGACTGGTGGGAATCCGATGGTTACGGAAAGACAGACGAAAAGACCTGCTCTGAGGGTATCTATATCTATCCTTACAGCAAGGGTCAAACTCAGTATCGGAATACCTATTTTGAGTGAGTAAAAGGTCCTTGGAGAGACAAATGATATGCTCATATCTACAGTGCACCTTCCGGACCTCCGATGGGCTTTAAGGATGGTCGGGTGGCCATCTTGGCCGGTACCCCTGATCTGGTAGTTCCTGTTGGAGAAGTCCCATACTACTCCACCGTCTCGCTCAAAACGGAGTTCATGCCGGTTACGATGAGTTTCGGCGCAGCACGGGGTTGTGATTTGATGCTGGTCAATCTCATCGAGGATTTGGAACAGGCGGGTATTTTGAAGCCCGTGAGCACAGGACGAAGGATGTATCCTGCGTAGTCCGAAAGGACTTAGTTTGATATTTGAAGTCAATACAAAACAGGCCATGAATTGTATATATGGAATTCCAATGTTATATTGTTAGATATGCGAAATATCTCGTGGTCCGCCGGGGCCCTCTTCCAACCCGTTTCTTCTAGGTGCGTCGGGGCGCCAGCGCCAGAATGGGCGCATGAAAGATGAACTTTGATCACCATTCTCGAATATATCCGCAGCGTGCTGCGATCTGTCAGTCATTGTCTTATGCAGTGGGTGGGTTTTCCTACCTTTCCCAGAACCGGGAGGAACTTTGCACCATGACCACTACCCCCGGTGCAAACAAAGACAGATTTCTCGGCGTAGGTTGGGACATGATCAATCTGATTGAGAATAAGATCAACAGAGGTAACCTGGAGAGGAAGGAAATATGTGCTCACCACAAATGAATTGTCCAGCGAGTCAGTGTACCAGCAAAGCTTTGTAGAGAAAAAGGGTGTACTCTCGAACTCGGGCAGGAAGATAGATACAAACTGCTTAATAGCATACAAAGCTGGCTCCGGAAGTAGTGAGCATTCCTCCACTGGTAGAGGCACCGACCATTGACCGTCCTGGGTGAACGGAGTATCTTTCGGCGCTGGCTGGAAATTGGTCCACTAAAACAATGCAGTCAGTACCTAGGTAGACACCGATGGGTATATAAGCAGCAGTACCTACCTTGATTCCGCGGTATCCAATCTTAACAAGGCCTTCTGGGGTTCTTGGTAGGACGTAAATACTCCCTGTATCTTTTCCAGAGGTGTCTCGTGGTGTACTCTTCCAGGTCATGACGGGAAATCGTTCTGGTGAGTACTTATCCCATAGCTCGGTATTGCTCTTGTCGATCTTAAAGGTTGCAAGACTACCAGCTGAGGATTCGAGGTGATAGCTCAAGTCGGGGAGAATTTGCGTCGAAAACGACCCGGCTTCGAAATTGTCAGTAAGAGGAAATAGGAATCGGGGGGGATTCTCGCGACTTACCAGCCACAACAACGGCATCCGCATCATGAACAACGCCATCCTTCGTCTTCAACCCTGTAACTTTATCTTTGCCTGGCTCAATGTCGCTTTTCACTTTGACCAAGTAATCAACAGCTCCCTCCTGCGGTCCGAAATGGAATTTCACGCCCTTGCCGGCGGCCACTTTTTGGTAATGGGCACATGCATTACTGCACCTCACAAATCCAGCCAGGGAGTCAAGGACTGCCTCATAGGTGCTTTCAGAATCTGGGATGTGGAAATTAAGTATCTTGTCCTTCCAGCCCAGCTTATCAGCCCGTTCGCAGTCTGCGGGGTCACTCTTGACGAACTGCGTGTCTCGCAGACCATCACGCTGCATGTTTGCTAGAGTTTCTTTCTCTAGCGTGGCCAAGTGATTAAAGGGCTGTATACGGAGCATTCCACTGTTAACAAAAAGTCCGTTATTACTGCCGTCATCTTGTTCCGTTGATCGACGCTTCTCGTCCACCGAAACCCACGCTCCCCGACTTTCCAAGGCGAGGCGCTGGTAGTGAATCTCTTTCCCATATGAAGCGCGGAACTGATATTTTTAATTAGCTTAATCCTTGATCTGTGGGCAGTTCGAGTCACTTACGATTTTGTTGTGATCAGCGGATGCAGCTTGTACATCATCAGCTGTAGGATCGTATCTATTTGCATCGTACTGGCTTCGATCAAAGACAGTCACTCCATAGTCTGCAGGGTATAAGCCATTTGTAACCTATTTCCAATGAGGCACCTTGCTTACTTCTATCTCGCAGGGCAATCGCCAGTGAAAGACCAAATATGCCCGCTTTAAAGATTGTCAGCAATTTCCAAAGACCCGTACACTCGGGTATTTGCCTCACCTCCAATAATGGCGACTGACTTTTCTTCCGTCATTCTTGGCTATGTTGTCTTTGAATATGAGGTTGTAGTGTCTCGGTGAACGTGGTAGGAGGATGGACGACCCCGCAATGAAGCCGGGAGCTTCAATGTCCATGGGGTCCTCAGGACACTCCACCTTGGTAGGCGAGAATAACCCCTTAGCCCCTTCATGTCAGGTGGGTCTAAGAGTACCCTTTTCCGCTCTTGGGTGATATCTCGACTGCAATCGTTCACTAATATAGCAGAGTATATATATCTCTCTCTCCTGGCATACTCGTCATCATCGGACAATTATCACATTATATGTTATACGTTCCCCCATGTCTTATCATTTTAATGTAAAACAAAGGGATAATGGCATCTAAATATATAATCCTTGTATCGAGGAAAGACAGGACAAGAACCTTGGGAGCTTGTCTGAATTGTATAGAGTCAAAAATGTATCAAAAGCCATAGAATAGAAAAGTCCGCCACACAAATGCCCGGATGGTCTAGTGGTACGTTCCACTTCCAAATGCTATCCTGCGAATCTTCAACTAATGAATAATTAGGTATGATTCGCGCTTCGGGTGAACCTGTGCGAGGTCCCGCGTTCAAATCGCGGTTCGGGCCCTTCTTTCTTTTTTTTAAATAGTTTTTCGTTTCATATATTTAGTATTTAATATAGTTACATATACTATAACAACGCAAGGTACTCAAAACATACCCAGATTGAAAGACAATCCGGAGAGTGGAACATGGCCTGCCGAAATGAAGGTCCACAGACCCCAAAGTAACAGCGCTAGGGCTACTGCTATCTGGCTAGTCGGAACTGACACGAGTTTAATTAGAATGTGTTTTAACAAAGGTGTGGCAACTGTCTATGGATATGCTCGATCACCAAATTCTACGCCAATTAAGCTCAAATTTATGTGTAGGGAAATGATTGAGTGTGGCAAAACCGGTAGTGTAGTTGGTTACACCAGAAAATCATGATATTTACAATGAAAATTGGACAGACTGGAATTAATAATTACCACCAACAGCTTATCAGGCTCATACGCAGAGACAGGCAGGCTCATGTGAGCATTGGAATCTCAACCGCGGTTTTTCGATACGCACGACCTCGGGATGTCGGTAGTCAAGCCCTCGAAAGGACCGGTCATCCACGTTATCACCGCTCTTTTAGACTAGGGACAAAGCAAGGTCCTTTACTACAGAATGGCTTGGCAAGAATCGGAAATGCCGTTAGTCGTGTTATGTTGGTCTGCCACTAGGAGTGCCGGTATCAAGGTAAGTAAACAAGCCACCATCAGGGAATCTGTCACCGAAGTATGACTTGGTGCATCACCACGGGAAGTTTCCATGCGGCACTGGGGCTTACTACATATCGTTGAGACTCAGAAATGAAAATCTAGAAGTAACAGCCGGGGTTCCGATGAAACAACCTGGACATGTCCCAAGGGCTAAATTTAGTCAAGTACACAGTATATGGCCCCATATGCATATGATCTGGGTTGCACATGGGGCCCTGCTATGGAATCAAATCTGACGAGGAAGCAAAACCCCTGCGCCCGCCCCAAAAAAACGCCGGAGCAGTGGGGGTTGATTTAGTAGCTACCTAATGAGTAGAAAAAAGAAGGAAAAAAAAAGAGAGCGTCCCCGGGAAGGCTCGAACTTCCAACCTCCTGATTAACAGTCAGACGCGCTAACCAATTGCGCCACGGAGACTTGTTATGGCGAAATCAGCGGACATTGGGTAAATGTACCGGTAAAGCCGTTGATTCATTGGTTGAATTCCATCTTACCGCCTGCGGTACTATTGTAAACTATTAGTACAATTCACCGCCCTAAAGGTACATATGTTGTAGTTCTGCCAGCTATATGAAGTACCATATCAGGCCGAGCGTTCGCAGTTGCGAGTATGGGGCTTTTTTAATGGCTACACTTCGTTGTATCGACTGCCATATAGTATCTGGTATCCCTATAGAACGTATAGGATTTTTGATACATTAGACCTATCATCTTCATTACTTGAGCGACATTATACCCCAGAGACTTGCAATTGGCCTAACTAATTGGCACTCTTTTACCTTCAGGTATCTGATATGTATACGAAAGAGTCAGCATTGCATCAAGTAACATAATTGTTCTTGTTTCTTTAACAAGCACGTCTCCGTGGCGCAATTGGTTAGCGCGTCTGACTGTTAATCAGGAGGTTGGAAGTTCGAGCCTTCCCGGGGACGCTTTTTTTTTCTTCTTTTATTTTCTTCCTTCTTTTTCCTACTCATTAGATAGCTACTTTCAAATCAATTCCCACTGCTCCGGCTTTTTTTATTTTGGTTTAACGAGGCCAGCTTATTGATATAATATTACATTGTGTTTCAAACTCAGACAAAATTAAAATGTGGCTATGGTTATATCCGTTCGGAGTATTTCGATGCAACCTCGGATGCAGTTGCCCTATACCATCGCATAGCGGGAGTCGCGCGTGAGCTGTTATGTGGATCGACCATGTAATGCTTCTGCAAATCTCATGGAAATGGCAGCCAAGATATACCATGTCTCAGCCTGCCTGCATGCTTCCTCGTGAACCCCACAATAGTCCTCGGCCTTATTGCACCGGTTTCTGGGGGGGGTATCTATTATGGGAGTATCGGCTGATGATGGACCCGGTATGAAGGCATCCTATTTGGGCCGTGTCACCTGTGAGTCTAAGACCTTCTTCTAAGACCTGCACCAAACGCAGCCTGCCAGCAAAGGGAAATAGAACAATCTTAGACGGGAAGCCTGTTGAATGGAGATATATAAACCTCGCCGGGGAGAGGACAAAACGTATACAACTCGCAACCAAAATATCCCACCCTCTCTCAAAGTACCACCAACTCCTATACAAACATGAAGTATACCATCGCCTTCACCTCTGCCCTCATGGCAATCCTCAGCCTTGTTGCTGCTGCCCCAGCTCCGGCTGCAGCGGCGACAGTGTCCGTCTCATACGACCCTAAATATGATGTTGGGACATCATCTCTCAACACTGTTTCCTGCTCCGACGGTCCCAATGGCCTGGTCACTCAAGGCTACAGCGATTTCGCATCCTTGCCAGGTTTCCCAAACATCGGCGGTGCGATCACCATCCCGGGCTGGAATAGCCCTAACTGCGGCAAATGCTACGCGCTACACTACTCGAACGGCAAGGTCGACAAGACAATCAACGTCATTGCTGTCGACGCCGCCCCGCGCGGCTTCAACATTGGCCTGCAAGCTATGAACACGCTGACCAACGGTCAGGCGGAGCAACTCGGTCGTGTTGACGCCACTTACGTTGAAGTGGATGCTAGCGTGTGCGGGCTGTGAGGGGTAGATAAGATCTATATGCAATGTAATAATGACGGAACAGAATGGTACAGGAAAGCGTTGGATAATGCGAGGGCAGAGATGAGTGCCCGAGTGCCCAGGTGTGCTGGACCAAGTATGTAATCAGATTTGTCAAACTGAATATGTATGCTATGTATACAGATAGTCCATAATGTACACAAAGGCTCAATCAAGCACCTTCAGCATTTCTTCTATACGCCCCAGTTTGTCCCGAGGCTTGCCCTTCTCTTGGCCACTCTCTCTCTCTGCCGCGTCGATTCGCTGCCAGTCTTTCCACGACGTGGGACGTAAACCACGGCGCTGGGCCTCGATTTTCACACCGTCCCAGCCAAGACCGGTACTGTTATCGGGTGCATGCAGCAAGGACGTTACACCGGTACGTTTTGCCAGATCCTGTACAACGGTGTCTGCAGTAGTAAATGCATCAGTCATTGTCGAGGCAATTACACCCGTTGGACCCCGCTTCACCCAACCAGCACAGTACAGGCCGGGCAGATGGGATATAAGAGATCCGTCAGGTAGACCTTCAGGCTCGCCCTTGTTCGACAAGCTTGTTACGCGACCAAATCCATCGTTAGGGATGACACCGCGCCGCGTATCGAAGTCGATACCAAGATCCTCTAGTCCTGGAAGGGGGAGGGACTTGTAGCCCACGCTTCGGAAGAAGACGCTAGCTGGTAGGTTGACCTGTGCACGCTTTCCGCTCGATAAGTGCTTTGGAAACACTTTAGAGCTGGGGCTGTGGGGGTCGGATGGGTCAAGTTCGTTGCGAGAGAACCTTACATGGGATAGATGATATGGGTATTCAGGCGACCAGTGAAGAGAATCAGGCGCAAGTAAGAAATCCAAAGACCAAGACTTTGAGGCTGTCAGAGGGTCATTGGTTGATCCTTTAGCCAAGAGCTGCATTAAACGCTTCTGCGCACGGGGCAGTGCCGATACTACTTCTTCCGGCGGAAAGATATCCTGTGGAATGGGATCGAATGATACACCTGGAAGTTGTAGCATTTCACGGAGCTCTTTGATAGTGAAGGAGGCCTGAGTCAAGTAATTAACAACCTGCATATCAACAGTCAGTCCATTGTAACTCACCTGCAGGGGTCCGCGGCGGCCGACAACTCGCACTCGCTTAATGCGACTTCTGGCGAGTTTTTCCACAGCATAATCTGCGATGTCTGTCTTTCGGAGAGCATCGACGTCTGAAAGAAGAATCCGGGCAACGTCTAGTGCAACGTTGCCTTGTCCGACAATAACGGCGTTCTCTCCGCTTAGGTCCGGATCGAGATCTCTGTGCTCTGGAAGACCATTGTACCACCCCACAAAGGCACGGGCTGAGTGCACGCTATGTAGAGCTTGCTCTCCAGGGATTCCCAGCTCCTTATCTTTTGCAGCACCGTATGCGAATATAATGGCGTCATAGTGTGGTTTGAGGGCGGCGAGCGGCAGATCATGCCCGAGGTCGACATTACCGACAAAATTGAAGCGTGGGGACTCGGCCACCTCCGTGAATTTATCCTCGCAATTCTAATTTTCATATAACAATGAGCTTATCTCTACATACAATGTTCAATGATCGACTCATCACTGAATCGCGGTTTACCGTGACTCACCTTGACTTCGGGATGGTCCGGGGCAACTCCGTACCTGGCCAAGCCGAATGGCACAGGTAGCTTCTCATACATGTCAACTATCGCATCTTCCTGTTTAGCTAAAAGACGATAGGCAGCATAGAATCCCGCTGGGCCGGAGCCCACGATGGCCACACGGACGGGTCGATCGGTTTGGGCGACATGACTGTTGGAGCGTTTGGATGTAAATCGAGATACAAAGCTCTGATACTGTAGAAGAGGCCGGCGACTGAGCCGAACAGTGCATTGAGCACATACAAAGGCCTGTTTCAAGCGCATGGTGCATGGATTCGAGAAACCACGGAGGTGATCGGAGATAATGAGACATCACACGTGACCTTATCGGTTGCCCCGGGTGACTATCACATGTTTGCAGATGTACAACGTAGACCTGGCGCACATCCCAGGAGCTGACAGTCGCATTCCACATTCCCAAGGTTCTTCGTCAACATTCCTCTCGTTTGCTCCACGTGGATGCCAGGAGTGGCTTTCAGTCGCTACAATGGGCAGATCGTCACCTCCATTCCTTTATGAGAGACCGTCCGCCTACAGCTTCAAAGGTCCGACCGACCGCGGCTTTAATCCGAGGGCCGCGACAGAGGCGAGCTGGACTCGTCCAGCAGAGAAGCCGAAGCAAAAAGCACCGCTAGTGAATTTAAACCACCATCCCGACACGGTATGCGCAATATTTCGGAAATTAATGGTGGATTCTGCTAATGGTGGATGTAGTGGGGTTCCTTCAATACAGCCAGCTCATTTACACCGATGAGCCATAAAACAAAGGATCGGGTCAAGTATGCACGATCAACACAACTCGCACTTAGAGCCCTCACTCTTCTGGGGGCCCTTGGGTCATTGTTCTGCTCTATCGTCATTAAGGGAGCTGCGGTGACCGTCATCTGGATCATTCGCGCCGGCGTGAGTATGGTTCGCCAAACACAACTTTTTCTTACTGACCTCTATTGTAGCCCATAGTTGCAATTCTCCACACGATATATGGTATCTACCATAATTCCCGGTCTGCTCTTAACCGCCCTGCTGGTTCCCAAGCTAGCTATGGGCTATTTGCTTCGACACTCGACTTAGGACTCATCCCATTCTATGTGTTTACTGCTTTCATGGCGTATGGTGAATGGACATCCAATGCACACCACTGGGGAACTCTATTCAACGACAGCGACCTGGCTGTAAAGATCTCTGAGGCCACCTTCATCTTGGCTATCGTAAATGGCGCGTTGCACCTTATCTCCCTTGTCATATCGGCCTTCTTGGCTGTCACATTCCGGAAGATCTCCCGCCTACCGCCTGACATGAACCCACTTGAAGACAATTTGACCGCACGTCCCCGTAAGAGCCACAAAGACACTCAAATGGAGGAGAAGCATCTCAGTCAATCCACCCTGAATTCCAGCTTTGAGGATCCACTCGTCGGCTCTCCTCGCAGCGTGCCATTCATGCACACACGTGAACAGTCCTCTGGTGCTGATTCCAACCGGGGATCAATGGGTATGCTCGACGTGCAGCCACAGCCACATCCTTCCTTTTATCAGCATCGCCTATCCCACTTGGAATCCCCAACGGAACCTCACATGGATCCCTCCAGCCCCGAGACGCTATTCCAACAAACCGCAAATGAGCCCTATGACTTTACAGCACAGACACCTACCCCAGAATATCGAAAGGTTGCCTCGCACGCTCCTGAAATCATCAATGCTAGTGCTCAAATGCGTAATCTGTCATCACGTACTGCTGATCGATCGGAAACCGTGAGCCCATTGTCCGATAATTGGGTGGCATACTCTGAACGGTCTCTATCGCCCGCTGGCGAGCCACAGGACGGGAATGCCGCCACTCTTCGTCAGTCCTCTTCTGTTTACAGCCGACAAACTAACAAGACCACCGCGTCCACCGGTAGCGGAATTCGAGACTGGTTTGCTTATGGTTCCAAGCCGGAGCCAAGTATTGGAAGCGCTATCGCAGAAGATGTGCGAGGGGAATATGCGTCGCTCTCCATGCATGAATTCTATGGGCTCGATGATGACCACCGTGAACAAGATGTGGGTGATCAGCGCATGGACATATTCCCAGACCCAGAAGATCACAGAGACGATCTTGATGACCAGCGTGATGGGTCTCTTCCATTTAACCCGCTCATGCTTAACCCGCCGACACCGCAACCTATTCTGACCGAGAAGCCCGAGAATACCGATCCCGTGCGGCGCGTTGTGTTGGGCGATAGCCCCAATATATCATACAATGCACAGGCGCAACCGGTGTCTGTCCCACACGAGAGCCCCAACCCCACTTCGCCCAAGACCCGATTCTATGGTGAGCTGGATGTAGATGGAAAGCCTGGATTGGCCGTGTCCCGCGAGCCAAGCGAACAGGTTGTCCGTAAGCCCACCAAGCTTACGAAGAAACGCAACAGCAAGATGTCTGCTTATGAGGCTCTCAAGAAGAACGACAACGATGAGGAAAATGGATATCTCTCAGCCAGGATGTCTGCTTCACCTCGTGCCACCGAAGGCGACCGCAAGGGCCGTGTCGTGAGCAACTCCGGTGCAGACACTGCCCGGCCTGGCATTGCAGCTGGAGTTGGTACCTCCTTATCCTCATACGGGAGTTACATCGCTGGTCTGGGAGTCGGACGCCGCCGCGATGTGAGTGGCAAGGTCGCTGAAGAAGGACGCAGTGAAAACCTTCTCGATGAGCAACCCGGCCGCAACCAGAACGAAAGTCACAGACAGACTCCAAGCTCTTCGCCAACTCGGGCTGCAGGATGGGCTCGGTTCGCCGGACTTTGAATGTGATATTTATGGTCACCTCTAGGCGTTTACGGTTTGTCTTCATGAATGGCATGTAGCGACTTGCTTTTGTTTGGGACTCTTATATCCCGTTTCCACTGGGTTGATTCCCTTGGAAATATGTACTGATTGCAATTGTTTGGGTGTATTATGGTTTCATTTTTGTTGTATGTAGTTCTGGCCTCAATGAACATTTGAACTAAGCATAAAAGCTATACACCTTGTACACTGTTCTGAACCACCGGCAAGATGAGAACGCTCAAGATAGACTATAGCAGGAGCACATCAGTTGTCTCCCAAATTCTGTTATTGACAATAGTCGCAAATACCTTGTTTTAGCCTGTCACTGGACTTGAGCTCAAGGATGTTGCGGGAGCTACGTTCAGACAACTCCAATGCTGGAGAGGACAGGAGCTTCGGAATTATAAATGAGAAGTGAAAACACAGGGCAATATAGAATATAAGATACCCAATCCTGATGCCACACCCAAAGCACCCGCTGAGCGAGCCATCACCGAGATAAATCTCAAGTGCGTAGAATGTCTCATGAGGGAACACCTTCATATTCCCATCCTTCGATGACACGCTTTCTGCGTCGGGAATTCCGGCGATTGGCGTTGCACTTGACAAAGAAAGTCAGAGCTGTGATAATAAGAATGATGATTCCCGCAATTGCGGCGACAAGGACAGTTCTGCGCTCGAGCTGCTGTGGGTCGGAGGCATAGGGACACTTCGCCCCATAACCACCGGATACCCAACAGGAAGTAACATCTATTGAGTTGAAGTCCAAAAAGACCTCTCGACGGGCGGGATCCGTGGAACTCAGGTCGACTTTTGTCTCTGGCAGAGAGAGAAGGTAATTGTAGAGATACGTGTTTTCGAGACCGGTGCGTGGTACAGCGAAGCTTGATCCTGGTGGACAAGTGTCCGACACGTTGGAGAAATATTCGGTCGTGTCTGATAACACCCAGGAGAAAGGCGAATTACCGATTCGACAGGCGGCATGCCGCTGATCAGTGCAGTTCGTGGATCGCCAGTGGCCTCCCAGGGTTAGATCCATGATCGCACAGCGGTCATACTTGGGATCACCATCGCCGCCACCATATTTCGCATCGTGTGGCTCGCCAATTGCCCAAGCCCAGGAAGAAGAGAGAGAGACATTACGGTAATGTTCAACTTGCTGGTCTGCAGTCTGACCGAAGAGGGTGGTGTTGAGCGTTGGCGAGAGACCACAAGCTGTAACGTCAGAGAGAACATTCGATAGCGAAGCCATCGTCTCATCCGTGGAAAGACCATCAGGGACAGGGATGCCACTGGATATAGCCCATGAAGAGTTGGTTTGAGACACGCGTGTAAGACCAGGTTCATATAGACAGCCTGAAGTGAGAGTGCCGTTGGTGGTTGCAGATACCTCCACACTAGAAGTCAGGGTTCCGGGAGGAAAGACCAAATTTTCTCCGGTAGACAGATCGTAATCCACCAGTTGGGAATCGATAGAGCCATACTCAATGAGCACTCGATCGCGTTTCGCAAGCTGGATGTACTTTGATGATGGCCAGCCATCTGGGGTACTCTGTTCACCTGCTTCATTTTCATGAACGGTGAAGTACTCCGTGATGGGCATATAGCCCTGCTCAACCTTATACCATGATTGGTTTAAATTGCTTCGGTCCGAGGTAAGTTGAGCCGGGCTATAAATAAAGTCATCAAGGGCAGATCCCAGGATTGAGCCGGCTAGCTCAGTTCCCGATGGCAATTGACCTCCTGATATGGTAGAAGCAGGCTCATCTGGGGTGGAGTCACTTGCGGCGACATGGAGATTGAGAACGAGATAGGTCGTGTAGACGGTCAAACGGGAGTTTGTGTCTCGGAAATAACCGACAAGTACGTCCGTCAAGGTGTATGGATCAATGTCGTCGGTGCACTTGTACGAGCCTAGTTCATAGAGAGTGTGTCCATGTGAATCATCATTACCGGTGATAGTCGCAGGGTCCGCACTAGCTGTTGCTGTAGTTGTATTGGAGATATCTGAGGATACAGCCACTCCAGATTTGACTGGAACAGAAACTGGGCAGAAAGACCAAGTCCTACGGTTGACTGACCAATATAGATCGACAACAAGACGTCGGTACCCGATTGAGAGGAGGTTGGAGAAACATTTTGCAGCGTCTTCTCGATCATAGATGCCGTTTCCGAAGCAGGCAGTCGACAGTGATACAGCAGGGTTCGTCACATAGTTAAGAGGAATTTGACCAGCGACATCTCGTTCGCTCTGGATTCAGATATTCGCATGAGTTGTGGGGGGCATTAATTGCGACCTGAGACACATACCAGTAGAACAGCCACCCAGGTAGCGTTTAACAGGGTTTCCGCAGAGTCATATTGGACAGACATTGAGCATCGACATGGAAATAGCTCTGAAGCGCATGTTCAGTGCATGTTTCGCGATATTCTGACGTTGAATGTTTTAAAAGGAAGACGCATTAAGCTTGGACGGGGAAGTCGGGGAGGGCGGACAAATCAGCTGAGTCAATCTGGCCACTTCTCTCTTTCTTTCTTTTCACAACTTCCTCTCTGCCTTGGACTTCCTTTTCTCTTCTGCTTTTCATTTCCAATTTTAATTTCAAAATGGCCACCCCCGGCCAGCCCAGCCCTGAGCAAATGGCGGCCATGCAACAACAGTTCGCCGCCGAAGCCGCTAAACGAGGGATGACGCCCCAGCAGTTCGCCGCACAGCAGCGTGAACAGCTGGCTGCCGATGCTGCCAAGCTCGGTCTGACTACTGAACAATATGTTGCGCAGTTGCGCATGCGAGCAATGCAAGCCCATCAACAGCAACAGAAGATCCAGGCCGAACAACAGGGTCAAGCAGCACCAGATGGACAAGCTCCGTCGCCCGCACCCCAGCAGCACCAACACACAACCACACAACAGGTTCCTGTGAATCCCAACAATCCCCCGGACCCAAAGGCATTGGCAGTTGCCAACTGGCTACGGTCGCAGAACCTCAAGCCACGCACATGTATCATGGACGGTCAGCGCAAGGACATGTTCAAGGGTGAGCAGCGACCAATATCCAAGTACATAATGAGGAATCACCATCTAACATGTCTCTCTTCAATGCAGTCAAGCGCGCAATTCGAGCGATTGAATCCCCCGCCTATGCCAAAGCCGCCTCAAAGAAGAACTCCCTCCTCCCCCCAGTGACCGACCGCGCCTCCGCCGAGAACGTTTTCAAGCTTCTTCCACTTTCCCTTTTGGCTCTCCGAGTGAGCAAGGTTGATCCCCATGAAGGCCACAACCATGCCAAGCCCAAGAATCGAACTAAGGGTCTATGGACCGTGAAGATCGAACAGCACCAGGAGACTGACCCCATGATGCACTATGTTTGGTTGTACGACGGTCCACAGTGGAAGCAAAAGGCCATGGCTGCCGCCGTGGTCGCGGGTATTTTTGCCGTTGTCCTGTTCCCATTGTGGCCAATGTTTATGCGTCAGGGTGTGTGGTACCTGAGTGTTGGTATGATGGGGCTGTTGGGTCTCTTCTTCGCCATGGCTATCTTCCGTTTGATTCTATTCTGCGTTACTGTCTTCACCGTGCCCCCAGGTCTCTGGCTATTCCCCAATCTGTTCGAGGATGTCGGATTCTTCGACAGCTTCAAGCCTCTATGGGGCTGGCAAGAGGTATGCATCTTTCCATTCTGATATTCTCGGAATTAGTGTAACTGACCGTCCAACCGCACAGACGAAAAAGAGCAAAAAGTCCAGCAAAAAATCCAAGGCCTCGGCCTCTGCTCCCGCCCCAGTCGCCGCATCTGCTCCCTCAGCTGCTCCTTCAGAAAACGCCCCCTCGGCAACCACATCCTCCGCCGAGCCAACTTCTACCCCGTCCACAGTCGCAGCGCGGCGAGGTCTGAGCGCAAGTGTGGAAGAGGTGGAGGAGTAGTGCTGCCATATTCTGAACGACATTCAAAGCCGATAGATCAGTATTGATCGCATGCGGTTTGACGCGGGTGTTTTATCTCAAATCATCCATGAGATTTGTATTTTCAAGATCCTTATTCCATGTTCATTCTGGCGTTTTGGGCCTTGCTTTTGCGAATTCATATCATCGGGAAAGTCTTTATTCCCTCGATTTCTGTCTTTATTTCATTGCACAACATCTTTTTGGGTGACATGTAGCATCAAATCGATGTAGGCTTCTTTTGTATTTGAACATTGCAGATGGTAGACGATAAGGAAATTTGGTAATGTACAGACTTGGTGTTATGCCCTATGCTCAATGTAAACCCATCCTCCGTGGCTTATAGATCCCCGATAGGAAATAGAAGATAGAAAATACCGAGTTCAGAAGAGAGAAGAGATATGCTTCCAATACCAAGATTAAGAAAATGGAATGAAACGGGGTATATAAACAAATGCCAATAGAAACACAACCGAAGCGAAGAGAAACAATGCGTAGATAGTATAGACAAAAAAAGGAACTAACATATGCACGCAAGGGTTAGTGTCATCGATGTGGGCAGTAAGAGAATGGGTATGATAGGCTCTCAGATATACAATGGATGCAAAAGGGGTATTTGATGATGAGTGAGGCCGAGGCCTGAATGCCAGATATAGTAAAACCAGATGCGAGAAAGGAAAGAGGTTATAGGGAATGCATCTCGAGGTATTGTCGTGAGAAGGAGGTCGTAGAGAAAGTCAAGGTCGAGGATGTGAGGGGGTATTGGGAGTATCGGTGTTAGAGGGAGGGAGTGTCATATGCTGTGATGTTGAGTCACAGCATGGGAGGAACTAGACCGGGGGACTTTTGATCAGTTTCGAATGTCGAGCAGTTCGCGGGCCATTGCTTGCTAGGTCAATGCTTGCGGAATCGGCACCGCTCTTCCGATGTTCGACGTGATCCCGCACTGGCTGGGATCCATAGAACCGTTGCGTTGGAGACGTTGCAGACCAGGGTGACAGCATGTGTGGCGCGGTCGTACCGGTGGGAGTACCAGGAGTACTGGTATTGGCGGAGGGAGAGGGGGGCGAGGGGAGCTTAGGGAGCGGGCAGTTGGGGGGTGGTGCAGACGGAGGCCCGATTGTCAAACCCAGACCAGGCATGCTCTTGCGGCGCAACATGCTCGGACCAGCTTGGTTGTTTGAGTATGCAGTGGAGACTCTCTTGCGCGGTATTGGATCTTCCGGTGGAGATGCAGGTTGGACCTGGGTTGCATTGGTACTTTTGCGACTTGTACTAGGGCGGCCGATCAGGCTGACTGGACGGGAAGATGCCCTGGGATCAGGTAAAGGGCCTGTAGGCGGCGCTGTTATGGGCGCTCGGGAGAAGTTTTGGGCATTCTGTGTGGAACGGACGGTTTTCGTCAGGGCATCCTCTGAATTCGAGGGTCGCAATATGCGCCTGGCCTCCGATGAATCTGTATACCGGGAACTAGCGACGCTGAATGTCGGGGATTGCGGAGGAGATGCAAAGGCGGACATATTTGGGTCCGTGTCGGCGCGGCGTGAAAAGCCGTTGATTGATGAAGGAGGAGAGGCATGAGAGACGGGAATCGGCCCAGATCGCGGAACGAATTTCTTGCTAAACGAGGGGACACTGAAATTAGGCGCCGGAGGTGAAGCGCTGCGGATGAGAGCTTCGGGAATAGGTGGTGGGTGAGTTGCTTGTGGCTCCTCTGTGAAGTCGGTAATGGGTGGTGGCTGAGGTGGCAGGGGCTTATATAAGGATTGTCGTTTCCCATGGCCAGAAGCAGGCGGACTGCGTGTGTAGATTCGGTCAAGGTCTTCCGGCAGAGGCTCATCGGACCTGAAAGCGCCAGTGCCTATTGGCGGCGAGTTGGGTATGTTCGAAGAAGTGAATGACGAAGAACGAATGTCAGATCCGATAGAAGCAGAGCCATTGGTAGGATTTGTGGCCTCGGTTCGGCTAGTCGACACTGATCCGGATCGAGATTCAATTATTGAGCGACGATTAACCGACACATATGAACTGCGGCGAGATTGCCATGTTGCACCACCGACGGAATGGCCATCTTCCTCCTCAGTGGGCGATTGGAGGACCTGCGGTTGAAGGAAAAGACTAGAAATGCGATGTGGATCTTTCTTTACCATTTGTCGAACGCTCGTCTTGGACCGCAGCTGAGGCATCGTGTCTTCGTCCGAGTGTTTCTCTTGTGTGAATTTGCGTCCTCCCCGTTTTTCGATCTCAGCTCTAACGGCCACCAACCAGCCTATCATATCATCGGGGTTGTCGAACACCAGAAGAAAGTTGCGCGAAAAGCGCCGGTTATTAGGCTTGTGGAAGCCAAAGCGCGAGAATCGAGGCTTGGGAGGTTCCGGTACGGCGGGATCATCAGCTGTCGGGTTGTGAGAGACCTGGACTACCCAATGTTTCCCGGGAATGGCGTCACTAGCAAATGCGACAGACTTGGGCCCTAGTAGTAGCATCCGCTCCGGAAGACGGTCGTGCTTCCCTTCACCTGCATATTGGAGAATGTAACCAGTAGTTGCCAGGACATATATTTTCCGAGTCCAATCCTCCTTGTTGATGGTACCAGATAGTGTCCGGAGATGCTTCCTTTGCTTTTGTTCCCGCTTTTTACGAGCGGCATCGGCGGCGTCGTTCTGCTCTAACGGGTTGGCAGGGTTGTCGTCGGTAGAGCTCCTTGCGGTAGTAGCGTGCAGGCGCAATATGGAATCTGCAGAGAGAGCAGGTGCCAGCAGGCAGTCATGCTTGGTGGATTGGGGATAGGCCTGGAACAACGGGGGAGGCTTCCAGCCATACTGTTCCTGGTTCGCTTCTTTGGGGTCAGGTTTCGGACGGGAGGACTTGAATGCTATGCGCGATCGTTCTGTCGGGGAGGCAATTGTCGGCGAGGTAATCGTGGGATTGGAGTCTATGGTTCGGGGGGCTCATGATAGAGGGCGACAGGGGGGTCTCCGAGAAAATGGCAGTTTGAGGTTCTGGCTGTGACTCTATAATCTCCTCCAATTTGGGGTCGGCGCGCGAAGACTTATGACCAAAGAGACTGCGCAGACTCGTTTTGGAGGATTTTTGTTTAACGGGGCCATGGAGCGGAACGGGACCTTCTGATCCATTGATACTGGGGTACTCGCTTGGTCGAGGGCGTTGTACCCGTTTCTGAGCAGCTGGTCGACTGAAGTTGGTCTGTAGGGGCGCAAGTCGACGTCCTCTGCGTTCGCCAATTGATGGCTGATCTGGATTCATTGTTGAGGAGCGTGCTCAAGACAGTCTCACGCAGTTCCACACAGTTCCAGACAATTCGCGACTTCAGGCTTTCAAGACGTTGAGCGCATTGGAGAAAAAGGAGCGACGAGCTTTTAATATAGGCAATGATCATCGGCAGGGAACGTGGGAATGGATTGATTCGACGTCATGGCACGTCCGACAGGAAATAGCCGTTGAAATATAATCTATAAATATGAAGAGAGAAATCGAGATCGAAATCGAGGAACGACCCTTTCGGGAGAGAAAAAAAAAACACCCGAAGTGGGAAAAAAAAACATCTCGCAAGCAGGATTTCAAGGGGAAATGGGAAATTCGCATTCAGACTAGTTCCAACCGCCAGTGGGGGGGGATCTACTGGTGATAGTGTGTGTTGAGCCGGGGAATCAAAGATTGGCCGAGACGCAAATTTGAGTACTTCGTACGGAATAACTCCATATTTAGACAGTCGGACCACACTTCAATCCCTGATCGGGATCAACAGCACCCATCAGATCAGCACCTCGATCACAATGCTGCGCCATCGTCACATCCTTTTGTGTGAATCCGCGTGGGCGATGGGTCGTCCAGTGCACATCGACGGAGCCAATCCGCTAACGAGTCAGCCTTAATTTCTTTTTTACTCCGTACCCGATTTAAACTTACAACTGTCATGGTGGGATGATGTTTCTTGGATGCACTCTCGGCCGCAATCATATTAACAAATGCCTATAGCTTGTCAGTTTATCCAGTCTCATAGGAAGCAGAAGCAGAAGTAGAAGCAACCCCAGTCCTAGTCCAGAACAGAGGAAAAAAATAACTCACAACAGCCTTGAAATAGCTCTTAAAATGAAACGTCTTGGTGACCCCCATCCCGTCTCCATCCTGCGCCCAGCCCTGCTGTAATAAAGCATTGGCATCGGAGGTAAGTTGCTGCGCATCCTCGCCCTCGGCGAACTGAAACGCGCTGGATGACATTCTCGGGAATTGGCGAAGAGGGAATGCGGGTGCCTGCAGTTTGGGGATTCCGGTGAAAGGTCTCTTTGAGAGGTGTCTCGCACAGAGACGCATGGAAGTAAGACAATTCATTTTCCTACGGAGTACTCCGTCCGGAGTACAAAAGTCGGGGGATTGGAAAGAGGAGAGTTGTCTAAGGCGGTGCACGGGCCAGTCTTATCGGAGTTGAGACTTGAATGCTATTCTTATTCATCCATGCAGCCCTGGAGACATGCAGACATGCATGTTGTATGTAGGTATTATGTATATTTATCTAACCAGCTTGATGCAATCCAATATTAAACTCCACACTTTCCATATTGTCCGTAGTCATTGGGAACAAGGCCTGATTACGCTGCTGGTCATAGACAGGTTATGTCCGCCCAGATCCGTAATAGTGTGATAAATCAAAACAAATCGCTCCTTGTCCTCCATCTCGTTATCATCAATAAAAAATTCGTCGCAGAGCATCATGTCAAGACAATCAACGCAGTAGAAGAAGGGCGGCCTAGGGTCATAGATCAAATCCAGAAACTTGTTAAGGCGGTTCATCCAGACGATCGCGAATACATAGCTTCGACATCGTTTGCTTCATGGAAAAACCACTTTTCGCTGGCTAGCGCATCAAGGTCGGGCGTGTCTTTTCCGTTGCGGGCCATCCAGCCATATGCGACCAGGTAATTGTGAAGTCTGGCGCAGCGCTCATAGTCGAGAGTGCCGTCATCACCGGCCGGGTTGTCATCGGACACTAGAGCGTCTTGAATATCGAGGATCTGTTGTGGAGTGTTCACGGTTACGGTGATAAGAAGTATGGAACTTTAAGGCGACAAAGATTAAGGCGACAAAGGTTGAGAGAAGCAGTTAGACTGTAAATTGGAGAATCTATCGTAACGTTCAAAGAGATGAATGAACATAGAGAGATTTCTAATAAGGGTTTGGGTCCAGTTAGGTATTTGGAACACTTCAGCAGCTATACTAACAACGTGTAACTATATACTTGATCCAAAGACTTCAGAAAAGACTAACAAAGACTGTAGTAAATTAGGCGAATCAGAGACTTCTTGCCAATCATATAAAGAACAAATGAGATCACTTCGAAATCTGCAACTCCAATAAACCTTTCAGGGCATTGGTCTCTCCCTCCAATTTGGATACGCGAATTTTCAACGCATCCCGCTCTTTCTTGATAGCATCCAGTTCTGCTTCCAATTCATGCGTACGATCAGCACGACGTTGGCGATACCGCCGGGCAGCCAACGTGTTGAGCCTTGTCTTAGATGCTCGGCCGGATGAGTCTTTGGATGACTCGCTAGGTGATGAACTCGCTGAGGACGAGGTAGTAGATGGTGCGGTTAAGTTGGACGTATTCGGGGTTTCTCTTGGTGTGAGCCCGGAAGGGATGTCAAACGTCACTCCATCTGGGAAGGATTGAGGTCCGAAATCAGGCGAGGCATCGAGGGGAAACAGAGGTTCGGTCCATGTAGAAGCGTCCCAACTTATTACAGCGCGATCGGTATGTGTTGGATCGGGTGCATGGAAGTTGAATTGGTCATTTGAAAGAGGAATGGGGTAGGAAGGCAGTGTTGACCAAGTGGAGGGATCGTGATATAAGAGGTCATTGCTGGGGTTCCCAGGGTTAGACACGTCCTGCGAAGGCGATCTCAAGGTGTCGGGTGTCGCACTCGATGGAAAATCCGGTGGTGGCCATTGTGAAATTGTTGTGGTTGGGTCCTGAGACCCGAAAGAAACAATAAGGGATTCAGATAATCAATCACTTGAAGATCTTGCGACAGCTTGGAGGGGATAGCGCGTTGGTGGCTGGCCCCCATTGGGATGTTTTCTTTTGTTTGATTCTACCGAACGAAATATGTGCGAGTGAACCTTTTTTATATTTCAGTAGATATCTATGTAGACCAACCTTCTCCGAATGGCTACATACAACATACTACTCCGTATATGTAGATCACCATTCTTCTCCGAGCCACTTTCCTCCGAGCCACTTCCTCCCGATGCTACAGCCTTTTATTCAACACAACCCCATGTCAAATAACATTCTTAGCCTTTATTTCATTTTTGTTTCTTTAACTCCAAAATATTTTATTGGAGGACAGCACAATACCTTCTGGGAATACGGGGTTATCGTCTATCACCCTGCTATCCTGGGATCGAGGCTCTGGTATTATACTGCTATCCCCTCTGCGACAGACTATCTAACTCTGAATACTAGATCTAAAGCTGAATTCCTTAAGATGCCATTCTCCATCTGGATGAATATCTACACATGTGCACTTTTGACATGTGCACAGACGCCGATATCGCCAGTGTTTTGTATCGGCGTATCGGTATTTTTGCCAAACTGCACAGGTGTGTCCTGATCTGTCTGGGCAGTTATGCCTCGAGGTCTACACGGAAATAGTTTTGAATAAGTCTTGGAAGAATGCCTTTATGGAAGACTTGTTTCTCATGGCCAAGATATCGGCCCAATTACTCTATCTTTCTGCACAGCTCGCGTGCTGAATGGTATTGTACGAGGCTGCAGCTAGCAGGCTAACTACTTAGCGTCAGCGCAAAAGTAACCCAACGGTTAATTTCGGGGGCCATCTCGATGAATCGAATCCTGCGAGTATTCCCTGAACTTACCCCGTTTTTCTACCCACCGTTGACAGTGCCACATGGCTACCAACACACTCCACACTCCGGGATTAATTACAGCTGGTATAGATGGCATCGAGGCTGAAGCGTTTCCTAGTGAGGATTCGATGAAGGGGTCCAAGTCGAAATCTCCTTCCCGGGACTCTGCCAATGACAATGGATTCCGTTGTGAGATTTGCAACAAAGCTTACCCGCGGCGTATGTTCTCAAAGGTTCTTACTCAATAGGTGGAAAGGATCTGTGTCTGACATGCTATCTTACCAGGTGATCTACGAGATCGACACCGGCGTCGATGTGCCGCCAAAGGAGGCCAGAGCCGCAAATCCAAGCAGAAGTCCTGTGAAACATGCGCGCAAAAGAAGATCCGCTGTTCATTGTCCCGTCCTAACTGTGATCGATGTGCTCAATTAGGAATCTCATGCCAATACCCTTCCGGTATAAGAGAGGCGGGGAAGAATTCGCGCCTGGTCAATACGAATCTATCTATGACCCCAACTATTCAGGAACAGCCACAGAACATCAATTTCACACCCGAGCACACACAGTGTGTCGAGGTCAGTTCTGTCTCGATGACCGACACTCCAGATGAAACCCACCAGGAATCTCTGGGACCCATGCCGGACCTCAACGCTCAACTACCTGACGCATGGCCACCATTTGATTTTGAAAATATGCAATTTACAGAAGATGAAATACCAGGAGACTTTTGGTCTTACCCAACTGAGACAACAGGGAGCTCTCTACCCTGGAATGGAGACATAACGCACCTTCCAGAGTTTGAACTCACCGGGTCACTGGACTCTGTTTATACATCAACCTCCGACTCTGTTTCAGGGCATCTCGATCTCACCCAACAGATAGAAAACGAATCAAGCCCGTCCGCACCGAGCGGTCAATCGAATTCATCATCTTCGCCAGTAAGCAGCAGTTTCACCGAAGAGGAGCGTTCAATGTCTGTAAACCTGGACAATAGGCTTTACAGTCCCTCTCACCTCATCTTCGGACACACCTTCATAGTCGGTCTGGGACGTCAAATCCGGGGCGACACAAGCAGTCTGTGTCAGGAGATGCTCGAGCATCTGCGGGAATATCCCGGTCTCATTCTCGATAGAGAGTTCTGGTCCCCCTTCGTCCACCACAGATTATACCGCTGCTCTTTGGGCGGAATGGCACCACCGATGGCAGACGCCTTGGCTTGTGTAGGTGCTTATGCAAGCACAGCTGGCTCAGGTTCCGGTTTCGTCGATCGTATGATATCCCAAGAGCGGGAGAAGCTTGTGCGCAATTTCCACAGCTACACCGATACCCCGGAATTCTGCCTGGCTGCTATGCATGCTGTATGCATTTACCAGATTATGGGGTTGTTCGGCGACAGCTTTATACCTGCTGCAGTTAAGAAGCCAGTGTTTAGCAATGGAAGCGAGGAGCGACGGCAGGAGTTTGAGAGACATGCCGAACTCTACAGCTCATTCCTGTTGAAGGTGAGCCACACCCTTTCAAGTTATAATGAATTTTACTCACAACATAAAGATGACCCGACGACTGTCGAGTATCCATTCAAAGGCCCTCCAAATCCATCACGAGGATGAGAACGATTGGAACCAATGGAAGTTCATGGAATCCCTTCGCCGGAACTTCTTCTTCGTTCATATAATCAACATCCTGGAGTCAAAGGCACGGAAGTTAAACGAGAGCTACTTTGAGCCACTGAACGACAACATGATCCTCAGGCTTCCACTTCCTGCCCCGGAACGAATGTGGCGGGCATGCAGCGCCGAAGAGTGGATGCTTGCGCGTACACAAACACTGGGACATTCGACTTCACCCAAGTCCACTGGATGTGGGGCTGAACCGAATCTTCGGACACTGGGAAGTGTCTTGCAGGCAGTCCATGCAGGAAAGGTGAATGTCGCGTCGTTGTTGCCACTTACTCGTATGATCCTGGCGAGCGCTATCATTTCCCCACCGGGTTCTGCATCGTTCTAAATCGAGACCTTTCAGCTTCTATGCTTTAGGCTTATTGCTTAGGCTTAACTTGTCATGGGTGTGTATTCGCTCATCTTGATTGGCTAGGGTAGACTAGATTTTGTACGGCACGAGGTGAGCACTAAAAAGAGAAAGGTCTCTGCCAGGAATACTCCGATACATGCATATGCATGTACTAGAGGTATGTACATATGGAAAAGGCTCGGCAGAAGCTCGTATGTACCTAATAACCTTGAAGAAACCTTGAACAGTACAAATGCAATAGAGTGATATTAAACTACATTTTAACATTTAGCGCTAGCCCAATCCAGGAGTGCCTGGGCCCGGTCCAAAGATAAAGACACAAGCCCCCGATGTGACCCAAGCTCCGAGAGTATAGTGATTCCGCAGGGTATACTGAAAGCGGTTTCTTCTCTCGAACCAAAGACCTTCGGCTTCATTGACTATATCTACTTCTGACCGGAACCGGACAGGGGTTAGCTCGGACCCCCGGCAGGAATGCCACATCGTCTCTACCGTGTCCTTGGTGTCGGGACCGATCAAAGACCTAATATTGTACTAATGTACTAGTAGATGGAGCTGAAGATACATACTTGCAGTTTGTGCTACCCAGCCACTATTTCCTCTAACTTGTAAATCATTACATTACTTGTCCGACAGAGGTCAGGTGGCTTCACCTTTACTACAATTGTACACTCAAATCCTGATAACTGTAAAGCAATTCGTTCAGCCAATAATAATGGTATAATCCATAACTGGTATCGCTCAGTCGCGAAACCCATAGCATACATGACAACCCGCCCAGATCGCAAATCGTGTCTTTCGAGTCAAAGCAAGCATAGGAAAACAGAAGACAATTAATTTTAGTAACCCGCGTCCGTTCTCCCAGTTCAATACCTCTCATAATTAAAAGTGCACAGGGGCAAAAAGCCACAGACCGGGAGTGGGATATCCACCGAGCGTCAGGTGCAAGAACTACAGCCAGCCACGCACATAGTAGGGTTGACGCGGATGAAAACATGCACGGAGGCAAAATGTGAAGATGCTCATAGATTCCCATCACAGTGACTCCAGCCCTATCACTACTCCCACTGGAAATGAGTATTCACAGCAAAAAAAAAAAAAACAAAACAAAAGAACAGCGATCAAGGATTGATGTTGATGCTGTTGCGACGTGAATTGGCACGAGAGTTCACCTGGGAATTGACCCGGGAGTTGCCTCGGCTGCCGAGCGTTGGGCGGATGCGGAGGTCTTGCTGGGAGCGCGCATACGAACTGGCACGAGACGCCGGCGGGATCTTGGACCCTCGTCGGCTCTGAACCTGCATTTGGTGTCGAGCATCCTCCAGTTGCTGGGCGAAGGGAGAACGCTTGCGCAATGCTGGGCCCTTCCAATAAATGATATAGACCGCAATGACAAGTGGTATGGAGATACAGACTAGGGGAATGTTAGACCGATGGCTCATGTGGAGAGATAGGGCAGGATAGACATACAGAGAATGGTCGAGGCGTATTCAAGGTGGTACTTGCCACCGATATCTGTCAAAGATTGTCAGTGTGATGATGAGAAAACTTGTTGTGTGACAACTTACTCGTGAAGAAGGGCGTGGCCGGAATAGTGAGGACACCAGCAAGGAAGTCTCGCGACCACCCGTTGCCACCGGTCGCAGAGGCAGAGTATGGTCCGTAGGCACAGATCATGTAGTCAATCGTGGCCATGTAAATAGCATAATTGGCAATGCCAATGATGGCAGCAAAGATCATAGATCCGATCCAGTGGCACTGAGGCAAACTGGTCCAAGCGAATCCGATCAGACCAATGGGTAGGCAGGGGACCGTGTACAGCAGCCACCACAAACGAGACTCGTACTGTGCCCGTTCGCTCTCCGGATTGTCGCGGCGCTCTTTGACGTTGCGTTTGATGACCGGGAAGAAGGAGAACCAAGCGACGAAGTAGCCAACCACAATTGGGATGAAGGCCAGACCCTTCTGCCAGGTGTTGAAACCCCACTGGCTGTACACAAGAGAGAGCGACTGGATGAACATGAAAATAAGAGCATCGCTGAATCCACTCAGCAGAGAGAGAACCAAGACAATGGGCTCAGTTAGGAACATTTTGAAGGGACGAATCCAGGTAGCCATAAGCTCACGAGGCGGGAAACGCTGGCGGAATGACATGCCCTCCGTAGGTCCATAGATGTGGGGATTCTCGCCGGACTTGCGCATCGATTTGGCAATCCGATCCATCATCACAGTAGTTCTGGTTTCTGGGACAAACAGGTAGTGGGCAACCTGCACGAAAACACCGAAGATTAACTGAATCCAGATATTCCACCGCCACGGCAGGAAAGCCTCGACGAAGCCACCCACTACCGGACCAAGCACGGATCCGCCAACCGACGAGAACACGACAGCAGCCACGGCGTATTGCTGGGCATCGGGCTCCCACATATCGGCAATCATTCCTAGAGTGACAGAGCCACCAGCAGTGGAGAGACCACCCAGGGCACGACCGACCATGATAGAGGCGAAGTTGGGCGCCAGAGCCACGGGGAGCTGAAAGACGTTGACAAGGAACAGAGATGCCTGGAGAATGGGCTTGCGGCCCAGCTCCTCACTCCACGGTGCCCAGAGTTCACAACCGAAAGCGTAAAGAACCAAGAAGATCATGGCACCGCAACGCGCTGCCTGCATGGAAACATTGAACTCCTCTGAGATTCCGGCGGCGGCGTTTGAATAGAGAGATGTATTGAAGTTCATCGACGTCTGAACGAGGAAGATGGTAGTGATAATGATCCACTTCTTTTTTTCGGTGAACGAATATCCCAATTGATCGTAGCACATGTCCTCGGTGAGCTCGATTATACCTCCGGGGGAGGGCGATGCCTCCTCGAGCTGATCCTCTTCCTCCAATTTCTCAGTAGCGGCATTGACAACGGCTTGGGCGTGCGCAGCCTCTGCTGCATGCACGGTATCCCTCCCGGGTTTCTCGGAGCTGATCGTCATTGTTGGTACAGATGGTATAGGGTAAACTGGTATCAAGACCAGTGATAGTAAAAGAAAACCCCAGAAAATAAGAACACAAGGAGACTGGATATCAATAGAAGGGGAAAAGAAAAAGTAAAAGAGGAAAGGGAAGAGGAATTTAAATACAGAAACGGGGGAGAGAAAAAAGGGTAAGAGCCAAATGCAGGCAAGAGCCAATTCCAGGGTTCCAGTACGTTTCCAGTACTGTCCTCGTACATGTTCTAGTACATATCTTAATACATATCCTCGTACATATATAGTACAAAGTTCCAAGCATGTCACCTTTTCCACGTTGTCTTTTAATTTAATTTTGTACCTGACTTACATGGCTTACATGGATTACATTGGTCCTTACTCCAGACGGGATGCCGATGTCCCACTTTTCTCCAGACTTTCTCTCTCCAGATTTTTCTCCTTTTTTTTTTTTGCCTCTTTTGCCTTTTGACCCCTTTAACATCCATCTCGCAGTGCCCTTGATCCATTACCTAAAATATACAATCTGCGGTTGAGAGAAGTATTCCCGAATTTCTTTTTGTGCTTTCAGGGCTAATCAGCCGGAATAGGAAACTCGCATTGGGGTAATCGGACCCACCTTGGAGAAAACAACATCTCCAGTCTTCCCCGTTGCCGGACTGGGCCGAATGTCCGCTTCGGGTTCAATACCTTTTGCAACCTCAAGTCTGTGTATATTGTATATCACGGGGTATGCAGAAGATCGGGATATCAACCCCATGTGCCCCGCGAAGCAAGGAGCCGTTATTTGCCGACCGTGCCCGAACCATATGGTTCTCCATATGTGATGGACATTCTACGGAATGCACATATAAAGTCTATGAAAATGATAGATGGGAAGGTGAAAAAAAAAAGGAAAAAAGGAAAAAAGGCCGGCCATGGTTCCCTTCCATTGAAATTGACTTGTTCCTGTTAAAACAAGACATTGCCAAGTCGCGAATTACTTGCCTTGGCTGTCTGTGACGTCAAGTCGACCAGAAGAGGACAAGTCATTCGTCAATCATACAATCCAGGACAGGTACTGCGGCTAAAGGATACGAAAAACCTTGGAATCGTCCATATTACGGTGGCGCTGATCGTCGCCAGGGCTGGCGGCCCATAACTCTTGTTCTGACCGGAGTACGCTTACCTTGTGATCGAGCATTGCTTATTCCTTTTTTCTTTTTCTTTTTCTTTCTAAATGCCGGCCCCATTATAATATCCTTCCAATACACAAAAGTAAAAAGGAAAAAAAAAATAAAAAAGAAAAAGCCCCTGCACGGTCTCTTCCGGCTTTACGTTCCAGAATACTGTGTGGCCCCGAACGGTATGAATTACGTACTTGTCAACCACACACACATTGCAGAGATGGATTAATCGCAATCCCTTGCAGGACATTTCACTGTTACATTTCCCCAGGATTACTGATCCTCACCTGCCATTGCCCACTGGGGTAAAAGACCAGAAGGTTTTCCCAAGTCGCATCGCCCAAGGAAGGGGGGAATGTTGTCCGGAAACAACCACTGGACATCGCACGTCCCCCGGACCTGTCTGGTACATTCCTGCACATGGCAAATCACATTGCTGGGATCGAAAAGATCGTATCTAGAGCGCCACGCGACGCTTTGTTGATCTTTGCGGCGATCCTACCGAATTGGTTTACATGTAGTCTGTATAGATGACTCTTCGAACTTGTAAATTTGAGCGCCACTCGGAGAAACCGGCGTATCCCCCTCTTGGCCTGGGCGCAACCAGGGGCCCAGGTATGATTTGTTGTGGCTCGACCTTAGTAGGTCTGGCCTGGCCCATGTTCCGGAAGAATCCTATAAGCCCCGAGAGAAAGAATCCGACTAGTCACCTGCTCACTCGGAGTGTAAAGAGATCCAGTCTGACAGTCCATGAACTCCTAGAGCATTCTAGCTATTCGGCCTCAGGCATCATTTTCCACAAACGGCGTTTGTTTTGTATCACGTGATTGACCCCGCAAAAAAAAAGGCTGAGTCATCAGATCCTCACGCCCGTGCGGGATGTCTGACGTTACCTACAGATTAGAGCGTCATACATATTCGTCAACATCTACGCAGTTAGTACTTGAAGATGTCACCGGATCTGAATTCCCTTCCTCCATCCCGCTCGTCTTCAACCTCTTCCTCGATTCTGCAACGTAATATACCCGCTCCCGGAACTGGGCCGGCGCCGGTGAACCCGAACACCGCATCACCAATGCCCTCCCGTGGTTCAAGCATAAGCCGACTATCGGTATCCGAGCGACGTCGATCTGCTGCCGGCGTGAATCTGAACCTGAATGAGATGCAGGGAACTAGTCCAGGAGCTGGCGGCGAGTTACCTGCATCAGACCACCGCGACCATCGCAGCTCGATCGGACATGCATTGCGAACAGCCAGCCCGTCTAGCCACGGGGGTAGCCCCATATTCGCAACGGCAGATCCCCATCACCAGCGCGCACCATCGTTGGGAGAGCTACACCAAGAACTGGAGCAAGAACAAGAAGCACAAGTGGTGGGTTGATCTTCATCGCCGGAAGCCAAATTGTAGTAAGCTAACCCATTGACCTTGATGGAATGTAGAACCGCCTTCTTCAGATGATCCGCAGCCAGCAGGCCCAACTGCAACAATACCAGCAGCAACAGAACCCGCAATCAACTGCTGCAATCGACGACACCACCCCGGCATCGGAACGGTCGGCCTTCTTCCCCCCGGTCCGGCAGCACCTCCAGCCGGCAACAGATTATCGATCTCTTCTTCATTCTCAAACCGCCGAAACTCGCGACCTTCTAGTCAAGCGACGTCACCGAACTTGCGGCCGCTAGACTCGCGTGGACCGGAGGGCGTGGAGCCATTCCCGGGGTTGCGGGATAGTCCATCTCGGCGCGGGAGCCGAGACGAGAGTGCATTCTACCAAGCCGAAGCGAGCTCCTTAGCCCGAGAAAACGTGCTCCTTCGGCAACGCATTCGGGAACTAGGTAAGAAAATCCCTTTTAGCGTTCTTTCAACCCGCAGTAACCCTGCGGAGTAACCCCACCCCGAGAGTGGATCATGATTCAAGCTCGTATACTAATTTCCCCCACAGAGAGACAACTTGGCGGCCTGACGACTTCCCAGACCGCGTCTTCTGCAACAACTACTTCGGGCATTCCGTCCGGGCAAGCGGGGGCCGAAACCGCGGACCCGCCTGCCGTGAGTTCAGCGCGAGATGGTAAGGACTGAAAAGAGGCAATTAGCGCGAGTCTTGGCCCTTTGAAACGACCCCCACAGTGCGATATGATTGATACATCATCCGGAGGTGAACCTAGTTGTTCAATACACTACCAATGCAATACCACGACGGATAATGACCACAGAAATCCCCCCTGAGTCCCCAAGCAACGGATGTTGCGCGATTTTGCAATCTTGGCGCCTGAGTTCTTGCGAAGGACGGAAGCTTTCTTGTTCTGGGCACCGATATCCCATCTTCCGGGGACAGACGCCGATATTTCCATTTCCTTTGTGGCAATGCGCAATTTGACTTCATGCGCTTTTCGTCAAGGATGCAGTTCAGACCAGTGTGATTTGCATGCAGAATGTGCGGGCTGTTGCTGTTACTAGCAAATCTTCCCATTGGAAACGTCGAGGTCTCGATACATATGGGAAACCCTGAATTAATGTAGAAATCCATGATAATACATGTTGACTTGATCAATTATAAGTAGATACATGTACTCAGGGGTTGAACTTGGACATATCGACTACTCTGCGTCTTCCCACATAGAATTAGCCATACGAACTAGGTCACTTCTCGAGATCTAAGCATTTCCCATGCCCTCTCTTTGCACGTAGTTCAGCCCAAAAAATGAAACACCACAATCTCATCCAAATCCTTCTCATCAAAGTACCGCAGACCTCCCGAGATCTTTTGAGGGTCGAAGACACGACCCGGCCATTATTATCTTCCATCTTCCATGAACCATCTCCCAACACATTTCATCCACCATATTGGTCTTTCCTTTCTGAGTTCCATCTCTGAGCCATCATCTGGTACGTTTCCTACCTAGGTATCTATCGCGATCTCTCACTTTGCCAGGTTCCTCTCGCTTAATCACATCCGAGATCCGTTAAGACACTACTTCAATACTGACTTACTCAGGCTCACCTATCCTCCTTCCACTCACACCTGCGCAAGGTTGAGTTCCAGCCAGGTAAGTTACCTCCAACTGAATCTTCTCTTCGGCTCTAATCCATTCCATTCATGCAGGTATCACGCGCCCCTACTTCGATGCTACAAAATCCACAGTACCTAAGACCTAGCGTATGTCTAATTTTCCAGCAACTGAACATAAAGTCGTGCAGCCTTTGGACAAAGACAGTTATGGACTACCTAGGACGATGATTCCCAAAGGACCCCCTACCTTCACCCCGTTTAATACGGGAGATTCACTTTTTTATTAATAAAAGTGAACTAGAAGATTAAGCTTAACAAAAACTCAGCAAAAGCATAAAACGTTGGAATGGACAGGTCTTATGTATGTATACTTACAATAGGATACCCATATGTAGGCAGGTTGTCTTCAATGTTCTCACTTTCACCTTCCTCTCACCTTCCTCTCATCTTCACCTCACCTTCACCTTTCACTTTCTCCCAACATTGTTACCAGTAGAGATTTATTTTCCCTATTCCTCCTTTCTCCTACTTGTATGCTAATCTCTGTATTGAGCTTTAGACACTATGCGACTGGTGTTCAAGTTTCCCTCGCTTGTCGCACTAGCCCGCTGAAGTCCTAAATTTTTTTTTTTTTCTGTCTCTTCCCACAACTGGTCCTCTAACGAGGTCGATCTGAATATCCTTACTCCTCGCCCCTAGCTCCCAGATTTACTTGGTCAACCCATATTCGGTAAGTTCGATCACATCGAAGAATCCGCTGCGGGTTTATCACAGATCAGTTGGCTAACACAGTTCATGTCTCTTACAGTCTTGACAATTACCAGCAATGGATTTCAACGAGTTTGCTCGAGCCTTTGACGAGCCTGTGGGTTACAATATCCAAGGCAACAACGAATTGCGTCAATGAAAACCAAGCATATTGTCAGTTGGTTACAGCTTTGCCAATGTCAAGTCCCGTCTAGTCCTCGACTCAGAGCAGCCTAGACTCGAACTCTGCACTGGGGGCTTGCTCTTCACCGCGGAGGATTGTGACTTCCATCCACTTTGCCCGCGAAGGAATCGAACTGGTGTCCATTGGCGTTTCCAGCAAAACAGCAAAACCGGTCCTACTACTCTGGATGGTCTTCTTCGTCGTCAATTCGGAACCTGTGACAGAGGGCGATTTCAAGGCGAAGGGCTGTAAGGGCACGGTCCTAAACGATGAAACACTGGGAGATTTTGTCATCAACCACTATGGTCTCCTCTCCCGGTCTGACGGAAGTGAGCACAAGATTCTCATCACCACGGCGCCTAACACCCTTCCGATCGATGAAAGATCAGGGCTTTGACTACGGCGGGTACCAAGGCGTGCGTGTATGGCGATAAGCCTGAGAACCATAGAGCGGGATCCTCACCTAGTCGGAATGTCCTTGCTCATGGCACAGAGCTTGACGTTACCAGCCCCGACTATTTTGTTTTGACCATCGAGCTGCTCTCATCCTTTCCCTCCGACCTTGCCAAGCAGCGCCTACAATACGTCCGGGACGTCTGTCACCTTGATCCAAACCAAGAGGAGACATTCACCAAGTCTACTACCGAATATCGAGAAAATTATAAGAGCCGTTTGAAGGCCGTTTTCAACAGGCAATTGGCCAAGTACTGGGGATATAGCCTTTCAGGATCAACCACTGGCTTTCTCACTCGAGTCTCCCACGAAAATTTCGCAAGGAATATGTGTCGGCCATGGTGAATCCTGAGCGGAGAGTGGCTGGTACTTATAGAAGGTAGCCCAGCTGCGCCTGGGTCGGTCCTGGCCTCATCCAAGGTTCCTCTGGAACAGGCAAAACGACCATAGCGGTAGCCATAGTTCTTGCAATGATGGCGCTCCAGGTAAAGGTGTTGCTCACTGCTGCGTCGAACAAAGTCGTTGACAATCCACTCTCGCTCTCACGAGGGCGCTTAATCGGGATCCTCGCCTGAAATCTTGGTGTGGACATGCTGTTCGATTCCGCACATCATACCGCATGTCGGCAGTTTGAGCGGAAAGCAAAATTGTACGGCCCACTCTACGTCGGCAGGCCATAGTGAGTCCGATCTCGACCTAGAGGCCATCCAGATGCACACCCTGGTCTTCCAGTATGTTTGATGCGCATCCTAATGACCCCGAGTGTCAGGAGCTCCGCGTACTGTCTAAGAGAGACACCTCCTATGACTCCCCACTTAACGGCCAGGAAATCATCCGGCTGAGCAATCTATACGACAAGATGGTGAGGGGGTTTTTGTCTCGAAGCAAGGTGGTGGCAACCACCCTCTCCAATGCCGCTCAGGGATGTTTGAAGTATTCAGACGTCAAACAAACTTGACGTTGCTACAATGAACACTTCCAAGACGTTTCCGCACACAAAAGACCCTTTTGGTCAGCGTACCTGCTTCACTGTAGGTCGGAGATTGGTGGTTGACATCTTCCATGACTACACCTTGTGGAATGGGTTTAGAACCACATGCATACAATAATCCAATTTGTTGTTGCGCTATTGATTTGCATTCGAAGCCCTCCAAGTGAGGCAAACGGCCGTTAGATTCTCAACACTCTACTCCTCGAGGCGTGTGGCATTTCACGGTCATCTACCCCCAGGCTGCGCTGCCCTCAACATTTAGGTAGAGAGGGGGCGACCTGCTGCTTAGTTAGGGACACGGTTCTATGAATATACACTCATCGATCCAATTCGATCTATTCACAGCACATCGTAATGCTAGAGACAAATCATGTTGTGTACAATAACAGATAGATGTAGATACAAGACATTCCAAGTTGAAGAAAACAAAGATATATTTATCTATCAGGCGCTGGAGTAAGGAAACAAAAATCCAAAGCACCCAAAACTAACAAAAACCGGGTATATGCAAAACACATCTACAGCTTCGGCTTCTCAGCCTGGGCAACCAGGTCGGGCATGAGGAGATCCCGAAGCTCAGTGGCAGCCTCATTGAGGAAATGGCTCATACGCTCAGCGCCGATACGCTTGCAGACGATGTTGAAGTTGAGGCTGGAAAGGATAAGTTAGTGATATGCACAAATAGATAAAAAAAAAAGGGATGGGGATGCTTGGTGCTTACCTGTTCTCGTTGATCATGTAGGCAATTCCGAAACCATCGTCAATAACCTGGCTCCATCCGTATCCGTTGAAGAACTCGGAGCTCAGCTGGGAGGTGGAGAGGTACCAAGAGGAAGAGTAGGCGTACGCGGGATCCTGGTAGATCTCGGGCAGCTTCTCGCCGGGCTGAAGAAGCTTCTTCAGACCGAACAGGTGACGGTCGACACCGTGGCCGGCGCTAGCCTCCTGGGTGTACTTGGTGTGCTGGGCGAGGGCAGCGCGGAAGAGCTTGACGGTCTCCTCGCGGGGGGTGGTGTGGTCCTCATGAGCCTTGCAGAAGGCGACACTCTCGTCGGAGACGGTGCGGGTTGTCTCTGTGCGGCCTTCGGCGAACTTGCGGGTGGAGGCGGACTCGTAGGTCGGACGGTTCTTGCCGTACATCTTGAAGTAGGCCAGCTGGATGATCATCTGGACGAAGGCATCGGGGCTGCACTTGAACTTCTTGATGAGACCCTTGCCGTAGCCCTGGTAGGCCTGGACAACCAGCTCGTGAGAGCCGATCTGCTTGCGGTGGTACTGTGTTGCGAAGTCGATGGCCTCATTGGCGGCGTCGTTCAGCTTGAAGTTGATGGGCTTGGGGTCGGCGAGCTGGGAGCGCACGGACTGGGCGGAGAGATCGATTTTCTTGTTGAAGATGACGTTGTTGACATAATCGTTCAGGCGGTGGGTGGGAGTGCCGTCCATCATGCTGTGCTCACCCATGAAACCAGCGGTGCCATTGTCGTTGACAATGAACTGCAGAGGCTTATCGAACCAGCGGTTGGAGCCATCACCGTGCCAGTACTGCGAGCAGCGCTCAGCCAGAGTGATGGGGCGAGCGTCGTCCAAGCAGACCACAAAGCCAGCAGACTCAATCTCCTGCAAGGCCAGCTCATTGGCAGGGTCAAGAGAAACGAGGGTCTTGCGAGCAGCAGTCCAGTGATCACGGTCGGCAACAGTCAGCACACCAACGGGAGGCGCAGGCTGTGCGATCTCGTAGATGCGCTCGAACTGCTTCTCCAACTCAGAGACATTGAGTTGCTGACCGTCTATGACGAGCGGGACCTTGAAGAACTGGTTCTTGCGCACCACCACGATGTGCTGGTTCTCAGAAGCGGGGTACTTGCGAGGGGAAATCCGCACCATCGGCGGGGATACGGCAGCAGTTGAACATGTACTGGTACGAGCTCATGGCCTGAGGCTCCTTGCGGAGGTACTCGGGCTCCAAAGAGCCATCATCGACCTTCGCCTTGAAGTCGAGCGCAGCAGTGGTAATGGCAGCGGCGCGCTTGGCTGGGTTGCGACGCTCGCGGTCGTCCCGGTAGGAGTAGAAGTAGGAGACGTAAGGGATGACGGGGTCGCGGTAAGCGAGGTAGGCGGCCTGGTTCCACCACTCGGCGAGCCAGTTTTTGATCTTAGGGTCGGCGGCGCGAGCCAAGAGACGCTTCTGCAGAGACTCACCCTGACCACCAGGGCGGACGAACTCCTCCACAGCCTTCTTGGTGCGCTCATACTCGGACTCGGAGACAACAGCGTGGACGGACTTGAGGTACCGACGGCTAGTCTCTTCTAGGGAGGGAACGGGGAGTCTGGGAAGAGAGTCTTCGAATCGAAGCATCTTGCCCTTGGAGAGGTCCTCCTTGTATCCTGTTGTTCTGTCAGTATGTCTGCTTCTCCGGTGTGGATGGACTAGTGATAGCCCGCAGTTGCGCCGGACGTATGTCACTCACCCTCAGGGACAGAAGATGCCGTTCGTCGGGGAGCCATTGTGAGTGTCTGTATGCGAGTCAATGGCTTGATCCCACAATATTTCACAGCATTTCGCAGAAATGGCATTTGTAACCAGAGGACTTACCGAGCGGGCGAGGAGAGTGTTCGGAAGGCGTTGCCTTGGCAGGGTAGAAAGACGGCTTCGAGCAGAAGCAGTGAACATCCCTCTGGTTATATGAAGAAGACGTTGGGTATAAGGAGAAGTGAAGGAGGTGAAGCTTAGAAGGGAGAATAAGAAGTGGCCTAATGACGAGAGACAGGAAAGCCTCGGCTGGCGGGGAAGCCGGTAAAACGCGGTACCGGGGGACTGCCCAGGTTTGTATCTCAGTCGGTCCCGACCGAGTCGGCTTCTTTTCCCACGGGAAACAGTGAGAAGATGAGGAGAATGGGCTGTAGTTTGAAGATCCTACGTGGTAGTTGACTCTTTTATATCTTTTCATCTTATTTATTGTTTTTAATGTGTGTTAACTACTTATATGTCTACATCTGTAACTCGACTCGGCTTAGAAGCGCAAGTATCTAATACGGAAATACCAATACCAGCTCCACCAACGAGCCTCGGTCCATTTTCAGTTGATCTTCGCAGTCACAAGGGAGTGGATTATCGGACATCTGGAGAATGTGAATGTCATTATGTATTCTGTTTCAGAAGGGATTGAATTCAATGTTTCGTATAACAATAAAGCATACATATGTAGACAAATATACAGAAAACTCCAAACTCCAAACTCCAATACATGTACTCCGGTCCTCCGGGCGATCACTCGCAATGCGGGGAGAGCTTCTAGCGTAAATGTACTTCGGAAGGCGATATATGGAGTACATAGATATGTGATCTCAATCTATTACAGAGTAATAAGGGAATAAATAGAAAATAGCGCTAGATTATGTATAGATGAGGGAAAAGAAAAATAAAAACCAAGGAAAATCTCCCTTTCATCCGATCCCGTTCATCCGGCCAACAAAACATGCCCAGGTGTCGAACAAATTTGAATAAGAGAATAACAAGAAAAAGCCAGCCAACACCTTGGAAATACGAGAGTACACCGAATATGGCCCACGGGGAAGGAGAGAAAGAAAAAGAATAAGAAAAAGTCATCGTTATAGGCATCTGGAGCCAGTACTTGGTACAACTTAGGTCAAGCGCAGATAGACCATTAGGAGACTGGCTGCACAGCTGCCGGTTGATCCTGGCCATCAATAACTCGAGGTACCTGCACCCCGTCGCGACGTAGCTCATCTATTTTGGCCATGGCAGGCCCGGTGCAGATGCGACCGGTTTGCATAAGCGTGCGGAGACGTTTACGACGGGCCTCTCCGCTGCGCTCTTCGCCGCGAGCAACGCCCTCGTCCACCCAGTCCACGGCATGGACCTTGAAGCTCATGCCATCGTGGCGACCGTCCCATTTGCGAGACTTCAGCCCGAACATGAGAGTGCTGTCATACTGGGCCACGCGGGGAAGAACGAGCAGGGTGATGTGCAAGTCCTTATCGGTTGGGGGTACGGGCGGTAAGCGTGGCCCCTTGACCGGCGACTTGCCATCAGTAGTGGGTTCGGGCGGCGGTGCATGCTGGTAGGTATCTTTAATCTCGAGATCGAGCATTGACTCGTCCACGTCGTCGCCCCACGCACCGCGAATGAAGCCGGAATGGATGGCAGCAGCAACAGGATCTGAGTCGTCTGTATAAACACCGGTGCCCCAAAGGGCGCGCCGGGCACAGATTTCCTCTCTATGAGATTGATTGATACGGAAGCGGGGGACCCGGACGGTGAATGTGCAATTCTCTCGCTGTTCGAAGCGTGGAAGAGGCTGTGGGGTCGTTGTATATCCAAACTTGGAGCTATCCAAAGAGGACTTGGCAGTGGGGGTCCTGATGCGAGGCGCATAAAGCGTTGAGCCAAGGTGGTGCCGAGGAAGATGGGCCACACTCGAAAGCAACGGCTCCAGGTTCACCGTAGTACGAGGCTCACGGATAGGAGATGCTGCCGGAATGGTGGCTGGTCGAGGAGCATGGTGATGATGGTGATGGTGGTGTTGGTGGTGATGGTGCGCACCAGGAGGCTCCGCCGGGGATGTTCGATGGAAGAAGCTAGGACGTTGAAGGGAGCTCAGGGTAGCCGCCTCTTCGTCTACCTTGTGGCGATGGTGGTGGTGGCTAGAGGAATATTAGCATACGGATGACACGAGCTGTATCAGATTGGGTAGAACATACTGATGGTGATGGTGGTGGGAATGCCGAGCGCGACGGGCGTTACGTGCTGATAGTATGCCTCGGGCGTCATTGGCCTCAATTTCCATCTGCTCCTCCTCGCGGGACTTTCTCGACCGTCTGCCGGCTGCAGAGGATGGTCGAGCAAGCTTAGACGCGTCATCCATCCCTTCATTCATCGAGCGACCTGTGAGGCTATCGCGCTTAAAAGGACTAGTGCCTAATGGTGTTGATGGTCCACTGCCACCAGTAGCCGCGGTGACACCACCAACGCCACTGCCAATACCGGAGAACACTCGCCCCAGTTCATTCTTGATAGCTGGCTCGCCAGTGGGGCCAATGTATGGAGCTTGAGCGCCTTGTACCGCTTGGGGAAGCGGCGATGCACGGCCACCGCGTTTCCCATCAACTCCAACAGCCAGTAGGCTGCGATGGTGGCGCAGCTCATCGTTTCCTTTGCGTCGTCCCTCATCAGCCAGGGCTGCTAGACCCGATGATGCAGCAGCTGTGGATGCGGTGATAGCAGGGGTTGATCCTATCCGTGGAGGCTGCCCTTGGTGTCTGAGATATGGATCATGAGGCGGCGGAGTTGGTTGACTGCTTCGAGACTGAAGAGAGGTCTGAGGTTGTCTATTCCCGCCAGATTGCGACCCTAGTGATTTAGTGTAGCTTTGAATGGCCCCAAACCCGAAACCGTGCTCGGGCGCAGGGAAGCGCTTGCTCTCCGGCGAAGGAGGGCGAGAGCGACCGTGGTCCCACGTAGAGCCGCTCTTGTGACGATCGAGCGGGTCGCGTTCACCGTAGTGGGAGCCATACCGATATGGTTCAGGCTGGGTCAACTTGGCGTCTGATCCATGCGCCGGAGCCCGTTCTCGCTCCCGCTGCGCAGTATCCTCCGAGCGCCGCTCGCCAAATATGTTTGCAATCCGACCATGCTGTGGATCATGACTTCCGTACGACCCAGATGCAGCCCGAGGCCCGGATTCGAAGGGGCGATCCGCGACCCCTCCGGGCTGGGAGATCGGACTGTAGCCAGGAGGACGTGTGGGTGCATCTGCGTGGGGTGGCTGACTACTGGGCCGGGTGATCGGACCGTTGAGACTCATGCGACGCGGTTCACTGTACGGTGGCTCTGCCGTGGAGATTCGGGGCGAAGGGTGCGTCGAGTGTGGTTTCTCGGGATACTGTGAGAGCGACGAGCGCGTCAATCCCCCGAATACCGACTGCTCTCCACCTACACTCGAACCTCCGCCGGACCCAGACCGGTATGTACGGGCGCCTTGAGGCTTCGAGAATGGCTTTTCTGGTGTATGCGAACGACGAAAGAAAGAGTTATCGAGCGGTGAGGGTCTTGCCGGGGCAGTGGGTGGGGACATGGCGGCGGAAGATGACGACGGTGCATTAACGAATGTCGATGATGCAGGTGGTCGCGAAAAGAACGGCGCTGATTCCCGTACAGGTTCTCGCGCAGGTTCTCGCGCAGACCGATCTGGGTCCGAGCCTAACATAGCGGATATCGACATGCTGCTGCCCGGTCGGAGTGTCTGACCACCAGGTACATCGCGCGACGCCAAAGAGGCCCCAGGCGCGTGGGTTGATTGGGCTCGCGAGGAATATGAGTGTGGAGGGGATGGGGGTGGCATTTGGCGATTCCCAAGCGCGGGTGGTGCGGACCGTTCGTTCGGACCTATTAGATCGGCTTAAGTTAGCAAAATTTTTGTTGATGCAGCGAGAGAAACCCAAGATGACCGCGCATGTCCCGATCGGGCGAGTGACGAAATCCATGTGTCGCGACAAGGACGGTTGCACGGGGCTCTCGGGCCCAAGTCGGGTGCTCACCAGAAAATCCAGGACTCCCACTGCTACCCTGGGAAGTACGACGCGCTGTTTCGTGTTGTGATGGCGTATTATTCATAACGGAAGCACCTAAGAGCCCTGTGAACGAGTGAGCAACAGTTCAAAAGGGAAAGCAAGGGCCAGATCGAGGAGAACCCGTGACTCCGGAAGCTCCCACGCTAGTCCAAAAATGGCAGGGGCTCCTCTGGACACGCTAGACCCAACCTGGACTAGCGCTCCCGAGCTGTCGTCCAGTCGATCTGCGCCACCGGGGAAAATCCATCAGGGGCACGCGTGTGTTTGGGCAAGGGAAGAGGAGGAAGTGTTGGATGGGATTTGAGGCGTCGAGAGATTTTAACCATCCAAATCCGATGGCTACAAGAAATGCATTCCCCCGGTCGCGCATACTCAAAAGGGGTCTGCAACAAAGTGACAAAGTGGAGGCCAACCACGGCACAAGTCCGATCCTTGGAATCTTGAATCTGGGGCATCGGAACCGGGCAGAGGGAAAGTAAACACGAACATTGAAGAGATTGCCTACCTTCACGATACCGAACAGTCTGAGGCTGCGAATTATTCCTGCGATGCGTTTGTTCAGGATTCCTCGTCTCGAGACTCCCATGCCGACGGTGTACTTGTGTTGGGCCATTTCTCGGAAAGTATGCGCTGGAAGTATCTCGAGAAGTATTCGACGTTCGTAGAGCGCTTGGCTGGTAGAGCTGTGATGGAGAGGGCGTGGTATTTGAAGAGGGAGAAGGGTATGGGCGAGGCTTGTCGGTCTCTTGACGAGACTCTGTAAAAGACGTAGGGAACTGTTGTGGATCGCGAGGTTCTTGCGAGGCCCCCAAAGGTGAAGGCCGTGGCGGGTATGAGTGTTGTAGTCGCCGGTAGTCCATGTCCAAAGCGTGTTGGGCAGCAAGAGGAAGATAGAGATAGGAAGAAAATTATAAGAGAATAGAATGGCGGTGGAAAGGTGGAAATGTGAAATGCGAAAGAAAAGAGAAAAAGGAAATGGGCCAGAGCTGCAGGATCAGCGGCTGATCGCGCGACACCGGGAGATAGCACGAGACGATGGGAACGTGCAGAAATAGGGCGTTTTAGGTGGAAATGCGTCAACAATCAATCAAATACAATCAAAATGGAAGACTTCACTTTTGGAGAAATTTCTTCCAATGTTGACAGGGGACGGAGAAAAAACGGTGAGCGATGACGGTGTCTTTTAGCGTGGGCCTCGGAGCCAAGACTCTCCAATCTTGCATGCGGGGGATTGTGTACATCGACATATATAGATGTGTGGCGAGGTACATTATGCACCTATATTATTCTTTTAAAAAAGAAAAAGAACTGAAATAAAATAAAATAATATTGGCATTTCAAACATATATAAACATTTGTCTTGGACCTGGTTAACATGCCTAGTATCTCGAATAATATAGCGTAGTCTTTTACGGGTTAGCTGTTGGTCCATTACACTGCCTAGAACACCAACACGATACTTAGTGTACATAGCCCTATAATACCCATGTAAATACTCTCTAATAAGGACTTGGAGAGGTGCACCGGAAAGGATGAAACTTCCCATTTCTCTCTGATATGGTGTAGGTAAATCGATTTTGTGGCAACCTTAGAAGTTTCAATATATAGATCTTTCCATTCAGGATTCATGCCCAAGCTGCACGCCTATTCAGTAAATTTTGGATTATTTTGTCTTGTATTGCCTGTTCCTTGTGTACCAGGATGTATGTGCTAGCCCTATTTGGAACTTGCATATGCAGGAAATGAGCCAGGATGACGTTGTTTGGGCATGGGATGTGGAAAAATACCCTATTGTATTAGACTTTGGGTATACTTCATATATGATTAATCGCTAACGTCCTCACCGACATCTCATTACATATAATATACCGAGGTAGCAAATGCAAAAAAGAATGTGTAAAATGAACCAATCAGAGACCCTCAACACCATAGGAGACATAATATTCAACACTTGACCGTGGAACCTTACTCTTACTTCAATTGCAGCCGGCGCCTCCACCTCCTCCCACTCTTGGTCAGGGCGCGCTGGGTGCGCTCAAGTGGGTAGTTGACGGGGGGATTCACCACCGGTGAAGATGAAGAAGTCATATAGGAAAGCGCCCACAAACCCACCACTCAGGGCCCCAACCCAAGGCCCATACAACCAGTAAGGGTCAGTGAAAAGAGTGTTAGGGTAGCCGACGGCGAGAAGCGCAAGCCGCGGACCAAAGTCCCGACTCGGGTTGAATGCCGCTCCGGTCTGGTGGCCAAAGCACATGCTCAGACAAGTAATGACCAACCCAATAATCAGTGAATTCATACCAGCACCAGGTGGAGCATTCTGGTCATCGCCAAGGGCCAGAATGGTGACGATCAAAAGGGCCGTACCCATAAACTCATTGAAGAACGCTGTGGTAGAACCAACCCAAGCTGCACGCGAATTCGTCACAAAACTGTTAATAATACCGGTGTCCGGATTGTGGTAGAGGTAGTTTTGAATGGCTTCGTAATAGATTCCATACGCAACAAGAGCAGCGCAAAAGGCAGCAATGAACTGAGCAGCAAAGTACTCGGGCATCTTGCGTTTGGGAAAGCCACGGAAGAACCACAACACCATGGTCACGGCGGGGTTGAGGTGGGCACCGGAAACACCACCACAGATGTAGATGGCCATCATAGTCGCCAAGCCCCAGGCCCAGGCGGTTGTGTTGGGATTGCCCTGGTCAGCAACGGTGACAGACAAGTTGACACAGAAACCCATAGTGAGCTGGGCAAACACACCCAGGCCCTCCGCGAGAACCTCACGGTGGTGCGTACGAATGACCGACCAGGTGGTGTGGTTGTTGTGCACTTCATCTTCGACCAGTTCCTGAACAAGGGGGGTGCAGGTCTTCGGGGTAACCTGCCTTCTCCAGCTCGGGAATATCCAAGAGTGCGTCCAGTGTTGCACCCAGGTTTTGATTCTCCAATTGATCACCATCGAGCTCCGGCCGCTCCTCTGATGCATCGTTGTCCGGAGAATCTCCTTCCTGCACAGTCGACAGTTGATCTGGGGCCAGATCCCAGGCCAAAGGGCGTCTTCCCCTGGCCGAGGAGGTACGCGACATGCGCGAAGTCTGTCTAGCGGAGGTGCCATCCCCAGTGAGGATCTTATTCATGAAATTATTCTCACGCTGCAGACGAGCATCCTCAACTTGGGCAGCCATCTTACGCGGGTCGGTAAACTTATCAATGCGACCCTGCTCAATATCATTTGGGTCCACGTCAAGCCCGAGTCTTTGTGAGTTCTCCGTAGGATGCTGGGCATTTGACAGGTTCTGCAAGAGCTCATCCTTGGTGGGCACCATGCTCGGCCGCACCACGCGGGGTAACGGCTTTGCCAGAGACCAGACTGGTCTGGCGTTGGAGGCTTGTTCATAAGATGGGTTTAAATCGGCGTACCCCGGCTGTACGAAGGGCTCCTGGGCCAACCGCAACTGGGGTGTTCCATCAGGTCCAGCTAGGGTGGGTTTGCCTGCGTGCGCTGCGCGAGAGTACTGCGAGGGACCAAACTGAGTACTCCACTACCATTGCTGCGTCTCGAAGCAACTGAGCTATATCGCCGGGTACCACTGCCATTCTCAACGGATGTTCTCATGGGTGAGATATAATCCGCATTGGTGGCAGCTCGGGTCCTGGCTGGTGAGCGTGGCTGAGCATCAGACTAGATAATAAATTAGATAATAGTTGCTTTCAGATGCTTACTTCAACTCACTCTCTCCCTCGGATGACTTTCCTCATCCATAATAATTCTGGTTTGAGAGGATCAACCCGTACGATCGGCAAAGTTGATGAGTAGAAGATGCTCCTTCCAAGAAAGGACAGAAAGCAGAGAAAGAGAGAAGGAAAGAAAAAAAGACCGAACAAGAAGGGAAAATTCAAAGTTATTTCAATTCCCCTCATACACCACATGCACATGTGTGCAGTTACGCCATAGCTGGGGGATCTTCATTGAACTCTTCAATTGGCGTATAAGGTGGAGCATACTCTCAGCATATCAGAACATCCCAATCAGTGTGTCGTTTTCATTTGACAGTTCCTGTCCTGGCCTATATTAACTCCGCAAAAGCTTGCCACATTGAATTTGAGTATTTTGACGCTATCAAGTATCTCTGTCGCGACAACCGCGATGCCTTCGTTAAGGTCCGCTGGTATTGTATGTATTCTGTGAGGGGAAGCCAGGTCTGCATGTCATCGTCTTTTTCTTTTCTTTATCTTCTCGAATTGGGCCAATTGGCGATTGATATGCAGCTGTGGGCTTTAGGTCTCGAAATTCCTGCTTTTCTGTGGATCAAGAAATTCCGATCTTGACTGGGATCAGACGGGACATCCGTAAAGGGGAGTTCCGTTGATATTCTATTATAATGAATGTAATGATATGCTTCATTTAAAGCTCTACATAGTAGATTGTTCTAAATATTATCATTACCACAACTAGGTAATATCATGGCCGATATTACATCTATTCAAACCCTTGGATTGATCACAACCCAAGGCTGCACACCTGCCACCTTATCAACCTCCTTGCTGTGGATGGGAAGCTGCAGATACATTGCATTAAAGCATAAACAAGGTTGGAAATCGACGATATCATTCAGATTATCAAAACAAACTCAAACTGGGTATCACAGAGGTCAACAACACTCATACTATATACACACCGGCGACAGATGTCGGAGGCCATCACTCGTGAAGTCACTCGTCATAAACCGTCCTTCCGGTAAAGCAGACCAAAAAATGTCAGAATAAGAATGATTGACACAATCACTCTCAGGGAATGCCTCCCCAGTAACCATGACGGTCACAGGGCGCTGAACAACATCCTGCCCATCCCAATGAGACAGGTATCCCCTCTGCCGGAGAGTATCAAGTTGTTCAACGAGATGTGGGTACAGCTCGTGAAGCGGTGTCTTGGCATCAAGTACTAAAATGAAAGACCGAGACACGTCAGCGTGAAAGCTGCCTGCCATTTCGGGGTTAAGAGATGCCCGGGTGGTAGCATCGTTCTCAGTTTCCAGTTCCGCCAGAAGATGGTTGAGACCGAGTCGCTGCAGGATGTCCTCGGGCTTGGTCTCCGCAACTGTGTTTCCAATCTGCAGCTCCCCGTTGTGCATCCAGACCGCCGTTCGGAGGCTATAACATCCCTCGTTGGGAGACGACCTGAGGGCATGTGGTCCCGTATCTAGTGTAGAGAACGTACACGGCCCACTCTGTAACTGCATGTGTGTACGTGGCATAGAAGCGTGAGGCAAGAGTATCCGTTTGATATTGATTGGGAGCAGTCGGAGACATTGGAATGCGGCTCTGTGGAAAGAATGTTGTCAGGTTGGCTGTCTGGGAGAAGATGTTACAGCAAAACTCACAGGCATCCAAGAATAAGGCACCCGGTGCGGAAGAGTATCGCTCTTCGCTTTCCGATGGATTCGTAGTATTCATGGAGATAACGTGACAAGCCTGGAACACACTCTGTCGGATATGATCGAAGGGGATGATCATCGAGAAGCCATGGATCGTATTCGAATCGGATGTCAGACTCAAGGTCTAAAGCTTCCTTCGAGAATTCCATCGTAGTCTTCTCGTTAGATGCACTGAGAGCTTGCCTAGCGAGCTTTAAGGGTGAAATCTCCCAGTTGCGGTGTGGTTGCGGTCTAGTTCGCATAAGGGGGTGAATCAGGCTGCAAAGCGCCAAGTGCTGGAAAGTCAAGAGTGCGAGATGAATGGTATAAATATTATCAAGCTCAAGGTATCTAAAATGAGGGGACATCGCGCAATTGTGCAGGGAATTGCGCGGAGCACGCCATCAGGATTGGCGATTGCATTTGCAGGATCGTCGGAAGATGAGGTCTGTTCAACTCGCGCGTTCTTCAAACCAAGAGACTGTGCTAGATATGATTTTATACAAGATAGTGAAACAATTTGCACAGAGTACATGTGCAGTGTGTACATGAGGGTTGAACAAGAGTAACTAGCTAGGTAGCCCACATCTCACGAGTCAACCGCCAAGCGCCAAGGCCCCATTTAATTTTCTTGGCCCGTCTGTCTTGTAGATGTCGGCATATCACCGTTTTTTACTTGAAAAACCGTTCTGATTTTCACCCTTTTCTGACTACAACTCTGTATGACGGAAAAGGACACACAGAAATACACGCAGAAAGACATCGGAGTATTATTATCCTACAATCCATAGATATCCCTTTAACTTTGAGCGAGATGAATCAGGTTATAAAAGCGTTACGTCGTCAAGGAGAGAAGCCGCATATGCGGCCGAGTAGTATGGGGAAAGAATGTAACTGCATTGATGGGCAACAGCTACAAATAACAGAAGAAAAGTGGTGCCATCTTGTCCCCAGCATGATACCACAGAGAAAACAGTTGTTCTGACTGCGAGGGAAAACCGCAGCATCCCAACCCTTCATATCCTCGCCCTCAACTCCCAGCCAGGCCATTTGCTCCTCATCCCCACGCTCTGAGAAAATGTCCAAATGGCAGGGCGTGGTCATGGCCAACGAATTCAGAGATGTTATCGACGTCCATCGAGCAATCAGGGTGGCATTGCTTTGAAGTTACCAGGGACAACCGGAGATTGCACAAGTCGTCTAGTATACTTCGTACTCCTTGGAGTTGCGCGAGGTTTGACCACGAAGCTTCGTTGTCTTGGCGAGAGGCGAATTATCGACAGAGAGGAAGAGGCGTCGACTTCCGGGCCGATCGCAGGCATTCTCTGGTGCATTCCAATTCTTCCGACTCGCTCTAGCCAGTTGGGGTTGCTGCTTGAAGGGGGCTTACTGTTGTAGATCGCTTTGTTTGATAACTCCGGAATCTGAAGGCCATTCCGGTAGTTGATACAAAGCGTCTGTTGAGGCTAGCCCGCTTCAATGAGACGAGACAACAGGGATCGTTTAAGGAACCCTGCAACCTCATTTGCGCCGTCCGTCACAATAGTGGGAGGTAACTGTTGAGGATGGTTTCCACCACCTTGAGCTTTTGTTGTGATTGGCAAAATAAAACCTTTGTCTCACTCTCGGATAGGACTCTCTTCGAAATCTTGCGTACCGAAGCGAAGCCCAATGGTATCCTGACTCTTGGGTGGGCGGTAACAGGCGATATCTCAGTCAGACAGTTCACGAAGCTCGACTCATTCCGGGCCATTCGGATGCCCATCAATATGCTCAAAGACCGAAGGTTGCATTTGATGAGCTCTAGCTCGAGATGGGACTGGCTTTTGATCGGTCGCCGATGTAGAGTGGGCCGTTCATTCTTACTTTCGGGTCGGACCGCCAACAAGTGGAATGATGGCATTACGAAAACCAACAGCCTGTGGAAACCGAGGTTTGAAAACTGGATGAGAGGGGAATTGGAAAACTCGTTTGCGAGCTGTTTCATCCTCGACATGCCGCTCGCTGGGGATGACATCTGTGCGCTTTTGCAAAGTTGTGTCGAGGCTATCACGAGGCACCATCATTCCATCTCTCTCCTTTCTGATGGCTAGCGCCAACAGTGGTTTCCACTGTACTCTGCTCCGGTTTTATGTACCTCTGGCAGCTCAGCAATTTGGGCAAGCTCACGACTCACAAGTGCGTCTCCATACTCCTTTTTCTTGTTTTGGTTGGCTTGGTGGTTATCGCTCGGTTGTGGTTTTGATATAGCTGCGGGTTGCGTTTCTTCTCGTATTGACTTTTTAGGGAATGTTAAGTTGGGACCGGGACTCGCCAGTGGAGACCGACCTCATCAGAGGACCGGTTGGAACTGGCAAGCAGAAGCAGAAGTATAGAGACCGACCTCGTCAGAGGATCAGCCAGAACCGTCACTGGGTAAAAACATCACCCAGAAGTAAGAACACAGACCTCGTGAGAGGATCAGTCGGAATGGTCACTGGGTGAAAACATCACCCAGAAGTATGAAGAGAACCGACCTCGTCAGAGGATCAGTCAGAATGGTCACTGGGTGAAAAATATCACCCAGAAGTATGAAGACCGACCTCGTCAGAGGACCGGTTAAACCCAGAACGTAGAAGTATGGAGACTGGCCTCGTCGCAGAAGCGGGGAAGGTTGAAGAAGGAGCAAAGAAAAGTCAATTCTGTTAGTATTGCACGGGAGGGAGAGAAAGGCAAAGTGAACTTACACAGACTTCCTCAGAAGGTGGGCCAAGACGGGTCAAAAAGAAGTACGGCAACAGCCGCGTAAGAGTACTAGGGAAGTGAGATAGAAGGCACAGGGCCGGCGAGATACGAGTGAAGTGGACAAGGGAAGAGGATAAAAGGGGATTGATGGAGTTGAAAGGAATTCCGAGGGGGAGGAGCTAGGAGGAAAGAACTCCAAGGAAGGAGCGTTGCCGAAGAAGGAGCAGGGGGAAGGAGCCTCTCATTCTTCTGCCTCAGGCTACAAAGTGTATCTCTATATGAGAGTGCTCACTTCGAACTATCAGATAAAGGATACTTGTATTGTTATTGAAGGGACTAAACATATAGAGCTTAATACCTATCATTGGAGCTTAATACCTATTATTGTAACAACGATAGCAACATCAATGTTCACTGTATCCTGTTCATGGGTTACAACAGCTTGCCCTCATGCCCCATGTCCCTCGATATAATGGGCAGTGTGACAGTCTGAGCGGTATTCACCTGTGCTATGGGCCATATCTAGACGACCAAACGCCTTGTCGATCTGCCATACTCTTCGTCATTAACTGCCATCTAGATCTATAAGTTCGCCCTAGGTAATTTTATGTGTCGCCCACCAGCCCACCATCCAGTATGTGAAAAGTACTTTCAATCTATTACCGTAGTACCTAGATATGTACTTAACATGTAGCATAGCTACATGTACCTCGTCAAATAGCTGGTAGTTGAGCACCTAAAATCCAATTCCTGCTCACAGCCTTGCTTGTGGTTTCCCAGACCCGGGGATACTAGCGAAAATCTTGTTCTGAGGACTGTCAAGCCGGGAATGAGTAGACTCGAACAACCGCGGGAGTCCAGTTTGTGCAAAATCGACATCATCGAGTACCATTTTTGCCACGCCCTCAGCCGCTAGGAAGATCTGAGGCATTCCATGCCCTGTGAATCCGGCGATGATGTACTGACCCTTTTGTCCTGGGACATGGCCAACATGCGGTAGTCCATCTGACGAATAACCCATAACTAATTGAGTCAGCTTTGTGGTCTCTGCAAGGGTCTGATAGATCGGACAACGCACTCCCTGTCCAGACTCTGTCTGTGTATGCGTGACTATTTTCCCAACCGACAAAATTCCGCTGCATATAATTATCCCAGTACCGAACAGCAGGCTCTAGTACCAAGCTATCATCACTAACATTGTACCAGCTGTCTAGATCATTGATGAAAGCCGGGCGAGCACCGCCGACGACTATACTCCCATCGGCGCGTGGGATGAGGTAGTCATAATTCCAATTATTCCAGCGCAGAGTGTAAGTATTCGTCAGACGAGGAGTGGTAGAACCTGGAGGAACAATGATTCGACTACATGTTCCTCGGACAGGGATAATCATCTCCTTATATTGCGGGGCGAGAGCCGAAGTATAGGCATTTGTTGCTAAAACGACTGTCTTGGCGGCAACAGAACCTCGGGCAGTATCCACTGTCCAGATATGACCCAATGTCGAGGCAGTAGACTGTGTGATTCCAGATACCGGCGTGTGTGTCTGCAAATTTACACCTTTGGCAATTGCCTTTTCCAAAAGGTGCAGTACAAATTTGTATGGCCAAATGTGACCAGCCTCGTATGTGAAACAGCCCTGTGCACCTCTTACTCCAGAGAACTGAAATATTTCTGGTCAGTATATTCACATACAATGTCCCAAATGTATTCTCACCTGCGCTGCCTCATTTCTGGGGATATATTTTGCCTTCTTTGTTGCTTCACACCCCTTCTCGATCAGTCCTTCGTACGCCTCCTTCAGTGTTGCGCTATGATCCCGACATAGTTGAACATCGATAGCCTTTGTAACCGAGTAGTCACAGTCTATACTTTCTCTTTCGATGAACTCCTTGAGAAACGTAACATGCTTAGCCTCGAAAGCGGCAACCTCAGCAGCAGCCTCAACGCCGTGATCAGCGGCCAAGCCAGCGATACCATTATAAACATCAGGTTTCATGTGTCCTCCTATAATAAGCCAGGAAAAAAAAGAATTTAGCGAGTCTCTCATTTGTGACTATCCGGATCTTACCATTTCGACCAGTGGCACCAGAACAAGCCTGTCGAGCCTCTAAAATCACAATCGAAGGCGGCTTCAACCCGGGGCTAATCTGGTCCAGAATATGGTGCACCACAGAGGCCCCAGCATATCCAGCTCCTATAACGACGATATCACACTCCTGAGGGAGAGATTCGGTAGATCGATGGCTGTCTAGAAAGTGAGGCTCTGTCCGCCAAAATGACGTCATCCCCATTTGGGACCGGGATATGCTTTTCCATTTTGGAGATTCCAAGATAGCGGGCTTGACGTTAGCGAGATTGGAATCATAAATGAATGGGGATTATTTATTGGCATTGGGGACTAGGGAAGTGTTTCCTCTCCCGGTGGCTTCTCCACCGGCAACTTTGCCGGTCCAGCCCCGCTAAGTGACAACGGTAAGGCGTACAGAGGTACAACATACAGGGACAGTGATAACACTTCCATGACGTGGGGGTTGAGGTGACTTGAGTGATGCGAAGCTAGAGTGACAAATAATAGAAGGAGTATGAACTTAAAGCAACATCATCAATAGAAGAATCGAGCTTAGAAAATGTTTACTGTCAGAACAAGAATATAGTATCCCTAGGCTGCAAACAGATACCTTGCATTTTGCAGTGGCTTCGTGGCAGGATGCTGTATTACTTTGAATATTATGTGCGCACGACTTAAAGTGTTTAATAAAACTGGCGTGATGTTCAGATTGATCTATGCTTGAGTAAATACGAAAACTCAAGACGACGCCTGGTGGGCGATGATCTTGTCCGCCATTCCCGGCAAAGTCTCGTCCATAACATCCATTTCTCCAAAGAGTTCTGACAGGGATTCCTTCTCCCACACAGAGCAGTACGCCCCTTTGAATCTGTATAATAAAGGTGTCAGTAACAATAATTGGCAACTTATCGCGCAAGAATGAAACACATACCCAGTCTTTCTCGCCGCAGAGACATCCCACATATGCGCCGCCGCAAACCAAGGCGTCTTCCCGTCATTCTCCGACTTCAGCTTCTCCAACAAGGGGCGATAAGCCGCCAAGTCAGGCTTACCGACACCGACATCGTCACAAGAGAGCAAGTTCTCCGCAGGCAGCTCAACACCAGCGTTCTTGAAATAGCCCCCAACACGGTTAATATCCGCCGCGGTAAAAGCCCACACCGTGAAGCCGGCATCACGTAGCTTCTGAACACACTCCGCTGCACCCGGACGGAATTCAAGAAGTTGGTACTCCGCCATAATATACTCCAGGTCTTCGGGCGAAGCCCAGGTCCGCGGTTCAGCGATGCCAGCCATCCAGAGCATGCGGTAAAAAAGTGCGCGGAAGACTTCACCGAAGGGGACGTAGCTTTGTGCGAGACTTAGATTGGTGTACTCGCGCTCGGCTGCTTCCATCCAGGTGTATCCCAGTAGACGGGACTTGATTCCCTCTGCGCGCAATCGGTCTCCTAGACGGGCATCGATGGCATCAAAGACATGATCGTAGGCGACGAGAGTACCGACGATGTCGAAGACGACATGCTTAGATGAGGACATGGTTCTCGATGATGGGTGTTTATCGGGGATTTAGAGAAGAATAGATATCAATCGTTATCCTCAAGCCCTTTTTGTAAGAGAAACGGATCTTGATTTGTTAGATAAAGGCAAGGAGATAGATCAGATAAGTATTAATCGGGGAGTTACCCTTGAACTTATCTCTGGCTTATGAGGCTACATGTATGAATCATCCATGTAGTACCCCGCACCGGTTATGAGGTTGTCAGTGCAGATAGCAGCACTAAGGACACTAATTCCACTACAGTCCCGGCGGGAAGTGCGCAATTGCTCCCGCCGGGAATGTAAACACATCGAAGAGATACCAGAGATAGCGATAAGGATGCAATTGCTCTCCCAAGGCCAGGGACTAAATTTCAGATAAATGGAGCAGATTGTAGGTTTTCTATTGCGACAAACACATCTACGACTCAGACAATCACCAGCATGAACGAACCTCCAATGCAAATCGGGAAGGACGCAACAGACCTCAAAACAAGCGAGACAAATGATATTGAACGCTCGGCGAGCTCAGGAACAGAGCGTCATGGCAGCACTATCATCCTATCTGCGGCAGACGATGCCGGATATCACCGTTCCTTGACGAGACGCCAAATCATGATGATGACCTTTGGGGCTGGCATCGGTACTGGTCTCTGGGTGGGAACCGGACAAGCGCTGCACTATGGTAAACCAGTTGAATCCCGATATGCCCTTCAACATGCAAATATTGACATCAGATAGCTGGTCCTGCCGGTACAGCCATCACCTATACGATCACGGCGTAGGGCTCCCCAGAATCCTCTGCTCTTACACTCATGTGACTAATACCGTCTGTTAAGGATGATCGTGTACGCTCAATATTCTTCAATCGGCGAGATGACTACATACAAGCCTATTCATGGTGGCTTTATCCGACAATGCGCTGAATATGTGGATCCAGCGTTCGGCTTTGCGATTGGTGTCAACTTCTGGTTTGCGGTATGTTAGCCTACCAGAACGCGAAGGTCGTATGTACTAACGCAGGATGAAGTGGGTGATGATTATTCCAGCAGAGATCACAGCAGCGATATCTGTCCTGAAATACTGGCCGGAAACAGACGTTATCCCACTCGCGGCATATATCACTTTATTTATAGGAGTCTTTGCCGTCGCAAACATGTTCCACGTCCGACTCTACGGCTACATCGAATATTATATGTCCTTTGTTAAATGCGTTGCGATTGTCTTAATGATATTCTTTATGTTCATCATGACATCAGGAGGAATACCAGCAACAAACGGCCCAATCGAGTTCCGATACTGGAAGAACCCCGGGGCTTTCAACAATGGTATAAAGGGTATTTCTAAAGCCTTTGTACAGGCAGCCTTTAGTTTCGGCGGTGGTATGGTATCCGTGCACGGATCTGAGAAGAATATACTGACAGAACTCAGGCGAGCATATTGCTGTTATAGCTGGCGAAGTAGCAGATCCGCGTCGTACTATCAAGAAAACAGTTCGACCCGTTTTCTGGAGAATGTTTACCTTCTTCGTGGTTAATATCTGGCTCGTCGGAATGTGTGTTCCATCCAATGATACCGACCTTGTCAATGCTAGTGGAACTATGGGAAGCCCCTTCGTTATTGCTGTCAAGCGGGCGGATGTTTATGGCCTAGCACACGCTATCAACGGGTTTATCTTCCTTAGTGTTGTTAGCTGCGGCATTACTAGTGTTTATATCGCAAGCCGAAGTCTGACAGCTCTGTCTGACCTGCAGATCATACATCCATTCTTCGGAAGAAAAGACTCGCAGGGTCGGCCTTACGTGTCCCTGATTATTAGTTTAGGGCTTGGTGGTGGGCTGGGCTATCTCAACTGCAACAGTGTGGGCACCTTGGTGTATAGTTGGTTTTCCGCCTTGGTAAGTCATCAGCAAAGCAAATTATATGTGTAGAGTTGCTAACATTTTGATTTAGGTGGCAATAGCAACGCTTTTCCAATGGGCCTCAATTTATATTGCTCATCTTCAGTTCCGCCAAGGCCTCCGAGCCCAAGGCAAGGATCTTAGCACACTCCCATTCAAAGGTCTTCTCACCCCATGGGCGCAGTACTTCAGTCTCATCATTGTGCTGTTTGTCTTTGGTTGTGAATTCTACCTGGCTTGCTGGCCGTTTGAGGAAAAGGGTTCAGTGAAGAGCTTCTTTTCCTCTTATCTCGCGGCCCCGTTGTTCTTCTTTGATTACTTTGTATACAAGGTGAGTGGTTCAACATAATGGTTCACGATCGAAAACCTCTGACTTCAGCAGTGGTATTATAAAACAAAGATAGTCAAGCCGGTTGAGATGGACTTTGGTTCTGCCAGAGCCTTTGATGAGCAGGACCTTATCAATGCTGTTGCAGCTGAAGATGCGGAGCGGGATCCAGAGAAGACCAAGCAGAAAACTTGGAGAAAGCGTGCTCAGTATATGATATTTGGATAGGAGAAGGAATGACCAAGCATATTAATTACATTGCCTCAATATGAAATTATTTTGACAACGATCAAAAATTATACGTATCAAATTCGAAATCGCCATTTGCCCAATCTGGGTCAAAGAAAGCCGCCATATCGTTCAGCTCCAGATTGGCAAAACCTTCTGTACCAGGAGTGAGACGCGACAACGGGCTAAAGGAAGACAGCTCCACATTTCCACCTGCAGACTTATCCTTCTTTAGTGACTGCGTCCAATCTTTGAACTTCGAATAGGCAGAGGTGGGGATTTGGTCGCTTTGGGGCAAAACAGAATCATCTCCAGGAGCGGCTAAAAGTTGGCTGATAGCTGCTTCAATAGACTCCAGGTATGATATTTCGGATTCTGAAGAGCTCCCTCCAACCATCTGACGTATGAGATCCATTCCACGGTGCAGGCCATCCTGGAGTCTCTGGGACTTCCGCGAGTTGAGGCTTTCTGCAAGGATGACCAGAATAGCCGCGCGACAAGCACTGAATTCATTGTAAGAAGCACGACAAAGACCGACATGATCTGATAAGGATTGTAGAGTGTTGAGAATGTCCAAAGCACTTGACACACAGTCGTCCACCAAAATCGACCGACGCGCCCGTCCTGAGTCGTTACCTGCACCAGTTATAACTTCGCCTGGTTCTTTTCTGTCATCGACAAATATAAAAGCACGACCCATATAGACATATATGAGCAGATAGCACAGTCTGAGATGTGAGTTTTGTCGGAAATTCGGGCCTTGCGAGCATAGGTCTCGACATTCTTCAGTGGCTGGGAGTGAGTCCCACCACTGCTTGATACTTGTCCTTAGCCGTATGAGCCGCTCTAAATATTCAGAGAGAAGCCGCTTCGGACACCTCTTAAATTGTGCACTATTAAAGTATCAGCTGTCGCCAATGAATCTGTTGCACATTTTGAACCACCTACAGCGTTTCAGAGACCTCTCCCAAGTACGAAATCAATGTATGAAATGCAGTTAGATTAGCAAATCGTGGTGACTCAAAGGTGGGACAGTCCCTTGGCATATCAGCGTTTATTTCTGATCGCGCGATTGACAGAGGACGTCCATGCATGATGCTGACATATCTATGAGGCATTGTTAGCTTCGCTCTGAAATGTCCCCTTGAACATCATACTTTTCAACAGTGTATGCTGTCCAAAACAACCGATTTCTGACTTCGATAGTTCTAGAGTCACAGTTACCACCTTGATATTTGCGATGCATCCCATTTTGAATCGCCATCTTCATTGCAAGACCGTAATAGGTATATGCAAGGCCACCCGTAGAAACAGGCAGTGAATATGTGGCAAGAAGCAAGAAGACCTGCACACTCTCGTGAGAAGCAACCAGAAGAACATCTGGAATAAACTTGCATGCCGCGTGGTAGAAGACTAGCCCGACAGAGTCCTCAGAGCACAAGCTGAGTTCTTCAGTGACCTCTGAATCGGGCTTTGGCTTTTGGTCCTCCATATGGGCCACCTGAGTTCCAATGGCTAGAACAGCAAAAACAGAGCATACCCAGGGGAAATCAATGGCTGTATATGTATTTGTCGAGCTGTAACAGAGGGCCACCTTCTCTTCAATCCATTTCCGCTCCATGTAAAAGGAGTTAATCTCAACGTACTTGAAGAACATGGTGACGAGGAAGTCGGCAATAGATCGCGGTGGTAAATGCTTCATTGTCTCCGTTATAATTTCGGCTGAGGATTGAAGCTGGGTTGGCCGCCAGTATTCTTTGACCTGTTGTATATCGTCAGACCCCCTTTGAGCTTTTGCGGTGAGATACACACACCCTAGAATCAAGCCGATCTATTTGGCAGCTCATTTTGCGGCGCAATTTCTGGGAGAAATTCCAGTGAGAAAATTCTCCAGAGTAATGAGCCATATTATTGGACACAAAATGAACATCGAACGGCTCGTTGATATCCAGGGCGGTTTCCGACAGGGTAGTGTCTGTCGAGCTTCGTAATTTGTCCGCAATACGACCAATATTCTCCTTATCCAACGGTATATCTCCAAGGAAATGGCGAGCAATATGCTCCAGGCTTTGTATTCGTCCATTTTCGTCTCTCGAAACAGATGCGACGGGGACGGAAGAGGAGCAAGGGGATGTCGTTGTTGGAATCGGCTGGCCTTGAAAATGGCATGGTCGTCCTAGTCGCTGGCATCTCCAACAGGGCTGACCACCCTCACATTTCTCCTTTTGTTTCCTGCATGTCTCGCAACTTTCCAAGACTCGTCAATGTGGAGGCGCGGAAGGATACCGAGCAGGCATGTACTTACGCTAGGGAAGCGCGTCTCCTCTCCCCACGCTTCCGCTTCGTGCCATGGTTTGATCCTCTATCTGGGGTCATGGAAACAACAGTAAATACCAGAAGAGAGTCCGATGATAGTCAAGAAGACAGCTCTGGAGAGCCAGCCCTTGGGGGTCATGGTTCTTATCGCTTATCAAACAATATGCGGGGTAAATCCATACCAGGTAAGGCCTCAAGGATGAGAAGCAGAAACTCATAACCGGGGCATAATGTTGTTAGGACTGGGCTTGAACTTGATTTATTTATATAACAACCCTACTGAAGCATCCCAAGATGTATCCTCATCCTTCATGGTGGAATATTCTCCTGTTGCTAGCAATGTTTCCTTAGTATCCAACGCCCCATCTTACCCCTATTATCCATCGCTACCAAACACAATGGCTCAACGAGAAAGATACTTTTGAGCTGGGCAATTGACCAGAAAATTGTGCCTATTACAACAACGACCAAAAGCGGAGAGAATGGACAAGTACATTGCTGCTGTATCCCTTAAGCCCAGTCGGGCCGAGCTAGAGGAGATCACGCAGACTGGACTCGAGCACCACTTCCGTTAGTGGGGAAGAGACTTCTTTGCTCCGTAGGATCGGTCTTAGTCATAATAGTATTGTTTATCTTGTAGCCAAGCCAAGGATTGGATCATTCTGCATGTTTGTTTTGTATGAACCGATTGAAGATACAGAGAATGATATTGTTCCCAATATGCCCTCCATTGTGGCATAACCTGGTTCTGGTTGAATATCAAGGAAAAAGCAGGCAAGCATCTGGAGAGTCTGGTGAAAGTCGAAGACACACCCGTGGACCTGGGCAGCTCTGGACAGTGGTCCTTATCTCTTATCAAAAATGTGGGGTCCCAAGGATGGGAAATAACGGTAGCCAATCAAATCACAGAGGAAGTATATAAGGCGGCGATAGAATTTCAACATTTGGTAAGATTGGAATGTAGACGATGTAGACGTGATAGGACTGTATAACATCAGAAAGCAGAATGAATTGAGAGGGCTTTAGTCTCTGATCCAGTTCCTTGATATATCACTCAAACGAGAAAGAACAAGACACGCGCCTTCCATTGTCGCATCATACTTTGTTTACCTACGTACTTTTCCAAGGTTATCTTCCCACCTTTCTGCCCCTTACTCTTCTCTCTTCATTTCACTCTTTTCTATTCATCACTGTTAGCCTGCATTTTTTCCATTCATTCCTCGCTCATTGCCAGTTCCTACAGACGACTTGGATGAGCTTCCGCAACGCATCCGCCTCTCCCTTTTCAGCCTCTATTCAACTCAGTTTGACTGGGCACACAACATGTCAACTGGAGCTTGCTACTGGAGTGGTAACGGCTCTTACTGCTGCCCTTGCAGTGGCAAAGGACAGGCTGATGTAGCCGAATCTTCGTCGACCTCTTGCCTGGAATGCGGACATCCTCTCAGAAGTCATTTCATAATTGGGCGTAAGGGATTTCTTCCCTCTGGTGAACTTATTTTAACACTATCTTAGCGCACCTAGATGATCCTACTGGTAGTCAGGTCTTCCTACCAAGACACGAAACTGTGAGAAAACTTGCCAATCGCATCCACGAACAAAGAGTGGTACTTGCTCGTGGAACCCCCTCATCGGGAAAGACCTTCCTTGCCTGGTCTCTTCATACATACCTCCATGGACAAGGCATCAAGTCAGTTTACATCAGAAGCTTCCCCTTTAGTTTGGAGGGCGGTCCCACCGCGTCGCATTATCTGGTCGAGGCCTGTCACATGCAAGGATTTGCGGCGTTCGGACACAGCATTCTGCACGACAAATTCGTGTTCATCATCGATGATGCGCACATGACTTACAATAACTCCGAGCTATGGTTGATTCTGAATTCGGTGAACCAAGATCGACTGGCGAACATACCTGGGATCAGTTTCTGTATGTTCAGTGCTTTTGGCACCCCTGATAGGGGCGTTATGCCACACAATATGGGAAGTGACCTGTTGATATTCAACAAGAGTCAACGTCTCGTCTTATCCGATCATTATTATTATCTCACCGAGAAGATCACGCTTTTCTACACCCATGAAGAGTTCGATCTCTATGTGGAAATGCATCTCCAGGGTCGAGGTTCCGATTACGACATATGCGAGGCTTTGAAACGGAGAATCCTTTGCTTAACCGGCGGCCACCCTGAATTGGTGGATGCATTCATGCATATCTGCGACATGGTATGTGGTTCTCTGCCATTTCTAATATTCGCTGGCATGCTAACATATCGCCAGTGGTATGAGGCATGGTACAAGGACGACGACCTTGACCTCATCGAATATGATGACGATGAAGTTAGTAAATTCATTCAAGTTCCTGGCATCCTAGAAGGAACAGTCGCAGCAATTGTAAACTTTGCGGGTCTTCCACTTTCACCAGAAACTTTTTTCCCTCCTGAACAGGAATTTGAAGTTCTACGCCAGGTTCAGCGATCCCGTCTTGAGGGCATTTTTTTCGACCCTCAGAGTGAGGCTATGCTATCATGCATTACGAAAGGTTGGCTGCACATGGAGGAGAGCCTAGAAGGAGTATTCAAATGTTACTTTCCCACCAGGTTTCACGACAGGTACGTTCATATTATCTACGCACCCCTGATAATGTACTAATAGTATAACAGGCTCGTCGGGTACCTCATGGGAGTTCAGGAGCTTAGGTATCCACTCCCGCCTACCTTGAACAAAGCGGAACTTGAGTTGATGATGAGCATGCGAAACATGACGATCTCCTAAAGTGGGAGGTTGGCTATTGTGAACGATGGAATGGGCGTTCGACAGAGATCTAGCTCAAGCTGGATATTCGGATTTTGAGGATTTCCCGTATCATGTTTGCGGAAGGGTTGCTGAATTCGTTGGCGACGAGCATAGGCTCGATGGATAATCGACTTATGCTTCATCTGCCGGTCTGTGTCAATTTTCACCATGCTATCATGTGTGAAATGTAAGTTTAGTTTGTGGGAATACTGTAACAATTCAAGTTGATTCAGTTCCACCCGAGTGCCATAGCTTCCGTGAGGGACTCAGGTCATTCGTCCCACGGAAAACGAGATTGTAACCTCATCTTTAATCTGAAACTTCGAGTTGGACATGGTTAGTTTGCATAGAAAGCTATACTATTACTTATGAATCCTACCATCTTCTCGCTTACTGGTCTTCTAGTGGTTCGCCTACGGCACTGGTATATGCGTGATTGTCAGTGAGAAAATCAAGTATATCCAACATCTGGATCTTCGTCGCTGACTCTTTCTCTGTTAAGGTATCAAGCACAAAAATGGATGGCACCAACGAGCTCTCACGGACGCCGAATTCGTCTCGCTCTGGAAACCCCTTTTCGCACATATTTTGATCTACTCGACAACGGTTACTTTGACCAAATCCTCGAACATTATGATTTATCGTCGCATTTTCAACCTGCGCTGGTCGTTGTATTTTGCTATGGCTATCATTATAGGCTACTTTGTCGCTGTCATCGTCACCGCCGCCGCTGCATGGCGCCCTGCATCATATTTCTGGCAGAAATACACAGACCACCGCTGAGGGGGCATGTATAGACGTACGTCAATTCTTCTTGGCCAATGGCATTGCTGCTGTGGTCATTGATGTCATGATTTTGTTCGTCCCGGCTCCTATCATCTGGAAATTGCAAATGCCCAAGTGCCAGCGCGTTGCAGTGACTAGTATTTTGCTGCTCGGTGTTTGTGAGTCGATCTTCTATAAAATCTCCGGAATTTTAGAACCAATGCTGATCAAAAATCACTATAGCGTCTGCATCGCCGGTATAGTTCGCGTTATTTTCCTACATAAACATACACATTCCGATGATCCATCTTGGACAATTGGCCCCGTGTTTATGTGGTCCTGCGTTGAGCCTTTCATTGGAATTGCCTGCGCCTGCCTACCGACGTTCTCTCCGCTATTCCGCCGCTGGTGGGCTATTTTTGGGGTCAACAAGTCGGGTTCCAAGAAGTAGGAAGATTATTATGGTGCAGAGGGCTCGCGGACCCATCTTTCGAGATACCACACATCCGATGATGAGGAAGATGGCCCACACGGTGAAGACATTCCTCTTTCAGTTGAGATGATCACTTTCCTGACATTTCTTCCTTCTCAATTACTGTTGTTTGGGATGACAGGAATCCAATTTTCGAGGATAGACACGTAAGCCGTGAGTCTAGATCCAACTAGGATGTTGTTAATATAGATGTTAGTTATCGTACGCTACTTTGAGAATTTAAAAATGGAACCATTGTGGCTCCAGATTCAATGCTAAGAAAAATCCTAATATAACTACACTTATTAGAAGACACTACGAAGCTAATTTAGATATATACGTATAGCGATAATATAGTCGCGATTCTTAAGAAAGATACTTATAATAAAGGCACTAAGTGGCTGGATATCAAGTATCAATTTACGAAAAAATGCTTTAAAAGAGAAGTAGATCGATATTTAGCTTATCGACACTAAGAAAAACCCTATAGATATATTAATAAAAGCACTACTAAAAGTCGATTTCGAAAGACTACGAAAACTGCTAGTTAGGAGGTAAGAGATAGAGACGGATTGAAACTTTAGAGGCTGCCTTTGTCTATGATTTTTACTATGGTAACCAGATTGTTTTTGCCTTATGCTTTTCATGCTGACGCTTAGTCTTGGGGGGTGGGGGGGGGGGGTGTTGACATACATGGGATGTCTTTATCTCTTTGTGCAGACTGAGCTATTTGCTAGTTGCTATTTCTTTTGTTAGTACAGGCTTTATATACAGCCTGCTTTCCATAGATTCATCGTCACCTTTTCTTCTTCCCGATTTTCCCCATGCTAGTATCCACTAGTTCTCCAGTATCATAGCCCTCAACAATATATAATTGCATACGAAAGCCTCGGTCATCTAGGTTAGTTCTCGTATACCCCGCAATGACTCAGAAGGTTCCAACCTTCCAAGGTTGGAAGGTTAGGGTTAAACCGGGTCCATGGTTGATATAAGCTTAAACGCCAAGGGAAATCTTGGAACTTCGTTTTCAAGGAGTCAAGGACATGAATGATCTTCCAAAGGTTTTCTCTCACTTCGTTTACGTTCTCAAGCTTCAGCCCCCACACCCACATAAACTCTCACGCCCGCAATTTTAACACCACGCACGCACACCCCCACCAGAAACAAGCACTAGACTGCTTTGAAAGATGGAACCCTCTTTAACGCCCATGCAGGTCGATGGAGCCAATCTGGCAACCCCAAAAGCTCGTCTGTATGTACCGCAGTCGCCACCAGGATACCTGGATTAACACCAGTTGACAACTGCAGCCAATCAGCCATCATTATCATCGCCTCGACCACCCTCGTCTTTACAGGATGCGGAATTAACTTCGCATTCGGCGTCTTCCAAGAGCTCTACGACTCCATGTCAAAGGGACGGAACACCCCATTCACCGGCGCAACACCAGCGCAAATTGACCTGATCGGCACCCTCTCCATCGCGCTGATGACAATAGGCGCTCCATTCGCAACAGCGTGGACAAAGCAATATCCCCTCGATATGTCATCTGGGCTAGCGGAATAATCCATTCAAGCGCTCTGCTTTTCGCAAGCTTCAGTCAACACCTGTGGCAATTCATCCTTACCCAAGGCATTCTGCTCGGTATGGCCACATGCCTAACTTATATGCCATCTGTTACCGTGGCACCGACCTGGTTCACACTACATCGCGGACTAGCGATGGGCATAATTCTCGCAGGAACCGGAATAGGCGGTGTTGCGTGGCCACTCGCTTTTCGATACCTCATTGAGTCCGTGGGGTTCCGAACCACACTCCGCGTCACAGCGGGGATCTCATTCGCCCTCATTTGCGGCTCGGGAACATTCATACGCTGGCCTGCTAGTCAGACCACACGTATTCAAGCTGAGAACGCTGCTTCTTCCCGTTCGTCGACTTTTTTCCGCCTTCCGTTGGTCGACTGGCGCGTGGTTCGAACCCGCAAATTCGTCGCTCATGCTCTGGGTGCAGCATTGCAGTCTGCTGCATACTACACACCTGTGTTCTTTTTCGCATCTTTTGCCCGTACACTAGGCTACTCACAGGCAACATCAGCGAACTTCATTGCCATCTCGAACGCTGCAAATGCGCTTGGCAAGGTGGTCATCGGTCACGCAGCTGACCGTATGGGAAGACTAAACACCCTGGTATTGACAACGCTCATCTCAGCCGTTTCTGTTCTTGCATTGTGGCTTCCGTCATGTCTATCCGCCACACAATCTACCGGAAGTACATTGTTCATCGCATTCACAATACTCTATGGCATCTTTGCATCGGCGTACGTTGCTCTGTTCCCGACTAGCCTGGTTGAGTTGTTCGGTGTGCAGAACTTTGTCAGTGTCAATGGCTTGCTGTATATGGTAAGAGGCTTTGCCACATTGGTTGGCACCCCAGTTGCGGGTGCGCTGATCCGCGGAAGCCACGAGAAGACTGTCGGTCCGCGAAATTATGAGAATACCAGCATTATGGTCGGCGTCTTGCTGGTTGTGGCGACGTTGGCTGTGGTGTGGGCACGACTTGAGGCTACCCTTAATCTCGATTCTGCAGCGGGGCGTAAAATGAAGTGGTTGATGTAAGTATCACACAGAGATTGGAGGTGACATGCTCGATCGTGGATCACGAGAGAATTCTCAATGCCATCGACTGTACTGTACATTAGCAACATTTCCCATTATCAAGCAGTCAAAAATAACAAAATCTCGCCTTCATTGCATCCAAACTGACAATTCATCTTTGATATAACACGTCCCTAGGCGCTAAGCTGTAGGCTGAGCAAGAGAATTGCCTACATATATACATACCTGCCTAGGTACCTGTGTAAGGCCATCTGGGCCCAAGCAGGGATTACCCCTGTGCATTAACCCCGCAACCAATTCCTCAATCCATCTCCTTCTTCGACTTTCAAGGAAAAGAGCAGGCAACATAGCGAGAACTATGTGTGAGAATGTTGCAGAAAAGGATATCCGAAAGAAAAGCGAGAAGGAAATTGAAAGTGAGAAGAAATGGCAAAAGGCATACGCCCCCCGGATGAGGCAGATTGTTTCTGGTCTTATTCTTGGGAATGTCCAGTCCTCATGGAATATCGAGATGCTTGCAGCGAACCGTATAAAAGCGGTTGTCTCTCTTTCTGATGGATCATGGGGACGGTGGAGGTCCCACACAAGGACAGTTCCAGAGCATCATCATAAATGGGTTCAGGCTGTAGACTCGTCAACGCAAGACCTCCTTGTCTATATGAGCGACACTTGCGACTTTATCGAGCAACTGGCCTCCCCGGATCTTTCCTCGTTGACGTCTTTACCTATCGATGATGACCACACAAAGGATAACAAGCTGGAGGCGATTATGGTTCACTGTGACCTTGGTATCTCACGATCGCCAACGATCATCATTGCCTATCTTATGCGCAAGCTACATATCCCGCTAATGGAGGTATTGGAATTTGTTCAATCAAAATAAACATCTCCAAGAGTCAGACCAAGCAAAAACTTTACACGCCAACTTCAAGTGTGGGAGGAAGTCGGGTATCAAGTCTGGGAGAACAAAGATAAGACTGTCCCGAAGCCGGCATACAAAGCGTTTCTAGACGATCGGGCTGCCCTGTTGAAAGAGAAGGGGCTCACGGGGGAATGAGCCACTCGCGCCATTGAGCCTTCTCGACTAGGATGTCTTTCCACTTCCCATATCGCAGCATATTCTTATGATTATTACATGTAACCCTCTAACCTTCCACACCTAGAGGGGCTGTTGTGCCGGATAGGAAGGCATCAAGGAGGTCCTAGGAAATATCGTTACCAAGTGAAACTATCTTCCAAGGTTGGCCAATCCAAATCTGATTCCTTCAATGTACGTGCGGTGCCTTTCAAGGTTCCGCTTCTCCATCTCACCCACATCTATGGCGAACGAATTACCAGGCAAGTTCTACACATCTTCTGGTTCAGTTAAAAGGCATATATTTCTAGAACACGAGTGCTTGATCTTACTCTAAACCGAAAATGAACCCAAACGTCAGTCGTAAATCGTAACCCCAAATCCTCACAGCCCAGGAGTCTGTGCTCCTTCACCGATCCCCATCAATCCACCAGCAAGCCCATTCATTCGGCGATCAAGCAAATCCTCTTCACTGTCAAGAGAAGCGATGCTTCGTCCTCTCGGACGGACTGCACCAGGGCTTTCAGGAGCACTATTCGTTTCATCAGGATCGAAACGGTTCGGCGAACGAGCCGCTCTCTCCAAGCATCGGAGCTTAGCGATGAAATCCTCCTTAGCATTGCGGTCATCGCCCAACGATGTAAAACCGGTGACTCGCGAGGAAGCAAAAGAGGAACGTGATCTCCTCCGCCGCGTGCGGTGTTCAGGCTTTGATGTCAATGCATCCTCACTACCGGCAACGGATGTGATCTTGCTCATGCTCATTTCCAGCGGTCTATCGTCATCACCCGAAGACTCGCCCGTGAACTTGCGATGGTGATTACGACCATTCTTTGGAGCATTTGCTTCAACTTCCGCAGGCCGGACCATTTAAGGGTAGTATTGGCATTTGAACCATCCACACCTCGGTCAGCGTAAAGTAGGTCCGTCTCGAGATCATCAATCTTGGTCTTCTGAGACAGACTCTCAAGCCAGTCCGCGCTGCGATGGATATACTTCCATGCGTCGGGAAGAAGCCAGCCATCTGCATGAAGCCGTGCGAAATACCAGGTATAAGAGAGATTTCAACGTAGTCTCTCTCATTGAAGGGACGGTTAGACCTCTCCAATCCCAGGTCCTGGCGCTCACGGAAGTGATGGAGCTTTGCTTGGCGCAGTCTGCCTGCAAATATTACCGTGTCATCAACCAGAGGATCCCGCTCTCCCGTCATGATGTATGTTTTGGGGAAGCGAGCAAGTAGTGCATCTGGAGCCAGGACGGGAGACAGGAAGAAATCGGTATTGAAGTCAGGGCGATGGTGGGGTCCGATGTATAGAATAATCATCGCACGTGTCATTTCAGGAGTGAGGATGCGGTCGTGGACGTAGGTGATCATAGACGAGACGGCTAGTCTAGTCTTGATTGGTTTGACTTCGTCTTCTGCTTTAGCAACAGGCTTCGGGGCTAAGTCCTCGCTCTTTTCGAGTTTCTTTTCCAGTGCTTTGGCTGCTTCAGTGGCCACATTGGCTTCTTTATTATTCTTCACCTTCTCCGGTGGTGAGATAGCAGTTAGATCCTCGACCGAGTGACCTGGCGATGTGAATGGTGTGAGTTTACGGTATTGATCTTGTTTCCGCTGCAGAACACTGCGGTTTGTCTGGCGCGTGCTCTTCTCCTGGATCAGTGACATCTGTTCATCACTCATCCAGCTCTCAACCCTCATATTCAACGCAGGGTATCCCAAAACCACACCATCCGGGGCTGGAAGCACATCATCGCCACGCCAGCCCTGAGACGTCGCAGACTGCAACACCATCAAAGTCATGCCCACTGCCAGGTTTCCACCAGCACTTTCACCTGTGACGAGAATCCGAGGACGAGTCTTACCACTCAGCCCCATGCAACGACCGTTTGTGGCAATGATGCTATGGTAGATATCATAGCATTCGTGCAGCGCATATGGGTATGCGAACTCTGGTGCCTTCTTGTAATCAACGCTGAGAATGGGAACCTTTAGCCGTCCTGCCCAAGACAATAGCTTGTCCTCTGAGTTTCTGGGACTCATAGCCACAAACCCACCGCCAGGTACATCCAAGACAATGAGACTCTGATCTCGGAGCGCACTTAGCGGACCATCGAAATACAGCCACGCATTCACTGGATCGGTGTAAACAGACTGCCCCGGGCGAGGAATACGAATCGCTCGAGCCGGGAATTGAGTCATTCGCGGCCGTAGCAGTTTCGCCAATGACCACAGATAGGGGCTGGTGGCTTTGTTCCAAGACACGCGCAGGTGCTCCAGTGTCAGGGTAGCACGGACCCGGCGGACTTTCTCATCAGCCTGTTCAGCCGCAATCAAATAGTAAGCTGTGAAGACTAGTGAGGCTATATCTCGTAACCATTTTGGCTTTATGTTCATCGCGGTCCAAAATCCAGCGTCCAAACCAGTGGTAATCCACGTTGCTCGAAAGAAGGACCGCGAGTACATGTTTGCCAATGGTTCAGGACATTCGAGTCCGACAATCTTGGCAAAGTTCCGGCTGAGGTAGAGCCAGAGGAATATGATAACAGTTGTCTGCCATGTTGTCAATTTTCCCGTGAAGCGGGACGATAGGGATCGAATAAACGGTGGGCCATGTTTATCTGCTCTATTGGATTCTCGATAGTTAGAACCTGCGAGGCTGCTGTAGAGTGAATATGCTGTACCTTAATAAGTATACTGACCAGAAAGAGACAACTGCAAATACTTGGATCTTGCGGAGGCGGGTCGAGGGTCTCCCTAAGACGTGGTCTGAATATCGATTAGCCTGCTCCGTAGTGGGTTGCAAGTGGATTGCATGTTGCATACCTATCATTTCTAGAAACTAGGGCTGAGTCTACCAAGTTCAGCCTGTAATGTGCAGTCTATTTGAAGCCAGGAAATGAATGCATGAAGGTTGAGTCTAAAGAATAATGACAAACGGAACCAAAGACAACCTCAGACAGCCCACCCACAATGAAGGACATAATGCCATCAATCAGCAGTGCTTTTCAAGTAATGCGACCTTGTCATTGGCGAAAGGTCCTGGAGCTGAATCACATGTCAACAAAGTCCCACTTTCACATGCCAGTGACGACATCAGCTGACACTCCGGGGTTGATCCCATTTTTATCTTCTCCAGGTTTATGTTTTATGACGAATTCGTCACTGTGGATATATGTGCACAGATCTCTCTATTCTATATCTTTTGTCGGCAATAATCACGCCCATGTCCAACCTGCCAATTGCACAACGAGACCTCCCACCCCATACTGAGGAAGCCCGCGATGCAGATACCGGCCGAGTCACTGACAGTGGTAGCCCCCAATGAAAATTCACGGTCCTCCTTAGGAACACGATCGGCGATCTCAGCAAAGGTATTGACATATACCACTCCACCCAGGAGGCCTTCCCAAAAAACAATGATGAACACAAGCCATACGCTGGGGATAAAATCAAACAGAGCATGGAGGGTGAGCAACACAAGATTGACCACCTGCAGGAGAGACGGCAGGTACAGATTATGGATGCGGTAGAATGGGGTTGAGGAGCGGGATATGAAGACGCCAACCTGATAGATGGCATTATAGGTAGGGTAGAAAGAGCGGAAGTGCTCAAAGGGCGATTCTCTCAGTGGGAAAAGCAGTGTTGGAGCCACACCTTGGTTTATCACGTACTCAGCGATGTAGACCAGTAGCATGGGGACCATGCTAGATATTTGTCAGCCTAGATTTAGGAAAATCGAGAGACTCGGGTACTTACAAAGGAATGAACAGTCCCCTGATGCGACGTAAATTTATGCGTGTCTGGTCCTGCCAGGAACGGCCTTGGTTGACATGGATAGACTTGCGGGCGGGGGAGTTGTGCGACACTCCCAACAGCCCCTCGTCTTCTCGGCCAGCGCCATCATCCATTTCATCTTCCTCTACCTGGTTCCCGCCTTCAACGACGCGATACCTATCAGGGCCTGATTCAGTAGATCGCAGAGAGGACCTGGGTAGAACGACAAAGAAGCTTATGACCATAATTGCCGGTAAGCAGGCCGAAACCAACAACGTGACATGAACAGAGAAACCCAGCGCCGAAGTTGCGAGGGCATAAGCACCAGCTCCGATCAACCCAGCAGCGCCAGTGCCACTCCCCCACGCAGCCAGACTGAACGGGCCATAGAAGTGCGTGAGACCCACAAAGCTCAGCTCCCCAGCGCCGCAAGAAAGGCTAGCCAGGACGATTCCCGCAATCTTGGACGATATCGTTCCTCCGTCGGTATAGCCTGGGCTCATAGCGACTATCAGCATGCCCACGAATGACAGGAAGGCAAAAATCAGGACGCGTACCCAATAGGGGACCAGATGGATGAAGTACGGGGCGAGAAGCTTGGTTGCGAATGACGGAATCACGTCCGCGAGGAGAACGACGCCTTTAGGTATATCGGGTCCGACTAAATCTACGGCTGCGGAGAGGATGATGACATATAGGACATTGTTGATAAGGCCTGCCGGGTGTAAGTGTCAGTCCAGCTGATCAACTGGGGCTAGTTGAGGGTGCGCACCGAAGAGCCAGAAAGCGACGCAGACTCGGGGGTCTGCGCCGCTAAAGGCACCACTGAGACGGGCGCTGAAACGCTTCCAGGTAGAAGAAGATTGCTCTTGGGAGGAAAGCGTTGCAGCATCCTCATCGGATGTTGTGAGAGGCATTCGGTTGTTGCGTTGGGAGTTGATAAGGAACTACAGCAAAGTGACAGACGATATTCAATCCATGGTATATTCTGAATATTCAGGAGAAACAGACAAGATAGAATACGGGGGCATATCGAATCAAGTGCGAAGAGTGACGACTCCTTATCTCCACGCGATCCACCGCCTTCCGCCTACACGTGGCTGAGACTTGGCCTCTCCACATAGGAACAATGGACACACGACACTTTTCCTTTATTGCTCTAGTTTCTATGATGAAAATATGTCTTGTCATATCCAACGCAAGATGGTATAAAGGGGGAAAAGGAAACAAAATCATAACCGGCATTCAAGACAAGACACTTATGACTTGGCCACAACCGAATCCACAGCCTGCTCCAGAATCCGTAGACCAGTCTGAATCTGGTCTTCCGTGATCGTCAAGGCGGGGACGAATCGGATACAACCCTCACCAGCAGTGATGATCAGCATGCCGCGCTCACGGGCAGCGGTGATAATATCACCAGCCTTAGCGGTGTATTCTGGGGTGAGCTGAAGACCCAGGATCAGCCCGCGCCCGCGGATCTCAGAGATCACACCTGGGAACTTCTGCTGCATGGCCTGGAAGCCCGAAACAAAGAGATCGGACTTGGTCTGGACGGACTGCTGGAGCTCAGGCTCAGCGAGACGCTCAACGATGTGGTGAGCGACACGGCAAGCCAATGGGTTACCGCCGAAGGTGGTGCCATGATCACCGGTCTTAATGTGCTGGCCAACCGTCTTGCCCGAAACAATGGTGGCACCAATAGGAATACCGTTACCAAGAGCCTTGGCGGTAGTCAGGATATCGGGGTGGGCAGTCTCGCCGGAGGCCGGGGCGAGAGAGGGGTGGGCGTGGGCCCAGAAAGTACCGGTACGGGACAGACCGCACTGGATCTCATCGAAGATCAAGACGGCTCCGGTCTCATCACAGCGCTTGCGGAGAGCAGCAAGGAACTCGGGGGTAGCGATATTGACACCGCCCTCGCCTTGAATGGGCTCAACGATGACACCGCATGTCTTATCCGTGATAAGTGTCTGGAGCTGGTCGATCTGGTTGTAATCTCCGTACTTGAATCCGGGGATCATGGGTGAGAACGGAGTCTGGTACTTGGGGTTGGGGGTGGCCGACAAGGCACCCATTGTGCGGCCGTGGAACGAGTTGTTGAAGGACACGAACTCGTGCTTATCACCTGAGGGGTCCAGAGTGCGGCCGGTCTTGCGAGCAAACTTGATGGCAGCCTCGTTAGCCTCGGTTCCGGAGTTGGAGATGAAGACCTGCGAGGCATCGCGCATAGCACCGGACTTCTGAGTCAACTCAATCAACAATTGACTCAGAGCACCGGTCCAAGGGTTGTGATAGAGGTTCGAAGCGTGGATGAGGGTTTCAGCCTGCAATTGAGCACTTTCTTTTAGCAATTGGTCAATATACGGTCCATAAAAGCATTTCGCACCTGCTCCGCAATAATTTTCGCAATCTCCGGGTCACAATGGCCAAGAGAGTTAACTGCAATTCCCGCCGTCAAGTCCAGATAACGTCGGTTCTCCATATCCCACAAGTAGCAACCCTGGCCCTTCATCATCATCGGAGCCGGCCGAACGTAAGTCGGCACCATGAAAGGAGCCCGCTCATTGATGAAGGACGCCGTAACTGAGTCCGCCGAAGGGTCGGGGTTGGGAAGAGTTGCCTCCTTCTATATGATCGTTAGCTTTCCAGTTTGAACGTTGTCCTGGCACTTTTTGTCAGGCATACCTTAACCTGGGACTTCACGTTTTGAGGGGCATTGGACGTAGTCGCGAATCGGCGCTGTACTGGTGATTCGATAGCAGGGACAAATTTGGGTACGCGAGGCAGACGCCGCGCGGTCACACGAAGGGCAGACATGGCAAACTTTTGATTTGTAAAAATAGAAGGAAAAACAAAAGCTAATCTGCAGCAAAAGGGAGGTGAAGATCGCAAGAGAACCGTCTGCTCAGATCAGCGCACTGCCGGGAGAAATAAAAGGCGATATCGGGATCGGCAGTCTTAGTCACATTGGTGGAGTGAGTCAACAACCCCGAGGTCCCGACCTCCCCGTATATCGTACAACTTCTCATTGGACCTATCATTCCCCTCTTACACAGAGACAATGGTGTACTCTCTCGTTATTCGCCGTTCAATCCTCTCGGCTTCCACAGCGCGCGGCGTAGTCCGGCCACTCTCCACAACTCGATTCCTGCGCCAGGGCGGCGGCGACAAGCCCATGCCCTTCGCAGACTCCCCGGCTCCTCCGCGCCTCCCGAAGGAGGAACAGGAGATCTTCGAACAACTCCAGAAGCGCTCGACTGGCGCATTCAGCACACCTCAGGTCAACCAATCACCACAGGCCGAGATTCAGGCGGACGGCAAAGGTGGCGAGCTTCACCCCGATGCGCCAAAGGGACTGCAGCCTGACTTCGAGGGCGAGAAGAACCCCAAGACTGGTGAAGTTGGTGGACCAAAGAATGAGCCTCTGCGATGGGGCGCAGCTGGTGATTGGAGCTATGGTGGTCGCGTCACTGATTTCTGAGTGGCCCCAGGACCAGAGAGATTTGCATCATGTTGGCGTTGGTGTTTCTTGCCTAGGGATATAATGTCTCCATAACCGGAAATGGGGAGGTGGGTGTTGGTTCTAGTTGATCAGATCTACAGTGTACATAACAAAATGGTCTGGACTGACAATGCAAAGCATATTGTGTGATGTTGGCAAATATATGCCCAGAACACGTTAAGAACTAATATACTCCGAACAATAACAAGCACAGGCTATAGCGCAAATTGATCAAAGCGACGCTTTTTCATCTGCGAGACGAGCGAGAGTTGCCTTTCCAGCCCGGCTACCATTAGCTCGGCCCAACTCCCCGCTAATCCAACCTCCAATCTTCGACATCTCATCCAGGCTGATTCCCGTGTGCATCCCCAAGCTGTGAATGGTGTGCACAAGGTCCTCTGTCGCCACATTCCCCGTCGCGCCCTTGGAATATGGGCAACCACCAAGCCCGCCCACGCTACTGTCGAAAATACGGACACCATGCTCCAGCCCGACGATTGTGTTCACCAAGGCCTGTCCATAGGTATCATGGAAGTGCAACGCCAAATCTGTATTAGCGATGCCAGCAGCCTTGAGTGCCTGCATAAGCTCCATGGTCCGGGGAGCGGTGCCCATGCCCGTTGTGTCCGCCACTGAGACCTCATCCGCTCCCATCTCCAGCAGCGTGGCGGTAATATCTGCCACCTTGACAGGATCCACATCGGGCCCTTCATATGGGCATCCTAGTGCGACAGAGACATATCCACGTACCCGGATATCCTTGGTCTTTGCTAATGAGACAATCGGCTTGATGCGCTCCAGTGACTCGGCAATGGAGCAGTTGGTGTTAGCTTTCGAAAAAGCTTCCGTTGCTGCTGCAAAAAGAGACACCTCTGTAGTTGTCGCTGCCTTCGATGTCTCTCCAGTCGCGTCCGCAGGGACTCCTGTCTCATCAAGTATCTTGACCAGGTTCTCCAGTCCTCTGATGTTGGGGACAAGATAGTTGTATGCGATTGTAGACTGTGCTTTGGGCGGTTTTGTGAGAAGATGCTCGCAAATTTCAGCCGTGCTTGCCATCTGTCATTATGTAACCAAATCATCAGCTTTCTGTGCCCGAAAACGCCGTACCACACGACGCTGCTCAGCAAGATCATACCTGGGGGACCCATTTTGCAGGCACAAATGAGCCAGCTTCAATGGTAGTAACACCCGTCTTAGCCAGTCGCTCGATCAACTCAAGCTTTGTTTTCATTGGAATGGACTTCTTCTCATTCTGCAGTCCATCTCGAGCGCCAACCTCCACGATGCGGACATGGTCCGAGGTTAACCGCGACTCGGTTGCGAAGCAACGTGCAGAATATGGGGATCGCAGGGCTGAGAACAAACTCAACCTGGGGCGAACTGTCATCATGGTTAATTTTAGGCCAACTCGTATGATCAGAGCAACCAGAATTGTAAAGGAAATAGCAGGTAAGAGGGAAAGCTTTGGGAATGGAACAGTAGGAGGCCGAGAATGCGGAGAGCGCTTTACCACTTCCGGACTAGTTGATCACCCCACCTCCTGCTGAGTCAGTCGGCAGAAAAAAGAAGTGGGATGATACAATATTTGACGATTATCAAGATCAGTGGAAAGTCCAACTTTTGAAGTTTTGACACATATTACAACTGGGTATAATGGATTCAAGTATTCCTGCCCCCTCTATTGAGGATGGCTCACAATCTGCCGCCCAAATGCGGCAACCAAAAAAGAGATTTGTCGGACGACGAACAGCGGATGCCCAAGCCCAGAAGGATACGACCAGTCAGAAAGATGTTGAGTCCACGGCCGTGCAAACTGGTACTTATCTTACTCTGGCACGATTGAGATCCATATACTAATTTCCGCTTGCTCCAGCCGCTCCCAGACGCACTCCCCGCACGCTCAACCAAGTGCCGCCAGAGATTCTGAACGATCCCGAGATCCAAGAAGCAATGGAGCTTCTCCCCAAGAACTACTCATTCGAGATCCCGAAGACAATCCACCGAGTCCGCACATCAGGTGCCAAGCGAGTAGCCCTTCAATTCCCAGAGGGACTCCTCATCTTCGCGACCACCATCTCCGACATCCTCACCCAGTTCTGCCCTGGAATCGAAACCCTCATCATGGGCGACGTCACCTACGGCGCCTGCTGCATTGACGACTACACAGCGCGCGCCCTAGGCTGTGATCTGCTAGTACACTACGCACACAGCTGCCTGATCCCAGTCGACGTAACCCAGATCAAAACGCTCTACATCTTCGTGGACATCAGCATCGACACAAGCCATCTCCTCGCAACTCTAGAGCGCAACTTCAAGCCAGGGCAGTCGATCGCGACAGTAGGCACGATCCAATTCAACGCGACGCTACACGGACTGAAACCCGTGCTTGAGCGTGCCGGCTTCCGCGTCATAATCCCACAAATTACACCACTCTCTAAAGGCGAGATCCTCGGCTGTACATCACCCCAACTCTCCGAAACCGAAATCGACGCAATCCTCTACCTCGGCGACGGCCGCTTCCACCTTGAATCCGCCATGATCCACAACCCCTCCATTCCAGCCTACCGGTACGATCCGTACTCGCGAACCCTGACGCGCGAAAGCTATGAGCACGAGGAGATGCAAACTATCCGCCGGGACGCGATCGCCACAGCCAAAACCGCGAAAAAGTGGGGGGATTATCCTCGGCTCGCTCGGTCGACAAGGTAACCCGCACACTATGGCGATGATCGAGCGACACCTACGCGAACGCGGGATTCCAATCGTTAACTTACTGCTGAGTGAGATCTTCCCCGGGAAGCTTGCGTCTATGGCGGATGTGGAATGCTGGGTGCAGATTGCTTGTCCGCGGTTGAGTATTGATTGGGGATATGCGTTCCCGCGGCCGCTGCTAACACCGTATGAGGCGCTTGTTGCGCTGGGTGTGCGGGAGAACTGGGATACGGGGAATAAGGGCGTGTATCCGATGGACTTTTATGCGAAGGAGGGGCTTGGGCGGACGAAGCCGCAGCAGGCTTAAGAGGTTGGCTGTTGAAAAATAGAAAATATATACCCCATTATAGACTCAAGGCAGCGGGACTGGCTCTGGCTGAAAGGTTATGACAATGATATACACGTTGATACATGTATGTTTCCGTTTAGATTATCACGAAAGTAGAGAGTATAATACAGCCCTGGAGAGAACAGGAGTATTAATAACCGCCGGGCTATCGAGGGCACCGACGAAAGACATCATGGCGTTTCATTTCCAAATCCAATAAACAGATCCTAATCAAATACAAAGTTCATAATACAAGATTGTGTTCGAAATCAATCACCCCTTCACATCATCAGTACTGTCAGTGTTGAAATCACTGGCACTTCCACGCCGAAGGGAGAGGACATTCTTATTAGCCAATTCATCGGCAGTGCGTTCAGCAGCCCGCCATCGAGTAACAGCCTGCTGAACATCCTCAAACATCTCCAGCGAGTCCTGGATGATACCACCCTCGTCGGAATCGCCCAGTTGAGTACTCTCGCGCGAACCCCGGTCACTAGACATGGGAAAGCGGGTCCGAATCTCGTTGAGGAATTGGGTTGAACATGATAGCGTTGGCGAACATTCGAATCAACTCTTTCTCCAGCTGTGCAGAGTTCACAATTCCTTTAGGGGGTATGAAATCTTCATTCTTCTGCAACATAAGCACGCCGCTTTTGGACGGTGTGCCACCAGGAGCGGGAGACTCACCATCCCCGGCTGGAGTGCTGGCTGATTCTCCAGCGGTGGCGACGGCTTTGCTTCCCTGGTGGATGGCAGATTTGATCGACTTCAGGTCAGATGGCCGATAGATGAGATCGTGGTAGCCAGGGGCATCGCGCTCGCTAATTGGCTTTGCAAAGATCGAGGCAAGCTTGTGGGTAGCTACATCATTCATAATTGGTGCCGCGGTCCGGTGGAAGTTGCGCGTAGCCATGACATATTGAGTCGTGTCGAATCTCGGGATGTCCGCAGGATGGGGTTCAAGTTCCACTGCTTCACTTGCGCCACGTTTACGTTTCGTCCGCGGTTTCGGGGTTCCTTCGTCGGCGGTCGCAGCTGCACCCTTTCGGCGGCCCGTTGCTCGTGATTCGCGTACAGTGTCTTCCGAAGGCGCAGCAGACCCATCTCGCGAAGCCATGGATCGCCCCCGACTCCGCGAAGAGGCCGAACTTGCGGCACGCGTCCTCCGCATTGAAGTGAGTTTCTCGGTCTTTACGACGGGAGCTGGTTTGGTATCAGGCTGGCCGCGTCGTGGTTTCTTATCTTCCACAGATTGAGCTCGTTGGCCTAGATTTATTCTCGGGGGAGGTGACATTTCCATCGCGTCAACGGGTGATTGGCTTCGTTCACTGATCGGACTGACGTCCTCCGGCCGTGGCCGTGGCGGTGAGCTCGGAGAGCGTGAAACCCTCGGGCGAGGAGTTCTCTTCCATGGCGTGGAGGATCCTTGCGTGTCGATTGACAGACGTGGATGGGAGGCGCGCGATTCAGAGAGAAGAAGGGAATGTCGCACTCGGGGTTTGAGAAACACGTGGGAGGCCAATTGGGACAGGCGTGTGAACTGCAGACGGGATGGCGCTGGGCGTTTGTGGAGCAGGAGGTTGCGGCGTCTGGGCTTGTGACCCTGCCAAAGGCGGGTTGGTGGAAAGTGGTGGTACAGGTCGCTTGGCAGTAGCCTGGGCTGCTTGAGGCGTAGGAGCACCTGGCGAGACGACGGGGTATGGTGAGTGGGGAGAAGGATCGAGCTGCCACTGCTGGAAACTCGGCTGAGCGGGGGTTCGTTGGGATGCCGGCGCCAACGGCCCAGCCTTATCCGTGACAATGGGCGCAGGTGGGACGGGATTGGCACGAGGTGCGATTTGCGACGGATGTGCCGGTGTGACTCGCAGCCCGGCGGGTGTGGTTGGAGGGGCTTTCTGGGTAGATGGAGCAAGTGGAGGTTGGATGGACGGTTTTGGTGGGGGATGAGTGGTGGTGGGCTGCGGTTGAGGTGCTTGTCCAGCTATCTCTTGCGGTTTGGGTGTCGGGGTTTGCGCTTGGGGAAGTGGAGCTTGAGGTAGAGTCACAGGAGGGGCAGGTTGTATTTTCGGGGTTTCGTTTGTCGTAGAGGGCACACTTAACGCGATATGCTGTGGTTCGGGCTTTGCCTTGTCCTGAGCGATCGGGACGGTCGTCGCAAATGGTTGACCTGTCCGACCATGTACATCTGGGCGCGGCGTCTCTTCCTTCAGAACAGCATCCTTCCCTTCGATGGGCACCGGCTTCACCGTCGTAGGTGCGGTAGCTGCCGCAGCGGCTGATTTGTCGTCCTCCTGCTGTAGCCGTTCCAGCTCAGCCCTGATCTCTGTGTATTTCTTCTCATCGTCCCTGATTTCTCTGGTGACTAGATCCCTGTATTTGGCGTAAAGGTGTGCCACTAGCTCTGGGATGAGCGTGGCATGGGTGAATCCACCGGACAATCCATCTGGTCGCGGACTGGAGATCTTGCGTTTCTTCGGATTAGGTGGGCTGGACGTATCTGCGGGTCGACCGTTCACCGGGAGTGCACCATCACGACTGAATCCATCGCGCATCAACGTCGCATAAAGATCTTCCAGCGCCTCTGGGGTCAGGCGATCGGCATCGAAATCGGCGTTCTCGCGCACAAGCTGGTTGTTTCGCAAAAGTGTTGAGATCGAAGCGAAACTTGTCGGTCGGGAATCCGAAGTCGCTAAGGACTGGAAGAACAGAAGGGACTCAAACGAAGTGTATGCCGACAGAGGAGGCATCCCCCATTGCCCGTCCGGTCGGCCACTGGGGGAAAAGGCTTTGAGGATGGGGGCCACGGTGGTCGGTGGTCGGCGATCAGGATGGTCGCGGAACTTTTTGGTGTCGCTGAACTGCGAGCTTCGGGAACTAGGTTTGCTTGGTTGGCTAGTAATTAGAGATAGCGAACGCGACAGGCTTGAAACGCAATACGCATAGACCTTGACTCTATCCGGGCGAAAAATTGAGCGGGAAAAAAAATGAACGGCGACCGCAACGGATCAGGTAAAAACGCGTCGAATTTAGGGCTAGACGAAGCGATGAGATGAAATGCCCCTGTAGAATTGAAATGACGATGGAAATAGAAATGGAGATTGGAATTCGGGGAAGACATCACGGTGCTACTGTACTGTATGGTATAGGTCATGTGACCAGTTGCCAGGGAGGAATCTGCCAGAATGCAAGTTATGCAACGTACGACGTACTTTGTCTATATTAGATCTATAGATCTATAAATCTGAATGGTTTCTATAATATTTCAAAGCATAGACATTTTCAGCCTTATATCCTTATATTCTGGTAAAATTGAGCCTATGTACGGAGTACTGTAGTACTACTTAACTGCATGTATAATGAAAGCCCCTAATTGCCTTAAAACCCACGTCAGGGGTTATTTTGCCTTTGTCAAAGAAAGTCTCCTAATTCCTACATATGTACCTAGGTACTTTCCTAGTTTCCCTTGTAAGGTGAGCCAAGTACATACACGTACTATGTATGTACAACCCCTATTTCCCTATATTGTAAACAGATATGAAATTGAGAAATAAGAAACATACATGTATAAACCATGGAAGTAAAGATGTATAAAATCGTCAACCCCTGAAATTAAAACCCCTAAAATGCGAATAATGGCGTAGAACCCTTGTAATACAGTTGTAACACTTACGAGCTCTCTCCTTGCCGGTGGAGATATATGGGACCTCCAATTACCGCGACTAGTAACATAGTCGGTGGGCTATGATCATCTCTCAATTTCGCACTTCTCCCCTTCTTCCTCTTCCCCCCCTTTAGCTTCCTGGCAGGTCTCCAAAGTTCTCTGCTTATCACTCTTCTATCTATTCATCGCGACTATTGATATCCCGGTACTACTTTCACCTCCCCACCAGATTGTGGCTTATCTGTCGAGAAGTATAGAGAACTGACATTGTTTTTTTGCCCCCAAATAGCATCAAAGTCCTCGATTCAGCTTCATCTGTGCTTGATTCTTGGCTGGTCCTGGTCTCGACGATACCTAAACCGCCTAATACCTTAATTCCGCGACTTGCTCTTGCCCCGCCTGTCTCAAGGTCGCACACCCCTCTGCCGTTCAACTGTTGGGACCCGTTCTGTGATTACAGAATCCAGAGAGACCAAAGGTCAAACAATCACCACACAAGATGTCTGACATGGATCGCGAGTGGAAGCCAAAGGCCCGGCCTCAGTCGTTCGTTTCCCTATATTGGCGAATCTCCGAATAGTGGCATTAACCGTGACCTCCAGGACCATGGCGCAAGCCTTCTCATCGGCCTTGGACAGCGCCTTCATGCTAGACTCTGATGTTAACAACCTTTCCCAGACTATCGACCAGAAGTGAGTGGCACTTAAAGAATTTCCTACCATCGATTTCGCACGCGACTCTTGTCATCACAATACTCATTTTCATGGCGCTAATCTCAAACTCAAAGGAAGCAGCAGATGTTGATCCAGAACCGCGAATTGGAAGAGCTGCAGAATCGCATCCGTGAGGCCGAGAGGCGCCTCCAGTCCCAGACTACCGGGGGTGACAAAACTTCGTCCCAAACCAGCCGGGGACAAGGCCAGTCAGCGGGTGAGCGTTCAATCTGATCTTTTTGCGGGCCGATTGATATAGCTGGCCGGGTTTGCGCTGTAGCGGGATCTGACTGTGTAACAGTTTCCCAGGGAGGATCCAACAACGAGCAGCAGCCGGAGCAGTCTGAGCAGCGGGGAAACAATTGAATTCCGAACGTCTGCAAGTGTGAAAGATCTGGAAGGTCAAGAAAAATAGGCCACCAGGCCCTGGAGTCGAAACTAGATTAAGACTGGGACGAGCGCATCAGGGCGGAACTCTCTATCCGTGATATTGGACCCGCGCCGCGTCTGATAGACGCAATATGTTCCAGTCGGCGTGGTTGTTTTATTGGGATGATTTTTTTAGGTTTATCTTTTTTTTTCTGGCATCCTTTGAGAAAACCTCCCCTATTGTATGGATCTGGCCGTTGAATTCTTTTCTCAAGGCCATCCCTCATTTGCACTGCTACGGCAATGCGATTCGCCCGTTCTTTTTTGCCTTTGTGCCTGAAATTGAAATTCTTTCAATCAGATCTACGGCCAGACCTGGGATATCTACATATTTATACCCCTGGCGTAATGCGTACCTCTTTCGTCCAGAGTAACTGGAGATAATACCTAGTACCGGGAACTGTCCTGCACCTTCAAGCCCGAGCCAAAAGATAAACAGGTTGTGAATTTACCATGTCCAATGAGAGACCTATCAGAAATCGGACGCCTCCACTTCCGTCATTGTCCCTGTTTCCCTGGTCAAGGCGCAGAAACTAGAGGGCACGGGCTTCAGATGCTGAGTCCCCTGGCGGGGCATAATTTTGTGGCTTTGATATGATTCCTTGTTTCCTTGATAATGATAGGAAGCTAGTCCTTCCTGGATAATGGATTTCCTCAAGGTTCTTGGCTGAAGGATATCTTATATCTTATAAGAATATATATTTTTCACCAAGGGTATCTCTTGATCTTTTGAGAGCAATGTCCTTGGGATGGGGAGGGTTAATAGTGAACAAGAGTGTAAATCCCTTATGGTTTTCATCAAGCAGCTTTTTGGGCCAGGGCCATTCTCTCAGATTGTAGCCACATCTTGGACTAGAGCATCTAGGTAGGGTGTTGTGTCTGTTTCACCGTCGCGTTCTGATTCTTCTTCCTAGGGCTTTGTCGAACCAGAAATTGCACCGATCCCTGAGAAGGCTTCCCGCATGAATGTGGAAGGTTTTGTGCTTGTTAGAGGTGCCGGGTATATATTTGTCGGAGTATGGAAAGTGGAGCAAGGATACCCGTGGACCTGGGGATACTCAATTTTATAATCTCTATCGCTTCTAAAGGTCTCTAGATTCCTTTTAATGTGGTTTCCCTTTTAAACTTCAACATTAGGCGTTTATTGTGGACTTGTTGCTAAATGTCGCCTCACAGAGCTACCCGTGGACGATCAACATGAATGTCTCAGCTTCGGCGCTACTCCATACAAAGAGCGGAGATAAGAAGGCATTCCTTTCCCGATACCAATTCCTCAACGTGAGAATAATCAGAAGCAGACATTTGGGCCGGATCAATAGACATGAGACAGATGCGCCTGATCAGACGATAATAAGGAATTAAAAGTTGAAGCTCTGGGGAAAAACCACCTCAGGTCCGTGACCTGTCCAGGCCCGAACCGAACATACTCCTATCGGCCAATCAGAGGCCTTTATTTAACTCAACCCGAATCTCCACCCCGAGTGGACCCGTGGGAGTGATTCACGTCATTCTCCATTGGCACGGACTGCATGAACAAGATTCCCCTCCATTTTGGTCTTCTTTCCTTCCCCTCTCTATTTCCATATACTTTTTGTTTTGGGACTTGGTTTCTTCGCAATCGCCATTATGGTTTTAATCGATGGGAAAGAAGTCATCACAGAGGAAGAGAGGCGCCTAAAGCAAGACCGCGAGAGAACCAAGTATTGGAAGGTAAGATCTCTCCAATTTTGGACCAGCTTTTTGGGAAGTCCCTGCTAACTGAAAACAGCGCTGGGGACCATATGTGGTAAGTCAAGGCCTCAGCTAGCTCTGAAACATACATATTGGCAGTGCTAAAAGCTCTTGGATTGGCATAGGCAGAGAGGCAGTGGGCCACAGGTGAGAGCTTGCAAATCATAACGTCAATTGGGAAACAGGCTAATGCCCGCTTTCTCATTGGACAGTCAGAGAGGATTACAGCGAAGATGGTGACGCCTGGAGCTACTTCACCCACGATCACGCTAGATCGAGGACTTTCCGCTGGGGCGAAGACGGAATTGCCGGTGTATCTGATACGCACGGCATACAGAACATTGCATTTGCGTTTTGGAATGGCGAAGAGTAAGTCGGGACCCTGTTTGAACGCTGTTGGTTTGGTCCCCGAATGCAATCTGACTGTAGTACAGCGACTTTCTGAAAGAACGTCTGTTTGGTTTGTCAAACCCTCAGGGAAATCATGGTGAGAGTGTCAAGGAGGCACATTTCCATGTGGACAACACCCCAACGGTAAACTCATCTATAATCTTGATCCAGTTCACCTCCAGCAATGCTGACCCCGGAGTATAGCATTCCTACATGAAATTCCTCTACAAATACCCCCAGAGAAAGTTCCCATATCAAGATCTCATCGATGAGAACGCAAAGCGCTCACGCTTGGAGAAAGAGTATCAGATCCTTGATACTGGCATCTTCGAAGATAACCGCTACTGGGATATCTTTATCGAGACTGCTAAGGAGGCCGACGACGAGGAAGAATTGCTCTTCCGTGTCATTGCCTATAACCGTGGGCCGGAACCTGCTCATCTACATATTGTCCCTCACGTATGGTTCCGAAACACGTGGTCCTGGGGCGACGAGAAGAAAAAGGAAAGACCATCTATCAAAAAGGAGGGACCGATGGTGGCCAAATCGGAGCACAGCACAATCGGCGAGCGATATGTTTCCTTTGCGCCATCGCCTCCAGTTGGATCTAGTGATGACGATATCCAGCCTCAGATGATGTTCACCGAGAACGAGAGTAACAACAAGTTGCTATGGGGTACTGAGAACGACACACCCTATGTCAAAGATGCATTCCACCGCCATATAGTCGAAGAGGAGAAGGGTGCTATCAACCCGGATAACGAAGGTACCAAGTTCGCTGCCTGGTACGCCTTCAACAACGGCGAGGGAGTCCCTCCCGGGGAATGTGCCGTTGTCCGTTTTAGAGTGTCACGTAAGAAGGAAGAATTCGTCGACGAAGAAGTTCTCGACGATGTGATTGAACAGCGCCGCGCTGAGGCAGATGACTTCTACTACCACCTCAACCCTCTGCCCATGAGCGATGATCTCCGCAACATCCAGCGTCAAGCCTTTTCGGGAATGATGTGGTGTAAGCAGTACTACAACTTCATCTGGGATCAATGGAGCAACGGCGACCCCGCTGAAATCCCTCCTCCGCCGGGCCGAAAAGGCATTCGTAATGAACAGTGGCGCCATCTGTACATCGACGACATCTTATCGATGCCGGACTCTTGGGAGTACCCATTTTTCGCTGCGTGGGACACTGCATTCCACTGTATTCCACTGGCTATGATGGATCCTGATTTCGCAAAGAAACAACTCGATCTCCTCACCCGTGAGTGGTACATGCACCCAAACGGTCAGCTGCCTGCGTACGAGTGGAACTTCGGCGATGTGAACCCTCCCGTGCACGCATGGGCTGTGTTCCGTACGTTCAAGATTGAGCGGAAGATGTACGGACGACAGGATTTGGACTTCCTGGAACGTGTATTCCAGAAGCTGCTGCTTAACTTCACCTGGTGGGTAAACCGCAAGGACTCCGGTGGCAAAAATGTGTTTGAAGGCGGCTTTTTGGGACTCGATAACATCGGTCTGTTTAATCGCTCGGAGCCATTGCCCACTGGCGGCGTGCTTGAGCAAGCAGACAGCACTGGTTGGATGGCCTTCTACTCTCTGACCATGCTCAATATAGCCCTGGAGCTGGCCAAACACCGTCGCATATACGAAGACATTGCATCCAAGTTCTTCGAGCACTTCCTGCTCATCAGTGATGCAATGACCTTCCGTTCGGGCGATGACGCTGTGCAGTCACTCTGGAATGAAGAAGATAACTTCTACTACGATGCCATCTCCTACGGTGGACCATGGACCCAGCAGCTACCTAT